CGTACCAGTAGACCCCTAGCAATGGTTTGAATATTGACTATTGCGTTTCGTGTATGGTAGAAGTCCCGACGAGGAATTTGAACCGCAACTTGGTCCCTCCACCATTTTTGAATCATAATAGTTGCACTTCTCAAGATCAGGTATTCTGTTCGGGTTTCCCGCTGAGCAAGTCGGTTTAGCCACCATTCTTCGAGTGTCCTTAAGGCATTCCTTTGCCGCTCTAATCTTTTTCTCAATAGCAAACCTCTGGCGACAGCCTGGAAACTCATCATTGCCTCCTTGGCAATGCCGATCCTATCCTGAAATCTAGATTCCCTTATTTCTCTCCATGTCCTTTGGCATGTGGTGATTACTGCTATATGTTTTTTAAATACCATACGCGTAAGTGCACCACGCATAATAGACTGGACTTTCGTCATGCCATTAATAAGTCTCTTTATCTGAAGATGAAGATATGCTCGGTAAGCCCGTTGGATGATAATTGCAGCATTCGTTACCCTACTTCGTGTATTGGCAACTATAGCGCAATCGTGAGCGAGAATGAGAAGGATGATGCGTTTATGAGAAGTATGGCGAAAAGCATGAGACCGATAGGCCCTTTGGATTGCCACCGCCGCCCGTTCTTTTACAGACCATTGGAACAATCTCGAGCACAGATAGGCCAATCCAGCTATAATAAAATCCTCGTCAAATATTCTCTCGTTTTTCTCTGAATTGGCAAACAATCCAGCTAAAAAATGGCCAAACCGATCAGCATTATGTAGTTAGAGATATCCCTTTTATGGATCTTACCAAAATACGAGCTGCATCCAAGTGCCTTCAGCTTTTCCTCTAACGTTGCGCTTTTCCCTCTCTTTATATTCACTGGAAAAAATTGTTCGTACTCTTCCACAATCTTGGCAAACACCTTCCCGTCCGAAAAGCTTGTCGTAAGGTTTTCAACATATAAGCCATGTAATGCCGCGATAGAACTTGCCCATTTGTACAGTAACTGCGCGTAGTTAGTCGGTTCCTCCATGTCCTCATCCTCACCGCTCGAAAGACGCTTTGACCTATACTGGAGCCTTCTGGTTTCTTTTTTCACTTCTCCCCAATCCACTAATAGCTCTAGCCCCCACTTACTAACAACTCCCCATAACAGTCCAACCGTTTTCTCGCGGAACCCATCAATGATCTCTTTTGCTGTAACTTTGCGCGGATTCCCCCCAACGGATTCAAGGGCTGCGAGGGCCAATGAAACATTATGTAACCTGTGGGTTTTTGTGGTAGCAGGGAGCTTCAAGTTGGAAGATAATGGTAATTGATGAATACTCTTTAGTGCATTTTCTGAGTCTGACGGAGGCTGGGGATAGATTAAGAGCTCGACAATTCGACAAAGACGTACACCATCACGCATATCTACTGCCAGATTCGATATTTCGTACTCATACTCTTCTAACGGGTGTTGTGATGTTTCAGGGAGGTAATTGAGGTGACTTAATGGTCTTAGAATATCTCCTACCGATGGCAGAAGCAGCCTTGACAAGGACTGGAGGATTGATGCCGAGGATTTATGCGGCGACGACTGAAAATAATTAAAAACAGCTCTAAGAGAATATAGGGTTTACTAAGAGATTACGTGCCTTTTTAAATAACTTTAAGCTCCCAAGCGCACCTTGAGACTTTCCTTTATCCATCAACAACACAAGTAACAAACTCCTCAGCAAACTTTTCCTCAATAACCATGCTGGGCTTCCCCAGTCCTCGCTATCCCCATGCGAATTGGCCACGGCACCTCTCACCCTAGCTGTTTCAACAGGCAAACATGCTAACACATCTTCACATTTCACAAGATATCGTTCTACGAACACCTCGGCGAGCTTTCTCTTTTCTGCAGCGCTCTTGTAGGGGTCAGGAAACATCTCTCTTCCAATTACGACTTCCAACCCCGGGATCAAAGCCGATAGACTATAACAATCGAAGAAAAGGGCCATGAAATTTTTGCGAATGGCGATGTCTTCTGCCCAACCCCAGCCTTGACCTTTGTGGCCGGCACCCACCCCTCCAAATTTCGCTGCTGAACTCTTTTCGAGGATATCTTTCGGTACAGATAGAGCCCCATAAAGAAGACTAGCTTGTAGACGCTTGAAAAGCAACGGAAATGGGGGTTCTGAGTATATTCGCACGAAGTCTTTCCGTACTGTAAGTTCATGAGGTGGAGTAGTAGAATCAGACAGAATAGAGTTTAAAAGTTGAGAAACTGAAGATTCTTGTGCCATAAGCCACGACTCCTCATACATTTCAGCTCTGCGTAAATCCTCCTGTAATACTGGATTTAGTCGTTGCCGAGACTGTTTGCCATCTAAGATTTGGAAAGGGGCCCCGGGTTGAAGAATATCCATTGGGAGTGAAAATGGCGCCAACTCGGCCTCCTCTTCCTTCGTCAAAGAAGGCGGTGTTGGTAGGAGTTGCATGCCAAGTTTCCGACGCTTAAGAAGTCGGAGTTTATCTGATCTAGTGTGCGAAGAGTTTCCAGACCCTGTTGTGGATGGTGTAGAGCTAGATGTGAAAGAAATATCATCATCTAGTATCATCGACTCGCTACTCCGTTTTAAGGATTCCCGTGCGAATCGTTGTGGCCCCCTGGAAGCATGGCGCTCAGGTGGTCTCATGTTTCCGATACTAGTATTGATATTTGCTTGTTTGGTTTCCTTCTCGCCCTCACTAGAAGCTCTCCCCGCGTTCTTATCAAAACCCCGCGCAGCGGGAAATTTTCCAGGAGGAATGTTTTCCTTCCCTCCCGAATTCCCACGACGGGTAATATCAGCCCCCGGCTGGTGAAGACCACGCGACGAAGCGTGAAGCGGCATTCGTCTCGGAGGTACATACAAAGACTCCTTCTCGACCGGCGCAACTTCGGTATTTGACTTCGCCTGGGAACTTGAGGAACCCTTCACCTTATCACCAAGCATTGCCTTATCATTTTCCTGCCAAGACCTTGCTGATGATACAACTGATGGAGTAACAACCGGAACTTCCTGTTCATTCTGAACCTGGGATCTCATCGCCGCAAGCATTGTGCTAACCCTACGTCGATTTTTCGTCTCAATCTTTTTTGCCATTCCGGTTCCTATCCTTCTTGGTTGTTGATGCAATCCTTGTCCTCTTATCTGCTGTTGCGGCGGCTGCAAGGCTTGAATGACATCAATGTGGAAATTGTTCTCAGTAGATACTCTTTGAGGAAGGGGTTTTTCTGGTGCCTTTTCTGTCAGAGCTCTCTCTGGCGCTCGATCGATAACTCTCTCCGGAGCTCTCTCGGCCTTTTCTAGCGCTGTCTGTCGTCGTCCGTTCTGATTTTGGCTTTGGTCCTGCTTCTGTACCCCTGTCATTCGTCTCGGGGGCTCGTGCAGCCCAGACTTTCGAACTTTGGTTGCTCTTTTCGGAAAAAGCTGGAAATCATCAGGTAGAGCTCTGGTGTAATCAAGGTCTTCATCGTCATCATCGTCATCGTCAGAAGCTACCAGCGGGAAGGAAGTCTGTAGCTGTTGTTGATTCCCTCCTGGGAAAGAACGAATAGGACATGGGGTTTCGTCGGCAAGGTGGGTTATTTCGTCCATCTGGAATTGTGGTGGTTGAACGCGAGTGACAGGGTAAACGAAGTGTTGGAAACAGTGAAAGCTGAGATTATGTTGCTGGGGCAACATATAGGCTTGGCAACATATGTTTTACTTTAGGCAATCAGGCCCAATCAAAATCCATCTGGTTAACCACAAATGGCAGATATCCTAATAATTGATTCTCCCGTCGTACATGTACCTACATACCTTCCTTCTAGTTTAACTACATGTACTTTAGATACATTTGATTAAATCTGACTACCGAAGATATATGCAGATACATAGTAGTTAAAAATTAAAGTATTTTGCTTCTACATATCGATCATGTAGGTACAGCGGTATGGAGCGGTAAATGTGTCGAAAGTAATTTTACCAACGGTAGTAAATTATTTACCACCGGTGGTATAAGCACTGAATTTCAGTCATTGTATCTGCACGCTATCCTACATTAGTACATTTCCACCGGTATAAACATTGACTTTCGGTCTTTATGCTGCGCTATACTAAATACCGCCACCGATGGTGAGATTCCCCACTGGTGGACAATTTTCATATATATTGGCATTATATGGCCCCTTTTGGCCAAAAGGTCTGTGCTTTTATCATAAAATTAGCATTATAGGGTATAAATACTGGTATTATTTTCACCACCGGTGGTAAAATAATTTACTACCGTTGGTAAAATTACTTTTGACACATTTACCGCCCCATACAGCGGTACATGTACTTTATTGATGTTACTTTCTGTATTTACCCACACGTACTCGCGCGTTAACTAAGTCCTGGGAAATGTTTTGGGGCCGTTGCGCACTTATGTACATTGGGCCCACGCCAAAGATACCGAACAGTGGTTGTAGCTACATGGATTGACAATCAACCATGAAGGAAAGAAAAAGAAATAGCCCATACTTTAATGTTGTTGCTTAAATCCAAGTATTTTTCGAATCAAAACAGTACTACATACAGAGAGCTAAAATTTTAAAGGAAGCTGCACATAGGACCCCAGTGGGCCCTAAAATTCTGGAGTAAAAATGCGATTCAACAGGAGATAAAAGACGGGAAATTAAAGGCACAACTATCCCCTTTTCCCCTTCGATCTCGCTCTCCAGGAGCTGAATTCGCTAATTTACTGATCATCCAGTTAACTGTATATCTCTTCCTGCTTTTCCCCCACTAAATATTTCCGAATGAGAAAGGAAAAATGAAATCAATGGAAAACCCACCCCCAGAGCCTTTGCAACTATCACACCCAAACCTAGGAGTAAAGAAAACAAACAAATAAAACACCGAAGGAAATAAATATGGAAACAGCAAGAAGAGAAAACAATCATGTACTCATTAACAGTCGCTGAATGCATGACGAAAGTAAAACGCCCCATATCGTAACAATTCCCTATATAAGTCTCACGCCCCCAGCCTTCGTCTTCTACCTCTGTTTCCTCCTTCAGGTCGCTGGGATAGAACATCTCTCAACTGCGGGTCGTCTTTATCTTTATCCATATGATGAACTCGCACATGCCTACAAAACCTCATATTAGAAAATCAAAATCAAGAATTCAAGAGATTGTTTAGAATACCGTTGTAGATTATCTGGCCTTGGGTACTTATGTTCCCTATCGGGACAAAACGGGCAGACGTATCCGGGCGAATCATGAACTAATCCATGGCGGATCATTTCATTCTTTCTTTTAAACCCTTTCCCACCTTCTGCCCTTGTACAGCCCTTTACAGGACAGTAGTGGGGTCTAGCGGACGAGTGTACATTGGCATGGGAACTAAAAATGTTAGCACAGTGAATTATGGATCGGTGTATTTTTGGCTTACTTCAATAGGTACTGTGTTTGAAAAGGTTGAGCTTTGCAACCTTGATATTCGCACTTAAAAACGCCAGCAGATAATGCTCCTTGAGTTCCAGCTGGCATCCCTGGACGGTTCCTAGGACTTGTTACAGTCTCATCAGAGCTGGCCATTGTTTCTCCTGTACTTGGGCCTGACGGTGGTGTATGTTCTGAATAGTATTCAAATGCTGAATCTCTTCGCCCACTTATTGTTGATGGCATATTATGTTGCTGCGCAAAAAAATTGGCCCCTCCAGGAGGAGGCGGTGAACTCATGATTCCTGGTAGCTCACGTCCAAAGTTTGGGCTAAAGGAGTTTGGATTCCCGTTGTTACTTGCATCTTTTATAGGTGGATAGGGAGACTGGTAGTGCTGATGTTGCGGGGGGTAATATTCCTGGCTCAAGAGAATTTGTTTCTGCTGCAACGAGAGATGATGCATAGGTGGGCGAGAGTTTCCGTCAGGGCCGTATCCGTGGGCTGCCTGTGCAGGACGGGGAAGACCAGGTGATTGGGCGGCTTGGCCCGATCTGTTAGAAGGCGCGACACTAACATGGGATGAGACGGTTGGATAAACCGTCCTAGCATTTGGGGCCATACGATTGTTGTTAGCCCATGTGGTTTGCTGTTGCTGAGAAGACTCCTTCTCAGCAATATCTGCAAGAACATGGATTGACGATACTGGTGGTAAAGTCGTATGCCTCCCATCGCCTCCAGGAAGACTATTCGGCGGCGAGCTTGCCGAAGGGGCATTCATTATCGAGGGGAGAGAAGGAGAGGAATTGGGTAACGGTAATTTGAGATGTTGACCGGGAGGTGACTGGGCATGAGGCGTTGGTGCCCATGACCCACCACTCGTGGACGTGGGGAAAATTGCTGGAAGCGATGCTCCTGATGAAAAAGGCTGTTGATCTTTACCAGCCGCCCCCGCAAGAGCCATGAGATTATTCACCGCTGCTTCGGAAGAAGGTACTTCAACCTCCATGGCATTGCTGTCCTTCCTGCCCATAGAAGTATCGCCATCATTTGTTCCATCATTCTCTTTCTTGAGCTTTTGTTCCCCGTTCATGGACTTCTCATTGGGACCTTCATCAATATCCATTGCATCTGCATCCGAAGTCAGCTGTTCCATTTCTTTAGCCTTTTTCTTCTTGTCTTTCTTGTCCTCTTCCTTTTTCTCCTCCTCCTCCTTGTCGTTATTCTCTCCATCATTCCCACTAGCCCCATTCCCTTTCTCTTTACCCCCATCTCCGGAATTTCCTTTTCGTTCATCGCCTCCTCCTCCTCCTCCTCCATCGCCACCTTTAGCTACGCCGCCATCGGTTGAGTTTCCGTCACCATTATCCATATTTCCGTTGTCATTTACACCTTCATCGGATTGTTGTCTGCTCATACTCCTGCTATCATTGTCACCGTCACCCCCACCTGGCCTGTCATGATCCCCACTCTCTGTCTCCATTTCTGTTTCCGTAGATTCGCTCCCACTGAGCCAAAATAATGGGCTCTCGCCGGCTTTAAGTGCAATTTGAGGTTGATCGGGTGCGAGGAAACTAATAAGGACGGCGTCTCCCCGTGATGCGCGTGGAATTCCCCTCGGCCGCGGACTTGAAGGGGCCACTGTAGAATCCTGTGATACAATGGAATCGCGGCGCCCACCCTGGTTATAATTATCAGGGAAAAGCTGCGGGTGAGCCTGCTCAAGTACTGGAGAAGACGTAGTGGACACGGTGGGGGTGGAACGGTTAGAGTCCACCGGTCCAGGATCGTAAAGATGGGAATTCAGCGTAGTTATTTTGTCTATAGCCTCGTTTTGGATTGGAGGTCGTTGATAGGGCGTCAGCGGTAGGCCCTCGGGGGTTTGTCTTTTGTCTTTTGGATTTGGGGGCGGGACTGGCGAGACGCAAGTTAATTGATGTGGTGCCTCTGGGAGTGGTGTTGAGGAATTGGGATTCGATGGAGCGGCAGATTTTTGAGGATTTGAAGGTGTTGAGGAATTGGGATTCGATGGAGCGGCAGATTTTTGAGGATTTGAAGGGTTAGGGAAGTCCTTTGATCGCTGCTCTGTCCCAAGTCTGAGAGATTTTAGCGCATGCTCTAACCTGTAGTTGGCATGCGACTGCTCAATGTATTGCCCTTCACCAATGCTTTTTTGATCTGCTGGTTTCTTATACTTGGGTTTAGATTTGATGAGGTCTAGGCCGCTAATGGATTCGTCCTTCGAACCGTGGGTTAGGCACCCTGCGGCTGAATTGTCTATCCTAATCAGATTCTGCAAGATCTCATTCTTATTTCGCATATCCTGGGTTACGGGGGTTCACTTACCCCAGGTTTGAGTAAAGAGGCAACAAATTTGTTTAAAATTATCCTTCTGAAATTGAATGTCAAAATCCGAGTTTACTTTCCTAAAGCTAATGCCAGCCTTGAAGCGATGGTCGCAGATGTCGTTTATTTTTGGCAGTAGTTGCACAGAGAAAGGAGGGGAATCGAATGGTGCTGAATCAAGACCTATGCAGGCGACGAAGAGAAAAAGGTAGATACCGAGGTCAGCTTTATCCGATCAAAATTGGCGGGGGAATCGAGGAAATCGCAATAAGGGACGCGCACAGTAGGAGAGGGGATCGAGAGGGAAAAAGAAAAAGGCAATAAATTTGAATGAGAAAATAAAAGGCAAGGTAGAGGCACAAAGATATGAGCATAAGAAGTGGCAACACGATCAAGTTAAGATACAGAGATGCAGCAGGATAACCGACGTGGTTCCATTCATTTAGGACCTAAAGTTGATGGATTCAACCTGGAGAGTGGTGAGATGCGGCTCATGCTGAGGCTCTGAACCAAGCACAGAGCCCCACAAAGCACGACCAATCGTGCTCCGTCCCAACCGGAATCCACGAACAATAACGACGACCAAGTACACTTTTTAGCCGTTACAGCGGAGGTTTTCTCCAAAAATGAAGAAATACGACAAGTAATAATAGCAAATGATCCAAATTGACGAAACTTGCAAACCCACTCACAAATTGACGTATTCAACGACTGATGACGCCGAACAGCACACAGCATAATAACCTTTCCAGAAGCAACGAACTTTCAATTAGCCAATGCGGGCCACAGTTATCGTAGCTTTTTTCGATCTTCCTAATCGTATAATTCTCAACAGTGATTTCCGTTATACGATCCTACGTCGAGCCAAAAACCTTTTGTTTTTGGTTGTGATGATGACGACTATGATGAGGCTGAGAGGCTGAAAGGAGGGGAGGGATGACGGGCGGATGATAGCGTCGCTGCAACGGTTGTGTTGTGGGTAAAAGAGCCTCGAAGAATAACAGGGGGAGGGCTTGGGACTAATCAAGAGATATAGCAGGGCAACTCAAAACAGAGAAGAGAGTATTTTAGTAGTAGTAGTGATAGTACTGTAGTGGTAGTAATGGACGTAGTAATGGTAGTAATGGACGTAGTAATGGTAGTAATGGCAGTAATGGTAGCAGTTGTAGCAGCAGTTGAAACAAAGACCTAGAATGGCAGTCTGTTCGTAGTTGAAGAAAGGTGAAGATAGAAGGTAGAGAGAGAAAGGAGAGAGAAAATGTAAAAGGGAGTGGCAGGACAGACGGATCGTAAGTTGAGGGGTGGAGGGCTAAGTTCGCGACCTCTTGAAGTACTTCTTGCTTAGCGGGATTTTGGAGGCTCAAGGCGACGAGACCTTAACTTGTACGCTATTGAAGTCTAGGGACTAGCGTCACAACCATACGTTAGGTCGGCTCTCCAGCAGCCAATAGTCGGGTGATCAGCCAGCTCTAGAAAGGGGAGTGTGTCTATCCCTTCCTTCCTTTGTCGCAGATGTGAATTTGATCAGCTCTATTCTTTCACTCACTAGTTATGTTGTATGCTTTCCTTCCTCCACTTCCTCCTCCCACTCCCTTACTTCTCGCACTTTTTCTTCCCTTTCCTTTGTAAAGATATAATATGTATCAAATTGAGATTGAGTGGTCGAGGTCCCGTTTGTAGACAGGATGTTTCCCAGAGAAATACAGCACAAGAAGAAAAAAAAAAGAAAAAAAAAAGGCGGCTGACAATCAAGATTATTCTGTTACTACTAAGTATGTTGAATACTAGATAGATCTAGCCACGTCCAGCATAACTCTCTGGGTCCGAGCTCCACATATAGTGAGTACTGAGTAGGACAGCCAGGCAAGTGAGAATAATATTGGATAAGATATGGTTGGTTCAAGTGTGATAGGAGGAGGAGGAAGAAGGCGGCTGATAGGTAGATGTGCGGATGGGCTGTAGACCACGACGGGAGCTCTAAGGTTCCGTAACCGGGACCGATGTTTCCGGGTTCGGGTCGGCGTTCTGTAAGTATAAGAAATGGTCCGAATTGTGAGCCGAGAGTAAAGGAATGGTGAAGACCACAAAGATGAGAGGGTAAAAGAATTACAACGTAAGTAGGTACTTGTGCGAAGAACTACCCACAACTTTCCTCACTGCAGCAACAATGCAGCTACCTTGATGTGGAGGTGGGGGAGCGGATGTCAGTTGGAGGCTCCGAACGATCTGGCGTGTTTGCGGCTTCAAATTCTCGGCAAGGATCATGGACATGAATACCTATCTGACACAACCGGACGTGAAGGAAGGTCCGGCTCTAGGAAAAGAGCCGCGCTGCAGCAACGAGCCTGTATGTCGCAGGCTCAAAAAGCAGATATTGACCAGGGTCGAGAATGCAGCAAGGATGGGGGCGGTTGAGATGAGGATTGGCTCGGAAAACAGCTGGAGTGGGATTGGATAGATGGAAGAAAACGATATTCTATATACTGTATCTGTGTCTGCTTGGTCACTGGACATACATGCACCTTATAGTTTCCTCTAATGATCTAGACGAGTGCTACTCGAGACGTATGTATGGTACAAATAACATGAGGTTTGTATTTCTTCGAATTCAATATCGCAAGTACTATCATGTAGTCTAGGTAGTCTACTACTCACACTGAGTACTAGGCATGTATGTCAGCCCGCGTATGTGCACCCCCAAAGCCTTACTTCACGCCTTCCAGCAGTGTTAGTGCGGCGAAAAATGAGGGGCTCTTATGGGGCTCTTATGCTCCGAATTGCTTGGCCTGTCGCTACACGGAAACAATATCGCCACCGTCGATCTTACAGTACCCGTCTCATCACTTCAAATAACTTCGTGAAGTCTCGAATCCCAAATATCGGCACATGTACGTACATGTATGTACTCTAGAAATACATGACATGGTAGACTTCGGAAATCGCCAAAACCTTCAAATGAGTAATATTTGAATACAGTAATTAATTAATTACCCATAACGTTATAGTAATTTGTCTTTACCCATATTTCTCTCATACTCGACGTTAACGATTTGATGGATGGTGATTAACAAAAAAGGTCTTGTAAGAGGACCGGCACAGCCCCCGGCAAAAACACAATTAGGTTGTGAAACTTTAAACGAGGTGCACCCTGCTGAGGAAGTAAACCCCCGCCCAGGCCTACAAAATTTACTTCCAAGTGTTCATATAACTTAACAAAACACAATTGCTGGTACTGTTAGTAAAGTATGCAATTTATAATCCCCTATGCTCACTAAAAATTACCTTCATTCGAGTACTTGCTCTTTGTGAATTTGATTTGTGGGTGTGAGGGAAAGGGCTCAGGCGCCTAAGGAGTGGAACCGAGTTCGAAGATGAGTGGATTCCTCTCACCATGCACAACTTCCCCCTTCTTACTTCATCACAGAGTTTCTAAGGATTGATTCCTTGTCAAGGTGCTACGCATGACGTGCAACCTACCCAAGTTACAGGACAGGGAATCATAGTCCTCCCCGATCGGTTTTCGAGCCGGGCAAACATTTGCATCTCGCGGGATCGCTCCTCTCCAATTCAAACCATCCAAGAAGCTTAATCTAAGTGTCTTTATTCGATCCAGAGCCCGATATTTAAAGGGGGGTCCTTCTACTCTACATACGACCCGATTTTTACAGAAATCAGTCTCTGCGTATCTACAGTTCAGATAGTTCAAATGCTGTCATGCTGCCCGTTTTGAGTGTTTGAAGTTACTGATGAGTACCTACATGCATGTTTCACTCGGCATCCAGAATAGTGAGAGATATGGTGTGCGGCACGAGCCTCTGGCTCTACTCCGGAGTAGAGTAGGCACCACGCTAGAGCACTCGGAGACATGATACGAAGGTTTGTGTAACTTTTATTATTTAGCGGCTCATATGTGGAGTAGGTACATGGATTTGATAAGTCTGGACCACGACAGAACGATGTGAGATAAACTCGCTGTACCACGAGTTTCTGCTTTTTAACACCCTAAACAAAGATCGAGAGAGAATTGTGGGGGTGAGGCACGATGTGAGAGCCTCAAGTGTTCAACGCCGACTTGCATACATGAGCCGCTTTTAAGCCGCCTTGCCGAGCAAGGACTGGCATCCCTGTCTTGCTTGCTGATGCTGTAGCCTCATGTTGCCGCAAAAGCATTCCAACGGTAATTTACATCTACTCTAGAGTACCTACATGTATACTAGGTAACATTCGAGAGGTTGATGCTCATCAAGTGATCCCACGATCTAATCATGATCCAGTAACCGCCTCAATCCAGGTAGGGGGAAAAGATGAAGGCCCATCGCACTAGTGCTATACTAACGTACTCTATATCTCCCAGAAGAGCTTTTTATATATTCACCTACTCTGCATAGTGCAATTCGGTTTGCATCTAGCCGAGGTGAGTTTCACGCTGTGCAAGTCGTTACCTACTCCGGATCAATCATTGACAATCAACCCAAGGACGTAGGCCAGGTCTGAATACTACCGAAATCCGGAATTTTGTGAGCGGGTCTGACCCAATATGATCATTTTTATGTCGATACCGCTCGTACGATTTGGATTGACTAAGCCGTTATTTTACCCCTCGGCGGCCAGGCCTAATTGAAATTCATCCAATTAACCACAATTAACCACACACGACAGGTAGAGTATGATAAGGAGAACTGTAGGAGCGGACAGCTCTGCACGCCTTCTCAATTACCAAACTTAAACAGGCAACGTGAGGAATTGTTTTATCTTCGAAGTTTCTCTCATACCTTCCTTTGGTAGCTAGTCAGACGAATTCCGATTAGGTTAGGTCATCGAATATATACAGTATGTTTAATTGCACTTACTTGTCAAACAGTAAATCGCACAATTTTTAGAACTTGCGAGAAGGCAGTCGTTGATGTCTCAATTGCAATATGGTATTCTATTAGAATAGACTATCCCTTGGACGGATGAAACTGTCAAATTCGCAGCTTGCCTTTTTTGAGCTAATACTAGCCTAAGCAGGTATCTAACACTTATTTTTGATTCGCTCTAGGTCTATTATCAACCATTAAGAGCAACGGATATACCCAACTCAGTGCGTGCACGGTCCAGGCTGCGAATTTGACGATTTCATCCGTCTAAGGGATAGCTACGGTATTACTACGGTGTAGTAATTAACATTCGGATTTAACTCAGAGGTTATACAAATTAATTCCGTATTGCTACAGTGTCTATTACATCACATTTTTATACTGCAGGCAAATTATAAAGTATATGTCCTCTAATGATGCTCTGGGAACCGAGATTGACGATATGTGTATAATCATGATTCGGCTCCGCATGCAGTACCTACGTACCTACATATTTATGTATACTACGTTGATCATGACGGATCGATATCGGGAATAAACCGAGGAACTTGTGTCCTCTGACTTGCTACGTCTCCTTGTACCTAATTATAAAACACCATATCTAGCTGGGATGAGTGGTTACGAAATCGAGGCTCAAAAGAAGGTTTCAAATGCCCAGATATCTACCTGTCGTAATTCTCAGCCCATTTTTAAGCGAAGAGACCAGACACAGCAACGTCGATCAGGTACATACATGCAGCATATCAGAGCACGATAAGTACCTACATAAACACATTCACAATTTCTTAGTCGTGATAATTACATGTACTTATCCAGATATAATTCTTTAAGAGGCCGAGAAGGTGATATAAATAATGTAAAGCCTACAATATCAGCTAGTTTCATACGGTGTGTCCTTTAATTATGTATGCATCCAAATCATACATGCTAGTACACACTGATCTAGAGTACATGTAAGGAGCAGCTCTGCAGCTAGCTGTATGATCTTGCAGGGTTGGGAGCAGTTGAGGCTCAGGAGTAACAGCATCACTCACTTTCTGCACATAATCGTGTGACGTACGTGGCACATGTACTTTTATGACCTTTATACCCTACACCTACAGTTCATATGTCCATGTGCCCGGCAATGGACGGATACAAAATGCTCGATCCGTTTAAGCGCCTTTGAGGCAAATTATCTTGCAGCGAGGGTAGGTTAATAACAATAACTATGGACATGAGGTGCTGTAGCATGCTCGTTATATACTAGTCCTCTTTCTATCGGTATTGAAGCCATCATGGCTACTACTTCATGGGTTGCACGGACTTAAGTGATACGTATAAAAATTTTATAAAATTTCAGCCTTGATCTGTTCGGTTCTCAGTACATGTGTAGGTACTTTTAGCTGTACCTACACACCCTCATAATATCTTTTTAATCTTCAGTACTGGTAACTGTAACCATCCACCATCCCTGATCTGAGGATTAGGCGTTATGCCTCATCCAGTCCTCAATTAAAGTAACGTGCAACCTTCCTAATGTGTTGACTTGCCACTTGCAGGTACTAATCCCGGCGTACTCTGGAGAAAATCCGTCTTGGTTTGGTTTAGTTAACCAGAATTTCAGAAAGGCTAAACTCATCGATATCTAAAATATTTGATGGTAGAGTACATACTAAAAAGCTGTGACCACAAAGCTTGGTATGCCAACATACACGATCTGTATCTCGCCTCACTGATCGTGAGGATCAACCATCTCTTGTATCGTCAATTATTCAGTAGTCCTCCAAAACATTAATGGCTCTTTTAATCCGTGGAAGTACTATATAGCTGAGCGCTCTGGTTCAAAATCTAGAGATAGCATCTATAATGTACTGTCTCTATTTTTTCTATTATTGGAACGGTCTGATTGGCTGTTGGGTGCAGGGATGTTGATTAGTCAGCACGACACATCAAAGTACTGAGCACTCACGAGAGGAGGAGGATGGGACCGAAGGCCCCTCATGATTGTAGAGGGAGAATTAAATTTTATTTGATACCCATAATTCAACGTACAACTCGCGGTCGCGAGTTGGCACACCCCTAGTACTACATGTATGTATATATACTACACGCGTGACGGAGCCAGGGGTTTGAGAAATCCATGGATATCAGTGAAATATAATCGGGACTTCTTAAATATTCGTGCCACCACATTTCAATGTGATTCTCGGTAACCCTAGGCCTCCGAGTATTCTTCTGTCATCTGGAGGGTCGCCTGTTGAAATCATGCGTCTGAGGTACATACATATATATATACATGTATCTCACCACCTCGTAGGTTTAGGAGGACAGCACACTGTCCTGAAATGGCTAGAATATCCGAATATTTGAATTTCTCAGAACATGCGCCGAGCGACTATCAATGGCTATATATAAATTACAAGTGGAGTGCGGCCTCCGGCCGCCCAAATGTGGTGAGGAAATGAAGGTGCGGGCGGTACTGCGATAGTAATTTCTTAGATTATTGCTGTTATTCTGGATCATTGGGTCATCCAAACGTACAGGCGCGCACCAAACGATCATATAGGTAATCTGCGATTTATTAGCTCTAGTATGCACTCTAAGTCATTCAATAAGTAGCTTTAGTATGTACATGTAGTTCATGATAAAATGCTATCAGGGAAATTCGACGTTGATATATAAAAATATGGCTGTAGTTCTGTCAGTGTTTGTTCTTTTATATCCATCAATTGCAATAGCTACATGCCTTTAATGCCAGTTCCCTTCCATCTCGGGAGTAGTTCTTTGTCTACTTGTGTAATGATACGCAAACAATATTAGAAATAGTACGCAACCAATAGAAAACGTTCCTGGTGACGATGAGGAAGACTATATAGTTTAGATGAGTTGATCTTGTCTGTCATTAGATAGCAATACAGTACGAAAAAAGAGGATGTAATAGGTACTGTACCAATACGGAATTGTGCAAAACTTCCGAATTAAATCGGAATCCTAACTATTATACCGTAGCAATACCGTAACAATACCGTAACCCTACGGTATTTTGCCAGATATGGTACTGGATCCACCCGCTTTTTTGGTACTGTAGTTACGTAACGCAGATCTTCTGCTGCTACTCTACATTAATCGCATACATTATATACATATATATAGCTATATACATGCATGTATATAGGTCGAAACTCTTCCTATAATTTTGATTCGATCGGGTCCTAACCTTTTAACTGTATTGAACATCCAAGTTCAAACACATACATGTACACAGATTATTAGTATTATATTCATAAAAGCTCTAGTATATATATAACTATATATTAGAGCGCACCACACTCTGCAAAGACCTAGACCTGGGAATACCTATCCAGGGGGTAATATATAGAAATTGTGTGTACAATACTACATGTTATACTCGGCCTCATATAGCATTTCGGGGACCTATATCTAATAGCCTAATCACAACTTCTTAGTACGTACGCACGGTCCACAGCTACAGGCCTATATCCACATTTATAAACCTATAGATCTATTAACTCCATAAGCTTACATTTTGAGAGTTGACAAGACAAATTTCCCCAAGAATAGGTTGGATCCCCGGACACTCTTTGCAATTTGCGTTGCACTTTTTTATATAGATAGTCGCGGCGTACCCATGGCGCTTGCATGCACGAGTACCTACATGTAGGTGCAAAACGAAGTTTTTTTATTTTTGAGAACATTGGCTTACAATTAAGGAGCTGTGCCACTATGCTATCGACTCCTCATGCTCAAGACTGAGAATGTGGAATTTTTTGTCGGTGCCAATTGTAACTATTGAATGAAGGGATGCGTGTGGTTCTATGAATCTAGAATTCTTAGATCTATAGATCTGATATATACTCCGGCCAAGCAGAAATTAAAAGCCTAAAGTACATACTTCACCCTGCCAAGGCGCGTCCCCATTTCTGTCTTCTGGTGGACCAGGTTTAAGAGTTTCAGAAATATATGCACTATATTATTTTAAGTAGAATAGATTGATTGTAGCTGATGGCCTGTTAACTTTTAATTTTCTGCGGGTCTGTGGCAGGGCAATTGCATATATGTTTAATTCCTGCGACAAGATATACTACATGTAAGTACTTAATTATACGTAAACGCGCGCACTGTGATCCTGCTTATCTCGCCCAGGTAATATATAAATACTTTGGAGAAATCAGAGTGAGTACTTCCCGAGTTGGCATAGCCCACTGCATCACTATATCGAGTGACAGAGCATGAAGCAATTGGATAATCCTCGGGTCTAGCTAGCTAGATCTAGCCCGGTAAGAAAGCTCAGGCTCAACATGGCCGAGGCCCTGACCGGCCACCTGCGCGCTCTCGGCGTAGGGAAATGCTGTATACTGGGCTAATTGGGTCGTAGCTAGCTTCTGCAGAAAGCAATACACTCTGAATGAGGCCAAGGGTTGGATACCCAGGTGTAGGTGTATGTATTTAGTACTAGTACATGTACATGTAGTTAGACGGCCAGCATATAATGTACGTCCGTTTGGCGCGATTAATCAATCAATTAGTACATGTAGGCTTTGAGCGACGTACTAGGTTGTTTAGGCGAGTGATAGTTCATGAAAAAACCACTTTGCTGATATAATATATTTAAAGCCCGTTTGGGAATGGGCACTTATAAATAACACCGTTTTACTCGATCTCCGTCAGTAGAACGGTATTTAAAACTGATGCACCATTTGGAGGAAATAACGGTGGGGTTGATTGCGACGGTGGGGTTGCGACGGTGGGGTTGATGGCTTATGTCTATATACATATGTAACTATATATAAACAGATTTTCATATAAATCCGCTCCTTGTTCGTTGGTGCATGCAGTATTCCGGATCCGGCTGTGGTACATGAGAAAACCACTCCTGAAAATACCTTTCAAAATCTACGACGGTCCTAGCAATCAGATTCCCTTAATTGCAACCCTCTAGAACTGGTAAACGAGATGAAAACCACCTTTTAAATTTGTTTGACGAGGGATAGCTATATTTGAGGTGTATCCCGTGGCCGCCGCCCTCTTAGCTGCATGACGATACTTTATAATTATAAGTGAACCAAATCATCGTGTATATTATAGCGGATACCTGAATTGAAAATGATTAAATTCTGGTCTAGCATATTGTTATACAAACACCTAATAACATGTATGCAAAGAAGGGAATATTCTAAAACTTGCATGCTAAATTTCAATGGATAAAAAGGGTATCATGCCACGCCTTAATCAGAAACACCAAAGAAGAAAATTCCGAGACCCCATAACTCTAAATAGAGACTCATTCAACTCTATTATTTTCCATAACCCATGAAAAAGAACTCTGAAACCTGTGTCATCAAGTGTCCCGGGAAATGAGATAAATCCCCATGCTGTGTTAGGTTCCGAACGTCTAAATTCCGACATTAGGTTCATCGTTGATCGTTTTGCCGATATTCGAGCTCAACAGGCCTCTACACTCTTCTCTATGCTGTACCGCGCCATCGCGAGGGACCTGGCGGTTTTGGTCTAAAGACGACGATGCCGAAGGCAAAGGCTGATTCGTAGAGATGGCGCTGTAACCCCGCTCAATAGAATTAAAAGCAGATCGTGGGGCCCCAGCATGACGGTAAAGGATGTAGTGCTGGATTATGAATAGGATGTCGAAGATGATTGTAATTTGACCAAGGAAGAACTTGATAGGGTTACCAGTTAGGCCAGACCAGTCATCTATAAATATAGTTTAGCATCATAGTTATTCGGGAATTATGGACAGCATGGCGTGGTTGAAGCACTGGGGTTTACATACTTTGTAAACTTGAATCCAACACTAGTTGCCCAAGCGACAACGCACCACCAGAGATATCGAGGAGAATGTTATGTATTGACCACCCAGTGGTTGCCTTGCGTCGATAATTAAGATACGCCTGTGGGATGTACTTTACGATGGATATTAAGAGCTTAACATATTGCAGTGTATAAACCTAAACAAAAAAAATGCACACGGGGCATGGATCTGAATTAGCGACTATATGATGTAACGCTCTCTCTAAATCAGTGGTTAAATACGCACAACGTCGATCCATTCCCAGTTGCTATTACTAAGGGCGAGGAGCACAGCGATAGTTATGGCGGCAACGCAACTCATAGCGATAGCACTCATAGTCCGCGACATACGCTGTGATGAATGCCTCTTGTAACCCCAGAAGTAAAACTGCGATAGAGTTATTGAGCTTATGAGTAGCGCATGTGCCTACTGTCGTTAGCAACTCAACCTCCGTCAAGAAACTGGCTTATTAATCGGCATGAAGGGGTCATAATAAACTAACAGCAAATGCCAAATCATTCCACCTTACGGTCGGCTCTTCAGCACCAGGGTGTCGACGAGCGTATTCATCTCTCACAGTTGGTGAGAAAAGAAAGAGAAATGACGATATAGTGTAACAAATATACCCGAGGACATTAACAGCAAAGAAGTCAACCGCAAGCCCGGTGACGGACTGGCGTTGATGGTTAGCTAAGAGCTGAGGGTAGAAGGATATTGACCAACAGAGGAAGTAAGACCAGCCTAGAAGGCGTGAGATTACAAGGGCAAGGAAATCGTGTTGAGAAGCAGCAAAGAGGATGGCCATTTGATAAAATTTTTTTAGTTGAGATGGTAGGCCTGTGGGGATGCGTGAAAGAAGAAAGGATTATTGACAACTCCCGGAGTGCATGAAATAAGGTGTTTCCGTAGGGCTGGCAGTTATTATTAAGAAGTGATCTATTGGAGAGATAAGTGTTTGTCGTAATTTAAATCTATTGTGAGGACGAGATGTTTAAATAAAAAGTCGATAACGATGATGTTTGAAGAGTATGTACAAACACACATGTAGATAAGTAGCTGAGCATAAAAAACCTCAAGCTCTTATTCATCCGCCCCTTGCAGTCCCAGAGGTCAGCAATCACGTCATTTCCGCCAAGCAAGCCCTATGCATGCTGCAGATCAAGATTAGATATGGTACCTACATGAGTACCGACATGTAGGTACTTTACCTACATCCTACATAAGCGGTCGCACATGCACCTCCATATCCAAAACTTAGAGTACATACTTGTAGGCTGTTTTATTCCACCTAGCAATACCTACCCTATTCGGTCATACATACAATGGCATCTACAGTACATGTTCCTTCAACCGCTATGTGGAAGAATACAAAAAAATCAATATGTACAACGTGGGCCCTTTACTACATACAAGTATCTACCAGTTTTGGGCCGTATAGGGGCCATGGGAATATCAAGATGTATTATCTGCACGGGTCTGCAAATTCCCTCAAATACCGCCCCCGATGCTTTAAAAACCACCAGACCCAGGATGCCTTAATTAAAGGCGCAAAATAAACTGATCAGTGATGTGGCAAAATAGTAATATCTCCGCTATAGATGTAAGCTCTTTCCTCAATGAGTATATCTGAGTAGTCATGTGCGTTTTGGCGAAATCGAATAGCATCAGCTGGAAAACTCCATCTGGTCGGGCCATTTTGAAGCTGGGATCAGGCTCGCGGCCAGTGCCGGAATAACAGCTATAATTTGCATCTTTAGAACCGAAGATCTCGGGTACCTGCATCACAGCTATAAAGGTGGAATAATACTAGTGTTATGTTAGCCGTGTTGCCACATGTAGATATACCCGCTTATCAGCTGTGATGGCGGATCTTCTCTGATGACCATGTTTGCAGTATTTACTTACCTTGGCATCCCCAAAGTGACTCACCCCGTGAGTGAGTGTACTTATGATCAGTTTATGAATCTAAGGGTTCGATGAAGCTGCATGATCACGATGTTGTGAGCAAATGAAGGACCTTTTAAGAATATAAAACAAGTATACTTAAGTTATCACACTCCTACCTCAAAACAGTATGTGCTTATTGGAATAAATATGCCGCAAACAGTATTTTTTGCGGTTGAGTACAGTACTACATGTATATATACGACTTGTCCAGTACCTACATGTACTTTAAATTTCTGTGCCCCTCAACATACCCTTAAAATAACCTACATAAGTACTCGTCTATAATTCATAGCGTTTCCGAGGGCTTGACGCTTTTTTATATGGCATGCAATAGCAGCCGTGTTCGGAAACGTCATGAAATTAGTAGTACATATGTGTGGATATATAGAAACTACATGTATATAGCATGTGTCTACCTCTACATATTCCTTCATGAGCATGATCATTGCAACAAACAGCTTGGTTAAGAAGTACATATATATCTACGTATACATTATGTACTTAAGACGTATTTTCAAACGCATGAGTATATACATGTATATACATCTGGCCTATTGTGGTGAACACATGTAGATTATTCTTCAAGTTCTCGTTGACAATATACACATGCAGTCGTTCGCCGTCACTCGACAATACTTCCAGTTGGACACAGTTATGGCAAGATCTCCAGGGGTTTTTATTTTATTTCTATTGGCCCAAATTCCTCTGTTTGTTATACCGTTCAAGCAAGGATCATACAGGGTGGTTGGTCATCAAAAATAATGCAATCAGCTGGGCTCTTCACTCAATCTCTTGGCGATCTGATAACGGTCGCGACCTCAACCCTCCTTCAGACCTCCCCCCAGACTGTACTGAAGAGAAAATTCGCTCTTTGCATCAAACTCGCTCCCAGTTAGCATTCAATTAAGTTCTCCTCATCGAAATCACCATTGACAACGCGTTAGTTTTGCTGGACTATGGTATAGCACCCTAGTCTCACCCATCGCAACAAATCGGGCACTATGGCACCATCCCCTAGTTCTGGTGGACGTACTCCTTCAACTCGTGGTCGAGGAAGAGGCCGACCGCGGCTAAGAGGTCGTGCAAATAGTCTGCTCAGTGGTAGGAGACGCACCTCGTCTCTCCCCGCATCTGTCCCGGAAAGCTATACTCCTACGGGCCGCCGAAGACCTGTTTACCAGAATGGCTACAGGCCAGGAGGTGCTGGCGGTGGTGGAAGATATATAGATCACTCTACAGGATCGATCGTTCCAGCAAACGTTTACAACACCACCACTACTCCAGCCCCAAACAGACGAAGAGCTCCAGTGACTCCGAGCGTGACGGCGGCGGATGGAGTTTACAAGCCAAGGGAGGAGAAGAGCTATATAGAGTTCCATCCAGATCTAGATGTGGATGCTACGCTGGAATGTTTGTCCGCAGAAGACGTCGATGGAGCAAGCTATAAACCCCCGGAGTGCGGGAAGAGTGTGAAAATCGTGGATGTTAAGGAAGAGATCGAGCCACAGGAAGAGAGGTCTACTACAGGTTCGAGGAGATGGGATATAGGAATGAGCCTCGATGGAAATGGCCAAAATGTTGATGAGATATTGGATACAAACACTGGGATTATCACATCATCATTTACAACCTACTCTTCAGCTCTAAACGGTACCGTCTCCGCGTCATCCTTGAATGACATAGATATCGACATGTCCGATGCCCCCACACCTACCCTAACCCTCACTACAGAAGGCGTTGAAAAACCGCTAAATCTCTACAATATTAACCTCCCCATCGACCCCGCCCTAGCTGCTCTCACCTCTCCTTTGCCATCGGAGCTCACTACTCAGATACCAATCGACCCGGCCCTCTCACAAGTGGATCACCAACTAATCCCACAAACACCCGCCATCACCCCAACAGAAGAAGTATCAATTACTCACCCTCCTGTCACACCTGGCCCCATAAGAACTTCTCGTAGGGGCGATGATGGCCCCACTCTCGCATCCCTGCGTGCTCATCGATCAAATGCTGGCAAACCTCCCCTCCGTCAAACTGTTGCCCACCCACAGTCGGTCCGACGTCCACGGGCCCAAACATCAACCCAGGCGTCATTTGAAGCCGAGAAGCTCAACCTTCCAAAGCCAAGTTACCGCAAGATAACTCCTTTTCAATTCTCTGAATTTGCGTGGTCTTCCTCTGTCGGATCTACTGGTCCCTATGGCCTCAACAACCCACCGTCTTCCTATTCCATGGGATCCGGTAAGGGTCGTCGTCGGCTGGAACCAACCACACCCGGATCAGTAGATCGGTCTATGGCGCTAATGGGTTACCAGCAAACATCGCTATTCACACTTCCTCATACCCTCCTCCGTGATGTCCCCGACCTTGGCATCGATGAGGAACTCAACAGCGTCGATATTCTAGACCGTGTGGAATATGACATGGATGAACAAGACGATAAATGGCTGACCTCCATCAATGCGTATCGTCTCCTTACCTCAGCCGCCCCCATCACCCGTGAAATTTTCGAAATAACAATGACAAAAATTGAAAAGGAATGGGTGACGTTGGAAAAGAAGATCCCAAAGGTCATAGCCAAACCCCACTCCACATCCTTTTCCGCACGGCGTCGTCGGACAACTGGTGATGATGAAGAGGAAGAGGAAGGGGCCGAGGACAGTAAATGCGCAATCTGTGATGACGGGGAATGCGAGAATAGTAACGCCATTGTTTTCTGTGATGGTTGTAACCTTGCCGTTCATCAAGAGTGTTATGGCGTTCCATATATACCGGAGGGGCAATGGCTTTGTAGAAAATGTCTTACAATACCAAGGCAAACGGCGCATTGTATATTTTGTCCAAATACCGATGGGGCATTTAAGCAGACCACTACAACGAGGTGGAGCCATCTTTTGTGTGCTATTTGGATACCAGAAGTCCGATTGGCGAATCCGGCCTATATGGAGCCTGTGGATGGGATGGAGTTAGTGCCGAAGAGTAGATGGAGGCTGGTGAGTTCCAACTGGTTGAATTTTACAACCATGTTGTATTTTTTTAGGCATCATTTCTTTGCTGACTTCGGCGTGGCAGACGTGCTATATCTGCAAGCAAAAAATGGGCGCATGCATTCAATGCAGCAACAAAAGCTGTTTTATAGCCTTCCATGTTACTTGTGGCCGACGGGCGCGGCTGCACATGAAAATGAAGAATACCTCTGGGCCGGGTGCGCAGTTGGAGGCATCGGGGCTGAAGGCATACTGCGACAAGCATGTTCCTGCCGATTGGAGACGAGAGAACGATGTAAGTTCTCTACAGAACCTTCTGCCTATCAATCACTGACAATTCTATAGGTCGATGAAGCTGTCATGGACGCCATGGAGTTCTATCATCAAACAATGGCTGGTCGCAACTGGGGCGACTCTCAATCCGCTGCAATGGCCCTTCCAGACCCTTCGGAAGAAAACAGTCCCCCTAATGGCATCCTTGTTGGAGGCAATCTCCCCCGTCTAAACCTAACTTTCGGCAATAAACGCAAACGCAATGCGAATCCGAAATCAGTGTGGAAACTTCCCTCTGGCGCACCCGTAATACCACATGTCATCTACACCGCCGTTGTCGAATTTCTCTCCCGCTTCAAGGTTTACAAGAAAGAGGAATATGTTGCTGAAGCGTGCAAATATTGGACCCTTAAGCGGGAAGCACGTCGTGGTGCTAGCTTACTAAAGAGGTTACAGTTACAGATGAATAGCTTTACAAGTGTGGAAGTTACGAGAAAGAATTATGCGGCGATGGGGCACACACTTGGGACCAAAAGGCTAGGGAAACGCAAAGAGTTTACGGATGGGTTGATCAGCATTTTGGGGAAGCTAAAAGATGTGACTATGAGAGTCGAGATGAGAGAGACGGAAAGGGTAGAGGACGCAAAAGCTCTAAAAGATTCATTGGACTCTATATATTTTCCCGAAGTATCTTTGATGAGGGAAATTTTGGAGAAGGCAGAAAGGTTGGTGCTTCCCTTTTAGAATATCAGCGCGATGACAGGTCTTCATGTGAAATTAATGTGGCATAGCTAACGTTACAGTGTGGGGTACACGTGTAGTCAGGATCACGAACGTGTCTTTGAACAGGGATTCTCGCTTATTCTGGACCGAATCGAGAACCGACTGTATCCAACCGTAGAGACATTTGCCATGGACATGCTCTCAGTATTAAACTCCGCTCCAAGCCAGCCATTACTAGAGCACAAGTTCAATATACCTTCCTATACTCCGCCCATACTAGAGCAAAAGAAGGACATGGATGATCTAAGCCAGGAGGCGGCGACCACGATATTGAAGCAAGTCGAGCCGCTGTTAGATGAAGCCGGGTTAAAGGAGATAGATCTGAGGACTGATTCAATATCTATGTCTGCTAATGCGGTTATTTTAGAAGCTAAGGTTACGCAGCAGAGGATTTCAGATGGGAAAGGAGATGATGAAAAGGAAATTGCCGAGATCGCAAGCATTCTTACTGGAACCAACGGTATCAGTTGGAATCTCTCCACCGACAATAGTGGAGACATGGACTTTAACAAGGATGAGGTTGAAATAGAGGACGAAGATATCCAAGTAGATGATGCACAAGAAGGCGGTGATGACGAAGGCGATAACGATGACGCATTGAGCGAACAAAACGGAGTCAAGGGAGCAGAAAATAGCCAGCCTTCTTCAATGCAGTTCACCAAGGAGTCTATTTCATCCCCGAAGAAATCAAAGGCGGGGGTGGAGGGTATCAATGGAGCATCGCCTCTATTGATTAATATGAATATGTCAGTACCCGCTGCAGGCACCACGGTGCTGGGCTATTGGACCGATGGTCATCCACCGTGGTATATGAATGATAATGAGCCTAGGGAACTTGACATTGTTGACCCGTGTATTAGGAAAACACCCACGCCGACTCCGAGACAAATGAGCCCAGTTACTGGGATAAATGGCGATAAGTCGACTCCTTCACCAAAAAAGGTGCTGGCATCATCAAAAAAGGCGTCATCCCCCAGAAAGAAGGCGCTAGCATCACCAGATAAAAAAACACTTGTCTCTCCATCCAAAAAACTTGCATCATCACCAACCAAGAAAAGACTATTTTCACCATCAAAAAGGCCGGCGTTGCAAAAGTCTCATGTAATACGGAATCAAGGGGCTGTCGATGTACCTGTTAACGGGGTGGCAGATTCAGAAATCGCTGACACCTCTATCCCACAACGAACCGAAGTCTTTCCGAAGACTCCAGAGGCAGGATCACCGGTAGAAAAATCGGCCAGTTTTCGCACACCAATAAACAGAGATGTACCCACAGTCAAGGTTCGGCGTGCTTCGGATGGACTGAAGCCCACTAAAAAGTCTGATATGGATTTTGCTGAAAACGAAGATCTTATGGGAGGGTACCGACTTGAAGATCTCCCTTCTCCGCTGGGAACAGTCGATGGCTCGAACCCTAGCCCTGACCAGGAGAAGGTGGACAACAGTCTTTCTGCCCTTCCAGCACCAGCACAGAGTACTCTAGCTGCGTTTGTAGCTGCTACAAGTACTGCTACTAACGGGGTTGGAGATCATGACAATACAAGTGTTCTTTCCGATCCCCCGGATGATGAAGATGTGGATATCGATGCAGAGGGGTCTACAGAAAACGAGGATGAGATTGAGGGCTTGGACAGGATGGACGTGGATGTTACCAATCAAGAAGATGAAGAAGACGAGGATCTAGATGCTGGAGATGAATTGGAGGAATCAGAGTCCGAGGAGTCAAAAGGGGATGGTTCGGCAGGGAGCAGCTCGGGTGGTTCGACGAAGAAAAGCAGAAAAGGCATGGTTTTTGCTCGGCAAAGTAATGGCAGGTTTGGGTCGATGAAGGCAGGCGTTTCTAGTAGTAGGGGAGGAGAAAGCGGAGCGGGCGGTGGCTCGAGGGGGAAAACAAGGAAGAAGAAGTGGTGAGAAAACTCTGAAGACTCAATAATGTTAATTATTTTTCTGTTTACATCCTGTATTTTTATTTTCCTTTATTATTTATCTTTTTGATAGCTGGCAGATCTTATTTCCTTTGTCTACTTGGATGGAATGAAACGTACGCGTGGAAACGGAATAACTATGGGTTTGGGACTGGGTTTGGGTATTTTTTTTTCTTCTTGGTATTTTTTTCTTTCTTTCTTTCCGTACGCGTTACTCATGCACTTCTGGCAGGGGCTTTTGTTTTCCTATTTGTTTTTTCCTATTTGTTTTTACAATTTTTTCTTACAATTAGGGATAGGAACGGTGTTTGAACGTCTTCTTTCTTTTCCTATTTCCTACATTATACTTTTACTATTTCCTCTCTATCATCCCCCCCCCCCCCCCACACTTTTTTACATTGCAGCCATCAGGTCTACACCCTTCTTCATCTTCGATATCGACCCTGGCCCCCCTCCATAGTAGATGATGAGCTTTGGGAACATTCTGGGCCTGCGGTGGTTGTTTTTTTGTAACATGTAGGTGGTAATATAATTGGAGAAGGCTGCTGTTGTTGATGTCGATCTGTGATTGATCATGCATATATATTTCACGTCCACATAGATCATATCCCGCTCATCCATTTGTGGCGGTGGTTCTTGGTAGTCGGGCGCGGTGCGGTGTTTGCTATGTGCTGGTGATCATCGGGACGTTAAGAAGCAGACATGCTCTTTGGTGCTGGTGTATTTTGTTGTGATCGTGGCGGTGTATGTTGTAGAGTGATGTGATTCTACCTATGGGAGAAAGAAGGAGTGATGAAATAGTCCATAGTTCAATCCAGGACTTATGTATGGTCGACCTATAGCCAGCTAGCGCTTTTCCCTACCGCTGAGCACGAGCTTATTTGTCTACACAACGGCTTTTGGCATGGTGATGATTTTTGACGGTAATGGTAGAGTGTGAAATACAATACGTTTGATGATGTTTTTGTAGTTTGAGATACGTGTACAGTGGGCGGTACCACGTTCGCCCCATCCACCCTAATTAATGAATTAAACAAAAAAAAAACCCCCCATCTACCCTACAATACTACATACGCATCATGATATATCACTCGCCCGCCATGACCCAAGACCGTGCGAGATAGCAAGCAGCATACCAGGCCGCACACCAACACCTCAGCATCCGCCGGAACATCTATCTACACCGGCCGCAGTCTTGCACTAGTCAGATCACATGTAGTTATGTAAGTAGCGATGTGTTAATTGCCGCATCTGTAATACTCGTTGCGAGCTGGTCATGAGCGAAATCGGCTTAGAATAAGCTTTCCCCTCCACCACCTCCCACCAGCACTTTGTACGGCCGCAATGGAGAACAGTTCCGGTATCCTATCTCTATCATGATCTCGTGCCTGCACACCTAGCTACACCCACTCCCACCTCTCTTTCCCCACAGCGACCAGTTTCCCCACGACCGGCAGGGGGGGCGCTGGTTTCCGGGAAAAAAAAACAAATCCTACCTGCGAAACAAATGGTTCTTCATATAAACGGCGGGTGTGGGGTGCACGTTTCTCCGCAATTTTCTGAGTTTAAATTGAGGGTGGGAGGAGGAAAGAGCCGGGGGGGTTGCGGTGGGGAGGGACAGAGGGACAGCTTCATGTAGCTAAATTGACGCAATTTTTTTTCTACTCTGTCGGTATTGTAAGTAGGTTAGGAGGCCAGGTACTCTACGTCGGGGGCATAATGCCGGCGGTGCGATTGGATGGTTGGACCGGCGTGGTAGTACCTACTTGCAGTTGCTCTACACTTTGAGTCTAGAGTTGACACCTTGGTACAGTAGGGATAAGTATCACTGTATCAGTATTCTAGTGCCGTAGCATCCGTAGAATCCAGCATAACGCGGGCGGGCGCATACAATCGCAGCGTCGGGGAAACCTTCGGAAGCCGAACACTCCGGCCGGCAGCGGAGCCGTGGGGGGACGTGTAGGGATAGCAGAAGGAGAGCAGAAAGAGTAGAAGAGTAGCAAGCGAAGCCGAAGCGATCTTCGCTGTAATTGACCGAGGGGAGTGAGGGAGTAAGCGAGAGACAGATGATGCAGGGCACGGCGTGGATCCTTTTTTTATTTTTATTTTTTATTTTTTATGGAGAGAGTGTGTGTGTTTGTGTTCTCTTTTTCTGTTCTACAGCTGAATCCCCGCGGAGCTAGCTACCTGCATTTAGACTCGTGGAACTCGTAGAGAGTTGAGGGAGCCAAGTAGAAGCACGGGAATGGTGGACCTGAAAATCAAGCTGTTGTGATGTGACAGACAGACCTCCGGAGTGTAGCTACTGGGGACGAATATCAATCGGGACGGGGTGATGTAACAGCCCGAAGCGGGAAATTCTAAAACCTCTTTTTTTTTTTTTCTTTCTTTCTTTCCCAACAACAAAGTTACATGGTATATTTTAATCTGAGCTAGAGGGAGTTGACATTTTGTGGGGGGGAAGGTGTACCTAGAGTAGAGTGAGTAGAGCATGGAAAGTTGCATGGGAATTTGTATGGAACGACGGAGCCGTCAAAGCTACACATGGTACGATTGACATTGAGAAGGGGGACAGGGGGGGCAGCACTCGGGAATGCGTTTTGAGCGGAGTGAGAGAAGTGTGTGTGTGATGTAAGGTGTTTTGTTTGAACGCTTTGAAGGGTCCCTGGGAAACGAGTGCCTAGAAAGAAGGAAGGACGGGCTCTGAGGAACGAGTTTCACAAGAAAGACGTCAGAACAGTGCAATCGAGGGAAGGGGGAGCGGTGGGGGGGGACCGCCGCCGTTACTCTAATATTGTTAGAGATCACCATCAGAAGCAATTCTTTGCTCTATCCAGCGACCGAGGAAGAAGGGTAAGAGCACAAAGCCAGGCACAGGAAAGAACAGTAAGCAGCGTGTACCCGGGAGCCGAGGAAACGAGATTCGAATCAAGATGTGCGGTAGCAAGTAAAAGAGGTAGGGGTCCTTCTGGATGCGGGTATTTTTCTCTCTGGTTCTTCATCCTTCCCGACCCAGAGTGGGCACTGGGTTTTCTTCGGCGGGGGATCTTAGATCTGGGAGGGTGGGTGGGATGGGAGGCCCGCGCCAGCCAATAGGAAGAGAGAGGTAAACAATTGCTGAGTGATGGTTTGACGAATTTCCTTTTTTCCCTACAACACGCGCTTATCCTGTTCAGGGGAGCACATGTACGGAAGCCCACTCGGAAGCGCTCTTCAGACGTCGAGTGGTTTTTCATGCTCGTGGGGGAGGTTTTTTTCGCCCTTCCCTTTTTCGCTTTGTTGGATGTTGTCTTTTAGAGTACAGCTACAGTCAGACTTGTAGGTACAATGCTCCGAATCTGCTCTCTACATAAATAAGTGATCGTCTCTGTGCCCTCCACTGGAGTACAGGTGCCTTTCTATTGGCTTTAATAACGATCATTATTATTTGACTACAGTAGGGAAACTCTACTGCCTAGGTTGTAGGTCATGCATGACCACATATTAGACAGACATCTGTACCCTGACAAGGACAAATAGATGCCTCTAATTGACTAATTGATCCCCCCCCTTTGGCACCGATTTACTGATATACTTGGTTGGTACTGAGCTGTAATTGGTTGTGGATATGTAACTCGGCGGTCTAAAATGCCCAGACCGTCGGTGGTAGTGGGTGGTGGTGGTGGTGGTCCTGATGGAGGAGTGAGGGAATGTCCCCCTCGGTCCAAGTCGATCACCCCCATCCATCCTTTTCCAAACACCTGGCTTTCCCGAACGTCGACGAAATTCCTTTTATACGCCGTCTCTCCCGCCCCATCCATCCCATCTTCCTCTTCCTCCCGTCGTCTCTCTCCCCATTTCTTGTTTAGCATCCATTCTAGATTTGATCACATAATCTAGATCAGCCAAGTTAACAACATCTTTCTGAATAAACCCACTAGTTTCGTTTTTTTTTTTTTGCCCTACTGTTTTCTAGCCAGAAAATAATCCCGCCACATTTCAACAACCCCATCCCCTCCCCACAGCAGTTTAAATATTGCTAAATACCCTCGCCCACGTTTCATTGAAACCGTACTCGAAATGGAGCCGCTTCTAAGCCAATCTCGTCGTCTTTGTCCGTTCCTCAAGAAAACCTCTCCCTCGACCCTCCGCGCCCTCTCCACCGGTGTTTCTCCAAGTGTTGGCGGCGGGACCATGAGCAACCTCCAAGTCGTTGCCCGTCGCTGCCCGGTCATGTCCAAGGCACTTGCCGTTCAGAGTGTCCGTAACTCTGCATTTTCCACCTTTGGTGTCCGCGCTGGAATTGCTGGGCAGAAGAGGGGATACGTTGTCCCGAGCAAGCCCGCCGGGTTTCAGGCCACCGAGAGGAAGGATGCCGAGGCCGCGAGCATCGAGACCCTGCACCTCCAGGCGGGTGTTCTTGACACCTCTAAGGGTATTTTCAGCCTCAATTGCGCACCAGTTGGAATTGAGTCGAATAGAATGCTAATTTTACAATAGGAATCTGTCCTCATGGCGCTGCAGCGCTCAAGGCCGCCCAGGTCGCTGAAAGCATGGCCGCCGCTCCCCGCGCCCGCCCTACTCGTCCCGTCAACGTTGCCCCCGTCAAGATGAACCCGGCGACTACTACCGGAACCGCCTTTGACTATGAGGGGTTTTACAACAACGAAATTGAGAAGAAGCTCAAGGACAAGTCCTACCGCTACTTCAACAACATCAACCGTCTTGCCAAGGACTTCCCCCAGGCGCATCTCGACACCCCCGACAAGCTCGTCACTGCATGGTGCAGTAACGATTATCTTGGTATGGGTCGCAACCCTAATGTTTTGAAGGCTATGCATGAGACACTGGACACCTATGGTGCTGGTGCGGGTGGTACTAGGAACATCTCCGGCCACAACAAGCATGCAATTGGGCTTGAGCGCACCATTGCGAAACTTCACGCCAAACCGGCTGCACTTGTTTTTTCGTCATGCTACGTGGCTAATGATGCGACCTTGGCAACCATGGGCTCAAAACTCCCCAACTGTGTGATCCTGTCCGACTCTCTGAACCATGCTTCAATGATCCAGGGTATCCGCCACTCTGGGGCAAAGAAACTTGTCTTCAAACACAACGACCTCAAGGACCTCGAGGAAAAACTTCAATCAATTCCCGCCAACTACCCTAAGATTATTGCGTTCGAATCAGTATATAGTATGTGTGGTTCCGTTGGGCCCATTAAGGAGATTTGCGATCTTGCCGAGAAGTATGGCGCAATCACCTTTTTGGATGAAGTACACGCTGTTGGCATGTACGGACCACACGGCGCTGGTGTTGCAGAGCATCTTGATTTTGAAGCGCACGCCGCTGGCAGGTCAGAGGGAACAGTCATGGACCGAATTGATATTATCACTGGTACACTTGGAAAGGCATACGGATGTGTTGGAGGTTACATTGCCGGAAGCTCATTATTCGTCGATATGATCCGTTCCCTCGCGCCTGGGTTTATTTTCACTACTTCATTGCCCCCAGCTACAATGGCGGGTGCAGATGCGGCAATCGATTACCAAATGCACTACCATGGTGACCGCCGACTTCAACAACTGCACACTAGGGCTGTAAAAGAGTCTCTGCAGGATCGTGATATTCCAGTCATTCCCAACCCATCTCATATTGTACCTATCCTTGTCGGAAGTGCCGAGCTTGCTAGGCAGGCTTCCGACAGCCTTCTCGAAGACCACGGTATCTACGTCCAGGCGATCAACTACCCTACCGTCCCTGTAGGCCAGGAGCGCCTCCGCATCACCCCCACTCCCGGCCACACAGAGACATACCGCACCCACCTTATCGAAGCCCTGGAAACCGTGTGGAACGACCTTGGCATCAAGCGCACCTCCGACTGGCGCGCCGAGGGTGGCCTTTGCGGTGTCGGCGTCGATGACGTCAAGGTTGAAAACATCTGGACTGACGAGCAACTCGGCTTTCAAGGCAAGAAGTTTGTCGAGAAGGCCATCAGCATGAAGACCGGAAGAGCAACCGGCCCAGTCATGGACGCTATTTTGGAGAAGGAGATGGGCAGGCCGATGGGTATTGAGGCCTAAGGGCGTTTTTTGGTGCACATTTGCATGTGGATGTCCGCTGTGTTTTAATAGCTGGAGATATCATGTCAGCGTTAGTGGTCGCGAAGGGTTTTTATGTAGTAGGACAATATGGTGGAATAATAGAAGTTATTGCGGTACGGGGGTTTGTAGATCCCCGGAAACAGTATTTCTCGAATTTTTTGCGTTCTTGCCATGATGTATGCGTGTACTGTGCTGTGATTTTTTGATTATTATACCATGCGAACTGTGATTTTATGTCATGCTGTAATTATAGTAAACACCAAAACATGTAGCACGTAATGCAGAAACAGAATCAGAAACAATCATACCCGCTCACCTACACCAACTTACCCAACAAACACACCTTAGCCCATCAAACACACACGGGAGAGCAACATCACCTGTTTGTCATGCGCTAGCTTCTGCCATGTACTTTTGCCCACCCGGGTATATCTCGGGGACCAACCTTGGTCCCTACTCTACTCACAACCCATCACTCGACATGGCCTGATCCTCCCCCTTTTCTGTAGGGTGCTGTGTAACCCAATGAGAATCGCGGGATTGGATTTGGCACCTGCGCGTGTGGGCGTGGGTGGTGACCCGGTCCTTCTCCAACGTGCATGGGGCGGGAGGTCTGGACTTGGGATTTGTCATATGGTTAGTCATGGTTTGCGTACGTGTGTTGAGTTAGGGGAACGGGAACAGGGAGGGGAACGGGAAGGGAACGGAGAGAGGCGGGGAGTAGTGCGGAGAGGGGTTTTTTTTTTTTTTTTTGGAATGGTGTTGGTGGTGCTTGGCTGTGTTGGTGCTGTGGATGGGGTGCTGTGCTGTGGTTTGGTCTGGGCTTGGGCTGGTTAAGGGATTATTTTGTCCTTCTGTGTTTGACTGGTAGTGTTGCGCCGAGATATGGAACTTATTCTGGGTGGATGGACTGGGCGGAGGATCGGAGGGAGCCAAGAGAGGTTCGTGGAATCATGAGATTGTGGAGTCGGAATATGGGTCATGGGCTATCACTCGGTGCTGTTGACAATTCGAACTCAGTATTCCCATTCTGGTTTGTGTGGTTTATACATGCTACCTGGGCTTGGTGAAGTTGTTGTGGGCCAGAAATGAGGTTGGGTATTAGAGAGTAAGTACGGTCACGCAGTCGTGACCGCAATAGAATTAACTATGAGATACATTTTAATACCCTGAGGAAGATTATTTTTCAGAATAGTGACTGACTGAATGGTAATCATTATCAACCGCGTACCGGTCGACCGCCAGTACTTTTGTGGCTATACTTACTTCCATTAGCTATGGCTTTAATTCTTTTGGGAAATTTATTCCTGCATATAGCCAGGAATAACTCAAGCAAATACTGCTCCCTCGTTACGGCGTCCATCCCATCGGTGGGCAGTATCAGACGGGAAGGGTATAAATCCCTAAAGAGTCATCATGGTTAGCTAGCAGAAAAACGGCCGAACCTCATAGGGATTCTTACTTCTGCTTCTCGGAAACTTGGTCTTGGTCACTGATGACCTCCTCTTTCACAGGTACTATTATTGGCTTCTTGCACAGACGTGTGCAGCCTAGGTTACGTTCTTATTAATGATTCGATATTTCGGTTAACATACCCTGGCAGCAGCTGGAGGCTGCATGTACGTATTCGCTATATAAGCGTACACGCTTCTGTGTCGGAGGCTCCTCCCACGTGTAGTTTCTATTTCGTTTCATTTCCAAGAAGATTCTATATTCTTGCTTCACAGATAGCCATAAGTTGCTACGCACATGCTCTTCGAAAGTGTATTGGTCCTCGTCCTCCTCGTCCTCCTCATCCTCCTCGTCCTCCACCATACTCTCCATCCAATCCCCTTGCGAATCGTCAGACATTTTCGTAATTATGGTGGTGGTGGATAAAAACCTGGGGTATAGCGGTGAACTGATGTTGAAATGATCCCTAGAGTTGATTGAAAGGCGATTTATAAGTAGCTCTGCTTATTGGGTCTTCTTTATGTGCCTCTATATTCAGTACATATCACATCCAAATACTGATGATATACATCAACGCGTACAAAGAACTGTCGTGACAAACCTCATAGGGCCCTGACAGTGCGGTTTGATGCTTCTGTGTTCATCGAGCGTATACTCTTTATCATGTTTGTCTATCACCACATCCTTAACCAATTTAGCCGTGGTGGTGTCCGCTTCAGGTGGAAACACCTTGAGCTACGTGGAAGATTTTTGGTTTATAAGGCGGAGGTTTAATGATGGAATAGGCGTCGGGGATCCGGGACTTGGGAAGCATCTAGATTAACTAGGCCACTTAGCTTTCGACAAAGAGATTAAGGGGCCATGCGGAAAAGTCTATAGATTAGGCGATGTAACTTGTAATCTATGAGATGGCTTTCGTGCTTAGTTGGCAAACTTAGGAGCTGTAGTGGACTGCCGGTAAATAAAGAGTATGAGTGTATTTTTTGGTCAAGGGTCTTATATCGCGATCGTCGTACATATCCGCACGGTTGTATCAAGGGATGCACGGAACTGAATAGTGATATATGACAATCCTTTACCCTTGGGATAAATACATGTATGCTTGATATTGCACGTACCAGTGCACCTAGCTCAATATGTACACACTTACTATTTACATGTGCTTGAGTAGTTAATTACTATACAACATAAAAAAGCTACAAAAACCTTGATCATTGTTGAATAAAAATGTGTTACTTTAAGCATCAACAAGAAGTGCATAAAAGCAAGGTAAATCTAAACAGAAAGAGAAAAATGAAAAATGATATCTATCCACGCCATATACCCCCCATGAGATCCCACTCCAGCAAGTAGCAATAAAAGATAGTGTCACGCCCGTGAAAAGAAAGAAAGTAGCAATCTCTTAAAAACCTAAAACCCTAGTTACGAGGAAAAAAAGAAGAAGAAGGAGGCGAAGAAGGTAAAGTACATGGTAAAAAAAAAAGAACTACGCGGAAACACCAACGCCTTGCGCCTTTAACCTCTCTTCAAAACCCTTACAGACATCCTCGAACCCGCCGGTTACTTCTGCACAAACACCCGCTGCTTCCCTTCTCTTACATCTTGCATCCCAGTCGCCTTCCTCGATCCACCGTCTTGCCTTCTCGACCGCTTCGAGCTCGTGTTTCCAATCGGCGCAGGCTTCACGGGCAACACGTAGCTTACGGTTCGCGGCAATCGAGGATTGTCGAGCCATGTGTAAGGAGTCCGAGAGGAATGCTAGCTGAGACACAAGAGAGAGCGTGAGGGAGTGGAGGTTGGATAGCTCGGCAAGAGGTTGCGGAGAAGGTCGAGGGATGAGGTCAAGGAGAGGTAGGAGGAGATCTGAGGTATCTTCCGCGGGAAGATAGGCCGAGTTGATAGACAAGGAGAGGTCGCGGAGGGTTCTCGCTTGATGAGCCATGTTGGACGTTAACGCAGCGTGCGCTGTTATCAGCCTATCATATGGTCCGTGCGTCAACAAGAGATATCCCATATCGGTAATAGGGGAAAGACGAACCTCGTGCTTCCTGTCTCTAGACTACTCTGTGGCGCCAGGTTCTGTAGCCCCTCCATCAGCCTTGGCATGACCCCCGCCAGCTCCCCAATTCCAGTCTCTTCCTCCTTGAGCATGTGACGGTTCCTCAGCGCCAGATTCTCAATCTGGTTGATCTTGTCCTCCAACCCCACGCTAATGCCATTCCCCAGATCTTCAGGGTCGCCGTACTCACTCCCATCGTAATCACTCGCAGATAACGGCCTCACGGGGGCCTTCTTTACCGAATCATCCTTTGTCGCAGACCCGTTCACGATATGATGGTGATGCGCTCCATTAACCTGGGCCTCTCCGAGCATCATCTCAACTTCGCCTCCCTCTTCGTCGTACTCCTCATCAGAATCATACATGGCACCCGCCAACTCGTCCGCAAGTGACCCGAGGCCACCGAGACCGCCGCCATCGTCCTTGTGGCCCGGGGGGTTTGAAGTAGAGGGCATGAGCATGCTGTCATCTTCGTACGATATGGACGGACCTTCGTCGGTGAAATTAGGAAGGGGAGAGGACTCGTCCAGGCTGGTGACTTCGTAGAGTGAGTGTGCCATGTTTCTTTAATAAACGCTGCAGATGTAAGTGCTTGAGATAAGTTTATAATTTTATTTCGTTGTCGTTATCCGTAATGTATCCGTGTAGATAGATATGGGTATGCGCAAAGGAAAGAGAGAGATGTAGGGAGAAAAGGAGCTTGGTGAGACGAGAGTAGATGCCTTAAGGTGTGCTCATCAACTTCTGCTTGTTCCACAAGTAGCCAGGGGGTCTATGCACAGAAGAAAAAGAAACCAGGTACCAGGCCTTTCGCGAAACAGGAGTCTAGAGAAGAGGGTGGGGGAGGGGGAAGCAGGGGCGCTTATGAGGGGGAAACCCAGAAGGCAGCGTTGATATGCGATGCAATAGGTTGACCCCTACGGCTAGCTACACGTGAGAAACGCCCACGTTAGTAAGCCGTAATGTGATGATCATCAGATGAAACCCGAGTTGCAATCTTTTTTTTGGTTTGATTTTCATTAAAAAAAGCAATATCCTATCCTTAATATTAGGATCTGTGCAGATGAAGTCTCAATAACACAACATGCCAACATGGCCAAGTACCAGAGAAGAACGTCACCCAGGGACATGCCCCCTTCCTTTATCCCATCTGCTGGTGTTCAGTGCTTTCTTGGTCAATGGCGAACCTGGACCAACGGCAAATGACCAAACCAGCTAGTGGTGCAAGATCATGCTGTCTCATCCGGATAGAAGTCATCAATGATCATCTGTGCATTTCCGGCTAGACATTATTCTTCGACTATTCCGATTTGTTTTTGTTGGAAAAATTAATTACACACTCTTTTTGACTTGCAAAATGGGCTAGTATGGGTTTTCTGATTGGCTATTAAGCGCGCATTCGCCGTTAAACCAGACTCACCATTGACACAGAAAGGACTGTAACCCCACACGTCACGACGTCAAGTCACGTTAAGTCACGTTTTTGTGTTGGCAACTAAAGAGCCCCACCAAACTCAAAGAACTTTTTTTTTTATCGATAACAGAGGACACACGACACGCGGGACCCCGCACCCGCCCCAACTCCCCCTTTGTACATAAGCTTTTTCCATGAACTAAAATCAACTACATACCTAAGGCTGCGCAAAAACAAAAACAAAGAAACAACCGAACCAAGAACTCAGAGGGTCGAAATTGGGGACAGAGGAGCTGAAGAAGAAACGAAAAAGCAAAAATGAGCTCGCTACGACCTTTCCATGCGCTGGACCTGTTCCGTTTCAACTTGACAAATCTCGATGTATTAACTGAGAACTACGTCCCAAGCTTCTATCTTCAATATCTTGCAAAATGGCCAACACTGTGTTCGGTTATGGAGAGTGCTGGTGGGAAGATTATGGGGTATAGTATGTCGCTTTCTCTGCTACTTGTCTCAACCACTATCTTAGGGGTTTATGAGGATTAGCTGACCAAACTCTTTGTTTAAATAGTTCTTGGGAAAGCCGAAGGCGAATATACAGAATGGCATGGCCATGTAACCGCTGTTACTGTTGCACCCGACTTCCGCCGTCTCGGCCTGGCCAAAACCATGATGGACGAGCTCGAACGTGTTACTACCACCGTTTATAATGGCTACTTTGTCGACCTATACGTCCGCGTTTCCAATAGACTGGCAATAGATATGTACGAGGGGTTGGGGTATAGTGTGTATCGATGCGTCCAAGAGTACTACTCAGCCGGCCCCGGAGAACTAGAAGAAGATGCATATGGTAAGCAACTATTTTCTCTTTGTTACTATGTGGTGCTAATATGGGTAATAGACATGCGGAAACCAATGAAGCGTGATAAAAAACGACAAAGTGTTCGGAAGAACGGGAGAGAGTTTAAGGTGCAACCGCATGAGGTTTATTAGTTAACGACCTGTGGGAGGAACCAATCAAAAGTTTATGTTCATGGACCGGAAATCAAAAGAAGTAGATTAATGTTTATCTGTATATATTCATTTTCTTCTAGATCATTATATATCCTAGAAAAGTGGATGGGAGGCTTGAATCTTTAGAACCGGGAAAGGTGGGAATAGACACCAGTACCAAAAATAGGGAACGAGGGGTGTCCTAGGTAACAATTAGTTGCAAGTAAGCTCACCAGACCCCGAATATTCTCTTGTAATAATCAGTCAACCGGACAATATCATCTAACCGAGACATACTCGATGATTAGCGCCGAATCAGAATCCATGAAGTAGTCTCGAATTACTATTGGTGCCGAAAATTCCAAGGGCTATTTCATCTATAATTCTGAATGCTATTCACTAGATACTCAGAACTCTACAGATTGTTTAAGGATTATTCTAGACCATTTCATCATAGGCGATGTTTACAGCAATTAAAGATTAGATCGAAATGAGATGAGTGATCTTTCATGATTGAGCCATCATAGTCTATTCAGGAACACTAACCGTTCGACGGATGTTCTTCAGCGTGTTGATCAACCCCAAAAATACTATACATGTAAGGCAGAGGGCCGCAGAATAGGTTCAGGACAGGATAAACACTACAATGTACATACATAATTGCAGGACTTTGCTAGCTACATAGCTAATGATTCAAAGAGTTGGTTACATCTACTAGCACTCAAGTGGATAGAAAAACGGTTTAAGAGGTATGAGGTCATAAAGGGGATTGAGTCATGGAGAATCACGCAGTGTTCCGAATTATGCAGGATCACGCAGCGGCGTCGAATCATGAAGAATCACTCAGCGTTGTTCAATCGCCTCAATAACCGCTATAAAGGCATGAGAAGTGCCGGGCTCTTTGTAGTTCTCCTCACAATTAGTGCTTACACGAATCTGTCACCGTGTGAGACTGGATATCGGGCGTCTTCTTGTTTGGTTGTGGACGGGTACTGGGGCAGACGCTCCACAATGGGTTGTGGGCCGCAAATGGGGATAAATATGCCCCGGAGAATTCAAGGGTGTTTTCTAGGCTGAACTAATATAGATGAAGTCAGTTTATATGCTTCATAAACACTAATACTCTTTTTTGTACAACCGATTGGCTTTATTCTAGACCTTTTGACCCTGGCCCGTCATATTGTGTTTAATGGGTAGGTGGAGTTCGCAGGTGGGCCGGGACAAAGCTAACAAGCTCCTAGCACATTAACACATACACCCTTCCCGACAAGCATGTAACAACCACATTCATATGTTTACCACAAATACTTTGACCATCCGCTCTCCAGAACTCGTTTGAATCAATCACTTGCTGCTGGGGTCCTTCCAAAACCCTAGCCCAACCGCCAAGGCTGCACAGCATATGACGCACCCAGCTGCATTCCTGGAGTAAATAAAGCTCTGTAGCCTCGTGCCATCGCCTGAGCTGATAGCAGCATAGAGAGCCGCTTTCCACGCATATATCTGCTACACAAGTAGAGTAGGTATGTTTAGGCATACCATTTCACGCCATGTATTTGCTTCCGGCTAACAACAGCATGTAGCTATAGGCAAACACCTCCTCAGCTTCACTCAGGCTTTATCCTCCCCAGGCCAGCCACCATGCCATTACCCGAACTTCCCAACGAGCTACTTTTCATGATCGCCAAGGAACTAGGTCGACACGACCTCAATTCGCTTATCCAGACTAGCCGCTGCATGTACAATGTCCTGATATCTCTGCTCTACGACTCCATCGACAAGTGTCAAGATCAAGATGATTTATTCTGGTGGGCTGCCAGAAAAGGAAACGAATCGTTGCTCAAGCTAGTAATTGAGAAGGGTGCAGACCCGCTGCAAACAAAAATCCCAGAGACGCAAGAGACGCCTCTCCATGTTGCGTCGAAAAATGGACATGAGCAAATCGTCAGACTACTTCTGGGGAAGGGTGCTTATGTCAATGAGGTGGACCATTGCCAGGAGACGCCCCTGATTCAGGCGGCGAAAGAGGGTCACGAGGTGGTTGTGAGACTTCTGATCGAAAACGGGGGCGACGTTCATCTACGAAGCGAGACGGGAGAAACAGCGCTACATCATGCAGTAGGCGAGGACCAGGAAGCAATAGTCAAATTGCTGCTCGAGAAAGGTGTTTGTGTTGATGATAAATGTCCCAAAGGCCATACAGCTTTAATGAGAGCTTCGGCCAGAGGTTATGAACCTATTGCGAGACTCCTTTTGGAGTGGAAATCTGATATTAACTCCCATTCTAACAATCACAATACATCTCTCCATCTTGCTGCATTGAATGGCCATGATGAAGTGGTGAAGCTGTTGCTAGATAAAGAAGCTGCTGTTGACGAGAAGGGTCTTGATGATCGGACACCCTTAGTTATGGCGGCTAGAAGTGGACACGCATCGGTGGTAAAAATACTCCTTGAAAGAGGGTTTGATCTCTCTATCCGGGACAGATTCAATAATACGGCCCTTCATTTAGCAGCGCGTGAAAATCATACAGAAGTTGCGAGTCACCTCTTAGCAGCAGGTGCTAATATTGATGCGAAGGGGGAGCTCGATCGAACACCATTGATTTGGGCTGCAAGAAAAGGACATGGAAATATGGTTAATTTTCTGTTAGAGCGGGGATCTAGCATTTCTGCTCGCGACAAGTTCAATGACACGGCTCTTCACTTTGCAGCCTTTTATGGGCACGATGAAATAGCAAAATTACTATTGCAAACGGAGGGCGCTTCTGTCAATGAAAAGGGGTTCAGAGGCCGTACACCTTTAATTTGGGCTGCAAGAAAGGGATACGTAGCAACAGTAGAGTATTTATTGGAACGAGGTTCCGACGTCTCTGCTCACGACGGCGATAACGATACGGCCCTCAACTCTGCGGCGTTGAACGGTAATGTGGGGGCTGCTAAGTTACTTCTGAAAGCGAAGGGATGTTGTATAGACGAAAAAGGTTATAGAGATCGAACCCCATTGATATGGGCAGCAATAAAAGGTCATGACGAAATGGTGGAGGTTCTTTTGGAGCACGGGGCGGATATTTCAGTGTGCGACGACGACAACGATACGGCCCTCCACTGTGCAGCGTTACATGGTAACGAGAGATCGATAAGGTTGCTGCTCCTGCGGGACAAAGGAGCTAGTATAATCAATATGAAGGGATATAGGGATCAAACACCTTTGATCTGGGCGGCAAGGAAGGGACACCAAGCAGCAGTAGATCTCCTTCTAGAACACAATGTTGATATTACTGCCCGCGACAAAGACGGAAATACCGCACTCCATTTAGCAGTACGTAACTCGCATACACGCACATCGGAGGTCCTCCTAGATAGAGGGGCCCATATCACTGCCTGTGATAATACGGGTAAAACTGCGCTCCATATGGCAGCAGATATCGCCCATCCAGCTCTAGTTACACTTCTGTTGGAGAAGGGTGCCGACATCACCGCCCGCGATAATGACATGAATACAGCTCTGCACCTATCAGCACTCAATGGCAGCTACACCGTAGCAAAGGTACTCCTAGATGATGAAGCTGACATTGACATTGAAGACAAGGGCAACGGGGACCTGACCCCCTTGATGATGGCAGCTAAAAATGGACTTGGGACCACAGTCAAATTCCTTCTAGACCGAGGAGCCATTATTTCTGCTCGAGACAACCAGAACAACACATCGCTACATCTATCGGTATTCAGCGGCCATGAAGGCGTAGCAAAGCTACTCATAGAGAGCGGGGCTGACATCGAAGACCAAGACGACGAGGGCCAAACACCTCTAATCGTAGCCGCAGGAAACGGACACGCAGCAACAGTAAACCTTCTTCTAGAGCGGGGCGCCGACCTCACTGCCCGCAACACAAGCAACAACACCGCACTCCACGTATGTGTTTTCAACGGGCACGTCCTAGTTGCACGGCTCCTCCTCGAGAAGGGCGCAGACGTGCACGCCGCCGGCCTCCTCGGCCGAACAGCGCTCCACATGGCGGTCGACATTGGCAGCGATGCCCTTGTGGTGCTCCTCCTGGAGTACCATGCCAACCCGCACATGCAGGATTTCGAGGGAAAGACGGCTTTCAGGATGGCGAGGGAGATTGGTCTCAATGGCATCATCAAGGCTTTGAACGGAGAATGTGCAGCTGTTCAAGGTAGTTCTCACTCCGATTCCCGTGACGGGGGTGTTCTAATCATGTCTAAAAAGTTAGCACGAGCCTCGGCGAGCTGAGTACGAACGATGAGGATGGCGGGCCGAGGAGGAAGGGGAAGCTCGATGAGGTGCTGGAGAAGGTGCGGTTCTTGAAGGATGGGAAGTGGTCGCATTGGTGATTGTTTTCAAAAGCGGATGGGAGTAGGGAGTTCTGGGTTGGAGGTTGGAGGTTGGCCGGGTTTGCGTGGGTGAACGGAGTTTTTTATGGCATTTGATCGGAGAAAAGGGGGGGGGGGGGACAGGCTAAAATTTATTTCATGGACATTCAAGGCATGACTCTTTCTTTTTTTTTCTTTCTTGTCTTTTTCCTTTTTCTTTTTCCTTTTCTTTTCTTTACGGCAGGTAGAGGTATACTGCGTATTCCAATTTGTAGAATCTTGAAGCAATATTTGTAAAAAAAAAATGCTTTAATACGAAGCTATGAGGTTACGAAATGTTGTCATCATGAGATATCACTCGCACGCTATCTCGTTGTTCTAGCCCATGTAGGAAGTGCGCTTACTTGTTTGATGTGCTTGCTTCAACAAAACCCTTTCTGAACTCATCTCAACGATTAAGACTGGGTTAATGGGGAGGTGGTAATCAAAAACTCTACAATTTGGCAAATGGGGAGGAGTGTATCTAAGAACTGATTTGGGAAGGGAATGGCTACAGGAGCTGGAAACTTCATTGGTAGGTAGGGGTAGGATTGTTGGGTGGGCTAGGGTAGTTGGGAGCTAGGCACTTTGATCCCCACGAAAAAAAATCTATAACTTCACATACCCAATCCAATTATTTATTCATTATTAGTTTTCAATTGTTTTTTTCTCATTCTTTCAACATTGGATTAATCCATCATAACCAACACTGCACTTTCCAACCAAGCGCAGCGCCAACAACAACAAAAAAAAAGTCAGTACAATAATAATAGCCCCCCCCCCCCCCCCCCCCCCAATTCCTGTCCTATGAACCTAAGACGCCACCCTCTTCCTCCTCCGCCCCCTCGCGACCGGCTCCTCCACCGCCGTCACAACCCCCCCAACCGCCGTCACAATCCCAAGCGGCCGCACCCCATAGCCTCCCCCCCACCCCACAAGCACCGGGTCACCATCCCCCAGCACCGGCGTCGACACCGGCAGCCCCATCTCCAGGTCCCGGAACGCCTCCACTGACCCGCCCTCGTCAGGCACGGGCATGATGTAGCTCAGACTCAGGCTCATACTATCCCTCCTCGGTGCCGGTTCCTGGGGACTACTCCCACTCCCACTTTCCTGGGGACTACGTTCACTTTCCTGGGGACTACGTTCACTTTCCTGGGGACTACGTTCACTTTCCTGGGGACTACTTTCACTTTCCTGGGGACTCTCCTGCACATCAGAAGCAGAAGCGGGACTCCCGCCCTGCCCGTCGTTGAACTGCATCTGCATACCCTGCAGATCAATCAGCGCCTGTGCGGCGTCAGCGTCGGTGTCGGTGCGCCAGTCTGTATCGGCATATATCACCCTCTTCGGCGGCGCCGCATTCTCCCCCCTCTCCCCCTTCTCCCCGGGCAAGCTCTTCACCCCCGCCGCAGCAGCAGCAGCAGTGGTGGTGGCAGCGGCGGTCTTACCACGCTTCACCTTCCACCCCTTCCCCTTCCCCTCCCCCCTGCCCCTCCTCGCCCCCTCCGCGCCCCCCTCCTCGGCGGGCGTCGTATCCTGCCCGGCATCCCCGCGCATCCGCAGCGCCGGAAACGCCATCTCGCGGATCAGCGTCGGCGAGCGGATCGCCTGCGGCGGGTTCGGCGGCGGCGTGTCCAGCGAGCTGAGCGACTCGAAGCGCATATTCGCCGGCGCCGCTTTCCTCCCCAGCGGGCCCTGCGGCGGGGGTTCTCGGAGGATGTCGCTGGACGAGCTGAGCGACGCCGGCGGCTGCAGCTCGAACGACGTGAGCGTGTCCATGGACGCGCGGGTGAGGCGGGCCGGGTCCGGGTCCGGGGCTGTGGTGAACGTCACGTTGCGCGGGCCGGCGGTGGCGGTGATGGTGGCGGGGGTGATGGTGCTCTGTGCGGACTTGTCCTTGATGACGCGGAGGGGCGAGACTGGTTTCAGCGGGCTCTCCTTGCGGGTGGTGCGGGTGCGGGTGCGGGTGGGCGAGTGCGGGCGGCGGAAGGAGTCGGGGATGGCGCGGCGCTCGGTGGTGCGCTTTGTGTAGGCGCGCGGGCGGGCGGAGCGCGGGCTTTTGTTCCAGCGGGAGAGCTCGCCGACGGCGGTGAGGGTGTTGGGTTCTTCGACGCTCTGGGAGAGCGGTGGTGGGTCGGTGGGTGGTGCGTGGGAAGCTCTGCTGATATTAACTGCTGCGCCGTTCTGCTGCTGCCCGGGGTCGCTGGGGAGGAGGTTTTCTTCGGAGGCTGCGGGTTGTTCCATCAGGGAGCGCCGGGTGACGTGTGTCTGGACGGCGGCCATGAGGTTCTTGGAGGCGCCGAAGGTATCGGGGGCCGTGATGTAGCCCGCTGCCGGCGGGTCCGGGGACGGAGTGTCGGGGATGGATTTGATGTACTTGCTTCTACTATCTCGACCAGGCTTCATCTCCGCAGACAACTTTGACGCAGAGGATCCAGTCCTGGCAGGGGATCCCGCAACAGAAACAGAAGACCCCGTCACAGCAGAAGACCCCGTCACGCCAGAGGATCCAGCTGCAGGAGGTCTCCTCCTAAAGCTGTCCCTCACAGACTGAAACGCATCCTTCCAAGAGCTCCTAGTGGAGCGTTTCGAAATCACCGACAGAGCCCGAGAAGCCGGCGACATCCGCCCCGCATGGGCCATCCTGGGATCATTCCTCTTTCCCTCAGGCTCAATATACCTCTCCTCCTCTGGCTCAATATACCTCTTCTCCCCAGGCTCGCCATACCTCTCCCTACCCCCCCTCCCCGGCGTCCTCGGCATCTCACTGCCACTCGGCGACGCAGACACCTCCACCCCCAGCGACGACGACCTCGTAATCTCGCTCTCCAACCTCCTCAACCTCAGCGCCGTCAGCGGCTGCACCACCTCCGGCATCGGCACCGGCGGCGTCATCGCCGGCTGCTCCGGCGGCGACAACGGCATCGCAATCTCGACCTCCGGAGTGCCGCCATAACCCGCCTCATCCCCCCCGCGCCTCTCGCCCTCCCGCCGCTTTCTCCTCGCCGGCCGCGCCTCCTCCGTCCTCACGGCCCGCCCCGACTTCCACCCCTTGACACTGCGGAGCCTGGCATCAACCTCCTGCGGCGGGAACTCCATCGCCCCGCGGAGCGTGATGGGGGAGGTGTGTGACGTGCGTGTGACGACGACGCCGCCGCCGCCGCTGCTGCCCTCGCTGGGCGACGGGGCGGACGATGCGACGCGCAGCCAGCTCTGCACCATGGAGCGGACCTTGTTGGGCGGGATCTTGCTGCGGTCGAAGCAGGGGCGCGAGACGACGACGGGCTCCTGCGACTTGCGGTTGAAGAAGGCGATTAGCGACTGGACGTGCGAGGCTTGGCCGGGGATGTGTAGTGGGCGTGGGCGGGAGTCGGGGCGGCGGCGGTGGGAGTGGGAGGTGGAGCGGCTGGTGAGGTGGGTGAGCATGGTTGCCCGGTGGGTATTTGGGGCATATATTGGGAACCAAGTTGGATAAGTAAAAGGTTCCTTCTAGGTCTGGATTCGAAGATTGTGAAATTGAAAATTTTTATTATTTCTGTCTATGGTCCTTTTGATAAAGGTTCCTACGATCTGGATGTGTGTTTTGTAATTAGGGTGGGATAACGATAGGTATTGATAGAGCTGGGTGCGAGGCATACTGGCTGGCCTGTGCAATAAAGCTTTGGTGGGGTGGAGGTCTGCAAAAAGACACATTTGATGTCGTGATGTCGAGTCGTGGATGAGATGACGGGTCCTTTTGGAAGTGACAGGTCCAAACAGTTCTCATTGTAGCCTTCTCTCGTAGTCTTTCGTCCGAACTTTATATCCACGACAAGCCCGCACAAGTAGCAGACCTTTGGCAGTATCTAGCCTGGCCACCGGATATCTGCAATTCTTCTTATGGCAATGTTGACGCCGCTGTTTCTGACTGGCGAGTCGACGTCCGGCCACCACATATCCGCAACTCTGGTAGCAACGTTGAAAGAGTTGATGCTGATGTTTCCGAAAGCCCAGCCAGCCAACAGCTGACGCCTGGAAGCTCCGGCCGGTCGACGTCCGGCCACATGGAAACCAGCGGCTATATACAACGGAGTCCCGATAGCAGCATACTCGACAGTGGCATAATCGATAGTAGCATATTCCAACCAGGTCGGCATGAGCAAAATGATGCCTGATACAAGCATGTTCTCGATGGGCGACGTTCCCGACCATATGCTACTAACGAGACTCCACTGTATGCACCGACTCGACGAACGCAAGCCAACATGACCGCCGCCCGGGCACCCGCACACCGCACACCGCACGCCGCATTGTAGTTGACTAGTGGGCGGCCCGCAACACGAGCGCCCAAATTCAAGTCCGGCGCCACACGAATCTCACACATCTATCACACCCGTGAGCATCCATACTCCAAAATCACACACACACACACACACACAAAAAAGCCAAAAGCACACTCCCAAACACAAACACCGAAAAAAGTCCAAACAGAAAAAAGAGTCTTTAACACTAAAACTACAATAAAAAAAAAAAGATAAATGTCGACTACATGAAAAGGAACCCCCCCCCGGCAGCCATCATCATTGTCAGGGCGCGGCGGTGAGTAGAGAGTCTGGGATGATGTGCCTTACACCAAAATAGGGACAAACCACGATTGTATATCAGGCTTTGACCCAGAGTGTTGGTAAGGGGGGGGGATGCGATGCTCTGGAGCAATTTGCAAGAGGAAAGGGGGGAAAAGGAAAAAAGGAAAGGGCGGGAAAAGATTGTGATGATTGCATTCTTCGCTATGTACATGAGTGTAGGTTAGAATCGACATCGGTTTAACCAAAAGGGGGGGTTCGTGAAGTCGCAAGAGAGAACGAGGATCATGAGTCGCTTCCCCCCCCCCCCCCAATGCCAAGCCCCAAATCGGCCGCAACAAGGTACCCGCTCGCCAAGACCTTCTCAGCAACTAGCCCAAGATGGTTACCCCCCGCGCCGCCGCCGCCGCCGCGGAAGGCGCAAAAAAGATGGGACGAAACCCAGCGACGCGATAATAGCTCAGTTGGGAGAGCGCCAGACTGAAGTGTCTTTATCCGGGGTGCCATCTGGAGGTCACCCGTTCAATCCGGGTTTGTCGCATTTCTTTTTTTTTTTTGCTTTGGAGTTCTTGGTGTTGTGGGGGGGTGATGATGGTGGTTTTTTGGGGGGTGGGGGGGGGAAGGTTGTGAGTTTGTGAGTTGCAGGGTGAGTGAAAAGGCTTGTTAGTAGGGGGAATTGGCAGTGTATCTACACTGGATTTCCCTCTGGTTGAACGTAGTTTTGTAAGGGGGGTTACTTGGAAACCTCTCACACCGTGCCAAAAGGTAAGTGGGTAGGTAGGTAGGTTTGGTACTGTACAGTGTCGCAAATTACCGTGCGCACGACGACTCTGTACAAAGATTCTGGCAGTGTTCTGTTCTGGTCACCTACAACCACGATCTCGTCATCTTGATACTGTTTTTAAAAAACCGTATCTACACTCTTCACAAGAAAAATAAGAAGTCACAATCTCCAACAAACCTATAAACCTGCATCCCAATCATTGACCTACCCACCTCTCACCTACCTACCCCCCCCCCCCCCCAGCTCCCCCACATCCACCTCCGCACCGCCCACCTCCTCCCCAAGCCTGCGCACCCTCCACACCTTCAACCCCTTATCGAACCCGCCCGTCACCAGCCACTCCTTTTCCCCCTCCCCCTCCCCCCTCCTCCTCCTCCTCCCCCCCTCCCTCCGCCATCCCCGCCCACAGCGCCCTCACCTTCTCCCCGCCCCCGCAGACCCGCAGCGCAGCAACAACCTTCCCGCTCCGCACCTCCACCCCGCGCACAACCCCGTCATCGCCATTCACCCACACCCCGCGCGCGCACGGCCGCCACGCGAGCGCGCCGCTGGAGTATGCGCCCTGCGGCGCGCCGACGAAGACCTCTTTCAGCACCTCCGCGCTGGCCACGCGCACGAGCAGGAACTTCATGACGGGGACGTGGCTCGTTGCGACGGCGAGGAGCGTGGGGTCCGTGGGGTGCGGGGCGAGGTCCATGGCGTGGAAGGCCGCCCAGCTGTTGGCCGCCGGCGCGAGGCTGTGCGTGGCGTGGTGCGGCAGGCCGGGGGCGAGCAGGTGGTAGTGCAGGGCCGTGCTGTCGCGGCGGGAGAACACCAGTAGGGGGTTGGGAGCAGTAGAGGGGGGGGTGACGATGGCGAGGGCCTCGGGCGGCGTGGGGAGGGTGAGGGTGCCGAGCGGGGCGAGGGAGGGGGTGCCGGTGGCGGGGTCGTAGACGATGGTGTGTGCTGCGATTGTGCCGTCGTAGGATGCGGTTGCGAGGAGGGTGGTGCTGTGCAGGGCGGCGCGGGTGGCGTATTTTGTGTGCGGGCGGAGGGTGCAGAGGGGGGTGGGGGAGGTGGGGGTGGAGAGGGCGAGGTGGCCGGTCATGGAGGTGGTGATGAGCCATTTGTGCTGCAGCACGGTGACGGAGAGGATGGCGGAGGGGTGCAGGGCGGGGTGCGCGGCGAGGAGCGTGCCGGTGAGGGTGTAGAGGCGGAGGAAGCGGTCGGCGGTTGTGGCGATGAGGACGGGGTGGTGCCAGGGGGCGAGGGTGGGCGCGAGGGTGACGGAGAGGACGTTGGATTGGGGGGTGGCGGGGGGGGCGATCAGGCGTGGGATTGTGGGGTCTGGGAGGAGGGTTAGTGGGGTACATATCTAGTGTCTGATGGGGCGCACAGGGTGTGGTGAACTCGTCTTCGTGGTCGAGGATCTCGACCTTCTCGAGGGTGAGGGAGAGGTCGAAGAGGCGCTTCTCGTCGAGCAGCTTCTCGAGGCTGAGGGCGGTGGTGGGGTCTTTGGGGTCGACGCTGGAGGCGGGGAGGTTTGTCTCGTGTAGGAAGGCTGCGAGAGTCTGCAGGCTTGTCAGTAGGCGGGGCTCGAGAGGATAAATTGCTCACCTTGTCGTAGCCATTGGACTTGAGGAAGCGGGCCACGAGGAGCACTGGAGAGTCGGGTGCGGGCATTGCGAGTGGGTGTTGTGTTGTGTTGTGTTGTGTTGCGTTGTGTTGTATTGTGTTGTATTGTATTGTATTGTATTGCGCTGTATTGTATTGTCTGTGGATGGCACCCCAGGCCCTTGTGTGAGGCTCAACACCCGCAAGCCAGCACCAAGCAGTGAGTTCCCAGGCTCATCTAAAACGATACCGCTCTGCCACAGCAACACGCATCTCTGCCACAGCAACACACATCACTGCGTTGCTTCTGCCTCCTCCTGCGCGTCATGCACGCGAGTCTCTCCACGCAGCAGAGAAGATAGACACACGACACACGGCAGAGAAGAAGAGACACCACAGCCAGCACCCGCTCTCCATCTACTATCTACACTCCTCCCCTCCCTCTTCATCTCTCATCTATCTCCATCTCCCACTCACACTCACACTCACTTACACCTCCACACCCCCTTCCCATTGCCAGACAGAAAAACCAAACCAGCCCACGGACAACCCCTTCGCCACCACCGCGCCCCCGCCGCAAACAATGGCCCACCCCGCCGTGCAAATCTCCTACGACGACGACGACGACGACATCCTCATGGACTACGACGACCCCCCCACCACCACCGCCACCACCGCCGCCGCCCCCATATCCACACCCGCAGCAGGGGCCGCCGAGCCAATGCAAGACGTCGAGACCGAGCAGCTCGCCCCCGAAAAGGTCTACCTCAAAGGCGTCGACAGCATGTCCACCGCCAACGTCAAGGCCTTCGTGTCCGAGCACTTCACAGCCGCATCGATCGCAAAGGTCGAGTGGATCGACGACTCCTCGTGTCCGTCCCCCCCCCTTTCCTCCCCCGCTGAGGGCAAGCAATGCTGACAGTGAGGCTACATAGGCTGCCTGGTGTACCGCACCGCCGAGGATGCCGCCGATGCGCTGCGAGCCCTAGCCCTAGAGCCGCAGGAGCAGCAGCTGCCGCCGCTCGCGCTGCGGCCCGCGAGGCTGGCGGCGTCGCACCCGGACTCGCGCCTGGAGGTCAGGGTCGCGAGGGTGAGCGACAAGAAGATTGCGGGCGCGAGAGACAGGAGCCGATACTACCTGTTCAACCCCGAGGAGGACCGCGTCGAGCAGGCCGCACGCCTGTGAGCCACCTCTTTCCCCCTCCTGCACACAGCACCCAGAACACAAAGCTAACAACCTCCGCAGCCGCCGCGAACGCGAAGAATCCCGCCGCACCCGCCCCCGCCGCGCCGACAGCGCCAACGCCAACGCCGACTACGAGCGCCGCCACTACGACAGCCGCGAGCACGACCGCCGCCGCACAACCGACATGTACACGGACGGCTTCTACGACGACGACGACGACGCCGCCGCCGCCAGCTCGCGCAACGTGTCGCGCAGCCGCCGCACCTCGCGCAATGTGTCGCGCAGCCGCCGCACCTCGCGCAGCCGCACCTCGCGCAGCCGCACCTCGCGCGACCGCTCCTACTCGCCGCGCCGCGAGCGCTCCCGCTCGCCCGTCGAGCTGTTCCCCGGCCGCAGCCGCAACCGCAACCGCTCGCGCGAGCTGTTCCCCGAGCGCGCCTCCGCCGCCAGGTCTGAAGAGAGCGGGCGCCTGCGCAGCGACGAGGGCAGTGGCAGTGGCAGTGGCAGTGGCAGTGGCAGTGGGCGGCTGCGCAGCGAGCCCGTGGAGCTGTTCCCGCGGCGGCCTGCGGCGAGTTCGAGGTTTGAGGTGTCGCCGGGGCCGGCGGTGGAGCTGTTTCCGGGGAGACTGGAGGAGCGCGTGGCGAGGCCGGTGGTCAAGAAGTCGCTGGAGGAGCGGATCAACTTGGATGGTGGGAGCGATAGGGAGTCGGGGTATAGGATTAAGGGCCGTGGGGGGCAGCAGGCGGGCGGTGGTGGTGGTGGGGGGGATGAGTTGTTTGCGCAGAAGCTGAGGGCTGCGAAGGGGGAGGGGCTTGTGGTGGAGGAGGGGGGGCGCAGGAGGGGCGGGGCGAGGAGGAATAGGGCGGAGGATATGTTTGGCTAAACATGGGCTGCTATGGGGGAGGGTGTATTGTACGTAGCTGAGGGGTTTTTTTTATTAGTGCTTTTTTTTTTTGCTGCTTTCTTGCTTGCTTTGAGTTTGGCATTTCTTTTTTTTTTATTACTTTGGGGGTGAGGGGTGAGGGTGAGAGGGTGTTTATATGTATCGGTATATCAAATCGAGCTCGTGTCGGGGGGCGGGATATTGGTTATTGGAAGTCAGTGGGTTCCTTTTTTGGTTGTGGAGCTACTGTGTTTATTATCGTCTTGGTAGTGCTACTAACGGCTATACATGTTTTTAAAAGGAAGTTTTAAGAGATATCGGTGTGAACTATTCAAAGCTGGCTACCATGGGCGTCATTGCCCGAGGGAGGAAAGGAAAGAAGAAGTAAAAAAAGTAAAGTAAAGGGGAAACAGAATCATCCACAGTAAACAGCCAGAGAGAAAGAAAGGAAATCCGTACAATATATACTCAATGGATACAGAAAGAAGCAGAGGTTGAGAGCTAACGTAACACGTAACAGGAAAACAAGAAAACCCCAAGCAAAGACAAGCTCAAGGAAGAGATGACTACAAAGATCCGGAAGATTGGTAAACATAGTAGGAAATGCCGGAAGACTCGTAAAACAAAACATAATTGCTGGAAATTCCATGGTAGTTGTGTCTAGTCACCAGCCTGATAAAGAAGATTAGCACATGGTAGAATCAATATATATCAGACACGAAGAAAAAGAGTGAAAAGGCAAAAGGGAAAAACAAACCCTCCAACTACTCAGTATCCTCGACATCCCCATTGCTACTCCCTGTACCAGACCCATCTCTCTTTCCCTTTCCGGAGACTTCATCATCCAACATATGCACGATGCTTATAGCATCCATCTCGGCCTCGGTCCCCTCCTCCTCTTCTTCCTGGTTTTGGCCCTCGTCTTCGTCAGTCGTCTCCTCTTTCTCCAGATCGCCGAATTTATAGCGACGATAACCCTTTTTGGGGAGTCCGGGGCCCCCGGATCTGGGCAGCCTTGAGTTCCCCGCAATGCGGGCCTCAGGCTTGGGTTTTGGTTGGCGAGGTGGGATATCTACCAGAGGGATTAGGTCTTCGGCCGCTGGTTCCTCTTTGTTGGCGGTGATGAGCTTGAGGCATTTGGTTTTGAGTTTTCTTGTCCAGTCCATTTTTTAAAGTATGGGGGTGGTATTGGATGAAGATCTACATAAAATGAGTCAGTTTTGAGGAAAATATTTTTAGATGCGTAGAAAAGGATGAAGATAAGGATGAAGTGAAGGGGAAATAAGATTTCATTGAAAAAGGAGCGGGAATAACAGACCTTAGGTGTGACAGAAGTCGAAATAAGGCTGTGTTTGTATTTGTATACTCTCGACTTTTTTTTTTACTATCTGTGCAAAAGAAACGTGATGAGTGTTAGTCTCGATTGTCAACTCTATCCAAATCATCAGAACAAGATGAAAATACGGATAAAGTGAAGGGGAGATCGGATTTTATTAAAAAGGGGGGCTGGAATAGCAGACCTTGAGTTCGACAGAAGTCGAAATTAGTGCTGTTGTTTTATTTGTACGCTATCTCTTTTACTGTCTGTGTAAAAGAAATAAGGAAGTGTCAGTCTCGATAAAAATAAGGATGCAGTGAAGGGGGAGAAGGGGAGAAAAGCAGTGGTGAGTAACAGACCTTAACTACGATTCGAATCGTTCGACGAAACTCGAATATCTCCGTCACAAGTATGTGCTTATATCTTCAAATGGCAGCCCAAGGAGTTGAGTCTGTTATCGAAATGGAAAGATTTTTCAACGATGATGGATGAGATGAACTATGTGAGAAGGAAGTGGAGGGAAGGAATAGAGGAAGAGAGGCAACTCGAGTCTCTCCGTCACAAATGTGTGTTTATATCTTCAAAGTCAAGTAGTTGCGTCTGTTATCGAAATGTAAAGATATTTCAATGATGATGGATGGGATGAACCGTGTGAAGGGAGTGGATAGAGGAAAGAAAAGAAGATGAGAGAAGAAATAGAGGAAGAGGAGGGGGGGAAATGGAGGAAGAGGAGAGAGGAAATGGAGGAAGGGGGAAAGAACTCTTTGTTGATTGCAACTGCTTGGCTAGCCTGTGTAGAGCTAGTAGTTTGAATCAGCTCCAGATTCAGGTCAACGCATGTGCAGCCCGTCCGACGGCAGCCTGTGTAGGTAGCGTGAGGTCAAGAGAGTAGGTCCGTATAACCGCTCTATGTCCCTGGCTCACATATACTTTGGTCCAAATAGTGACTACAGAGTTTTGAAAGTCCGAAGGCCTGAAAGTCTAAAGCCCGCAATCCTTCTTTTCCTACCGCCTCATCATTGATCGTCCAACAGAGTTTGTGATACAGTCACCGCTGATCACTCGGAAGGCCGAGTGATCAGCCATGGAGGAAACTTAGTTCCACTTACCCCCGAGATATAATTCCCATATATGGTGGAAGATTTTTAAGTCACAAAGGTCTCGACCTGCATCAACTGAGTAAGTCCATACATGTAGTACAATCTCGTACGCATGCGCAGATATACGGTTGAGCTTCACATACATCCATGCGAATCCACCCAGAGTGTTGAGAATAGGAAATGTAGATCCTGAATGCATGTATTTCTATAAAACTCAGAATAGACTACTTAGGGTAAACTTGACAGGTTATCTTGAGTGAGTGCTCTTCGGCCCTTGAGTCTAACGGTTTACTTACCATCTGTCGTTTGGAATTATCATTGACCTTTTTACCGAAGGGCCTGTAACCTCAAAAAAAATCATTTGCCCCATCACGTGATATAGTCCATCCATGAAATAACCGACATATCACACTATCAGCGAAGTATAAATGAAGAGGATATAATATTATAGTTGAGTGAGAATGCGGAGAGGAATTCTCTATCTGCGATTTTTTTATTTGGGTGTCGCAATGCTAGTAGAATACAAATATGAGAAAGCAGCAAAGAATATCAATTTTCAAAAAATCTAGCACGTGCTCCAGCCCGACTCCTTTTGTTTACTATTTACCGCACAGTAGCTCCCTTCAAGCTCTCAACGCGACATGTTCCCTTGCCCTCAACCATCAGCTTCCCAACCGCGCCCTCACCTGGCGCCTTGCCCTTTGCCGCATCACCTTCCCAGCCGGCCTTTGAGCGGTCGAAGATCACCTCGTTCTCTTCGCTCGTTGAGAAACCGGGCTGGATCGCCTCCCAAATCTTCTTCTTTGGGTTCAGCACTGCCTCAGGCTCACCCTTGTAGCCCTCAAAGTACACACGCTCACCAGCTACTGCACCCTCTGGGGGGGCAACGAGCTCGACCTTGCCATGGTCGTCACCGACGGGGGAGGCGGCGAGGACCATAGCAGCGGATTTGACACCACGCATAGTGACGGGCTTGAGGTTGGCCACGACAACAACTTTGCGGTTCTGCATGGCCTCCAGGGGGACAAGTCCGTTAAGACCTGAGCAGACTGTGCGTACAGGAGGGAGAGGGTTATGCGCAGTGAGGACAGACTCAGGGAGGGTTAGTGTTCCAGGAGGAGTGACGAGAGCTGAGTCAGCTGGGTCGCCCATGGCTATGGTAGACACGAACAATGAGTCGGCGTTGGGGTGAGGAGTGCAGTAGAGAATGTGCCCAACACGGAGGTCAATCTGGCAGGGTGAAAGTACAGGCTCTGTAGATTATGTTAGCGGTGCCTTTTCAATGAGCAAAGTACCTTGTATATACGGACCTTCCTTTGGAGGGGCCTCTCTGCGAGGGCCCTTCTCCTTCTTCTGCTGCTTCTTCTTACCGTCGCCGGCAACAGCAGTTGCAGCCTTGTTAACCTCCTCTTTAACAACCTCCTTAGCCTCAACAACCTTCTCCTTAGCCTTCTCGGCAGCACCTGCTCTTCCCTTAACCTTCTTCTCTCCCTCAGCACCCTCCTTCTTCTTCTCCTTAACAGCCTCCTCGGGCTTCAAGTACACCAATACCTTGCTGGGGTCAATCTTGACCTTCTCACCCTCTGGCAGGTTGAGCCCAAATACAGGCGAGTTCTGGACAAAGTCGACCCAGCGGACGATGTTCCTGTAGCCAGTCTCTCCAGTTCTCTGCTCATCTGTCCATCCAGCAACATCGTCCTTGAGACGGGCATACACAACCACGTCTGCGATAGAAGGCTTCTCGCCGAGGATTGTGGTGCGGAATTTGAGCTCACCGTCCAGCGAGCGCAGAGTGTCCTCAATGATCGGGGACGCGGCAGTGAGGGTAAGCCATTGAGTGATTTCGGCCTTCTCGAGGTCTGTGTATTGGTCCTCCTTGAACGCGGGAATGAGTGTTGACAGGTGCGAAACGATGGTGTTTGTTCCCGCAACAGTGTCGGCGTTGCTCAACACAAGCTGAGACACAGCCGGAGTGGACTCGGAAACGGTGACTGTGGGAGTGAGAAGGTTCTTGAATGACGAAATGAGTAGCTGGAGTGGCTTGTCGTTTGGTGCGACTGAGAGTGTGTAGCCAGCCATCTTTGTGGTTGTGTATCTTCGCTGTATGAGCTGCGGGAGCACAGAAACTCGACGAGGAAGTACGCGGGCTGCTTTGCGGAGAATGGCTGGGGTATTCAGTTTGAAGATTGGGCTGGAAGCGTTTATTGAGTGGGAGGCCGCGCGCGATGACTCTTTTCTGTTTGTAGCTGCGGGGTGCGAGATGCCCAACTGCCAAGACAATTATGCCCCACCATCATCATTGATAAAGAAACGGGGTTTAGGGTTGAGGGTTCAAATCCATGCATACGATTCTGAAGGTTCAGATCTCATCTCGTTACTTTTTTCTTTTATAGGAGTAGATACTCATTCGATAATAGGCTGATTTTATATCAGTAAAAAAACTCTCCCTTACGTATACCTTTGGGCAGAGCGCACAAGTTCATGACGCCGAGTGATACACTGTGAATAAGCATCTAATCGAAGAGGTTTTCCAAGGTGATAATAATTATAAAAGTGTAACTGAGTTGAGCCTGTTATGATATGGAAGTTGGAAAAGATAAAACTGTACTACATGTACTCTTATGGTCGAGGGCTGGGAACAGGCTTCCTTCTAGTACTTGAGACTTGATCTGTAGCTCAACAGGCCTAGGCATCAGAAGGCGTAGATTTCTTCAAATCTACCGGGAGAGGGATTTGAAAAGTATTTGTAGACATGTCAATTATCATAAGAAATACAGACCCTAAGTCCCTACCAAAGCAAAAAAAAAAAAAATAAAGAAAATGAAACATGGCAGTACATTATTGAACCTGACCCCATACATCTAGATCCATGCCTTAAATGTTTCGTATCTGGTCTCGATATCCCCCTCTTACAGATTGTTATTGATCTCCTCGAGCATGCATACATTACATAGCTACATGTAAGCTACATGTAGATAAGAATATAGACCCTATCCACGGGATACAGCCACAAATTAACAGATAAAAGGCATAATACACCTTTGAAAGCGGTGACTACAACGCAAGATCATAGTCGTCTTCATCTTCGTCTTCGTCTTCGTCTTCATTCTTCTCACTGTAAATCTTTCGCGACTTACTACGCGGTTGACGACTTCTACTAGCGATTGCCTGCCATTTCTGAGGGGTGCGTTCAGATTTCCTCGGGGTGCGCGACGGCGACGGGGAGCTGTGAGAAGAAGATGGGGGAGAAAAAGAGGACACAGAACTTGCAGGAGAAGTGCTGCCCAGAGTAGCGGAGAACTTTCTTTTAGTGGGGGTCTTGGGATCAGGATTTGTTTCCTGCTTGACTATGATTGTCGCACCCCAGCCATCATCATCGTCGTCTTCGCCTTTTTCTGGGACTGCGATTTGGTCGAGGATTGGGGTAACTGGGGGCAAGACAAAGGTTGCAGGAGGTATTGGGAACATGTCAGGCGGATTCAAAAACGATGTGGTTTGCAAGTCTCTGGTGTTATTTTGAGTGTTTTCTGGCGTAGGCTGGAGTGGTTCCGCGTCATCTTGCTCTTCGGTCTTGAAAATTTCTTTGATCTGCGGAGCCGATACCGCTGCCACCACAGCTGCAGCAGCGGCTGTAGGTGGTTGCTCGTTCCCCGGTGCCCGAAGTGTCTCTTCATCGTCACCTTTGTCCCCAGAACTAACTTCACCTTCCATATCATCATCCGCATCTTGCTCATTCTTGACCACAACTCCAATTCTTTTGCCTGCCTTAAGCTTGGCCTTTCTTGGGGTGCTTTTGTCCTTGATAGCATCTTCAAATTCAAGCTCTTTCACCTCCTCCTTTATCGATTTCTCTTCTTTCTCTTCTTTCTCTTCCTTGGGCGTCTTTGGAGCCTTCTTCTTAACCTTTTTGGGCAATGGCTCGGGGGCGAACTGTGGCCGTGTATCGTCGGGGTTGATGGACTTTTTCAGACGGCTCCAACGCATGCGTGCTGCAGCGGGGTTGATAGCAAAGTCCGCAGCGACACGGGAAAAATCAATCTGTATATATACTAAGTTATTATTCTATGAAATGAAGATCATTAATGAATGTTTAGGTAGACATACTGTCTTGTAGTCACTACGGATAAGGCATGAATACAAAAACTTGACATTCTCGTCGAGAGGGGCTTTCGCAGGCATCTTTCAAAGTGTGTTGGTCTCCAACACGCTGCTGAGACGCTGATGTAACAGTTGAATTTGAAAGCCCAAGATCGTGGGATGTGCAAATGTTAAAGGTTGTTCAGAAACCCTGATTACAAGCAAGAATGAAGAGGCGTTGGAATGAAAACAGGAGGCCGAAGGTACAAGTTTGTTATAAATCCCCGCCAGAATTAAATCCATGAACAAACTAGAACCACGGGTGGCGAGTGATTATGGCACTTGCACTGATGTACTGACGCTGTATATTCGGGAAGACGCATCGGGAAATCTAGCCAGCCAACAGGATGTAAGGACTGCTATATTGACTCACTCTTTCCCCGAAATGGCCCAAGCCATATCCCAAATTGGGTGGAGGAGCTCGGGCCCAATGTTGTGATGTTAGTACCGTGTAGTTTGAGTTTGCGAGTGATTTTTCGTGAAACACCTCGATGTTTGAAATAGGATTTAATGTTAACGTTACAACGCCGAGTTAACACAAAAGCTACAGAGCTACACAATTTGCCATTATATTTATTCAAGACATAGTACTAGTGGCTATAGGACTTTTTATGAACATTTCTTAGCGGCGCATGCTTTGACTCCACCCTCATTCTTTACAGACAAACACTGGGGCTGAAACCTAGCGCACGGGTAGTGACGTAGGTGGGCGTATTCGATAGGCCGATAAGCGCTATATGTACTACATGTAAAGATCAACCTGTCTCAGATAGCAGATAAGTATATCACGAGCGATTGTATACCTTTGTTTTTACATGAAATAAATTTCTTCAGCTGCGGGGTACTATGTAGCCAGAACAGATACTTCGAGTGATCTCTTCGCTTTTCTAGTCCCCATTTTTAAGAGTCCTATTTCTGTTTTAACCCGACCTTGAAACCATAGGGGAATCCCCATATTTCTCCAACTGATGACGGAAACCCTTAAGTCTCATTCAATACAACTTTACCATTTAGATCCAACCAGCATGATAGTTACTAACATCAAAATATGTAGTAGAATATGATAGGGACCAGCATAGAGCACTAGTGGTGGTGGGCGGGAGGGTGAGGCCAACAGTTGAACGCACTCAGTTGCATTGCAGATATTGTGCGAGTAGTAGAGAGGGACCTCCGGGAAGCAAACATTGGGAGCCTCACCTTTAACTCAACTCTATGGTTATGAAGGCCAATATTAAGATATATACTACGTGAACAGGGTAGACAGGGTGCCCCCCAAACCCTCTCGCACCATAGTCTCTATTCGCGACCTCGCACTAGTCGCCCGTCTAAAGATCGAATTAATTCAGATGAGCGCCAAGTTCAGGGCCTTTAGGTGCTTAGTGTCGTTCACGATTATGAAGTATGTGTTGGCCCAGTAGAAATCGCAGCGCGGGTCATGCCTTGTTGAATGGAAGTCGTTTATGAGATGTCAAGGCGTACCATACGTATACATGTATGCTCCAACTTAGTTGGTGGGTTAGGGCTCCTTTACTAGGGTGTCTTTGCTAGCTAATTGGTCTGATCTGGTTGGATTCATCCCTTGCCCTTCCACATACGCACTTATGTAACTTCATCCATGGTAGCATAATTACTTCATGAAATCCTCTGACAGACCAGATTATTCATCAATCCCCTTGCACTGAACGTTCCTCTATTGATAGCCGTTCGGAATTCGATACGATATTCGATAACTACCCTGAATAGCCCGACACTGAAAGAATGGGATTTCAACTGCCAACGGTGACGGGTAGTATAAGGGGGTAAACATACACGATGGGAGGACAACCAGCGGATTTTCTCAACAGTTCGCCGCTCTTTAGGATTAAAATTATGGGGGTGGTATCTCGATATAATGAGAAGTTCCTTCCTCTAAAACGATCCGGGTGAAGTGCTAATGATTGGTATGCCAGTGGGCAAACCAGTGCGGAAAATGAGACCAGCTAACTTATATGTAGCCGTCATCAATATAGAGCTCGTGGGCCATGCACGAACTGTTCTGAGCCACAGCAAGATGGACTTTCTCTCAACGAACTACATTTGAGAACGGCCCGTAGCACCTGCCAGAGGAGCCCAAGTTATTATTCATAGTTTGGACCCTTCGAGTTTTATGAACTAAATGTCCGGCGCGTCTTAGGTATGACATTACCTCGAAAGAACTTAGTTCATAGCCTTTAGACTAATCATCATATCTAATGAGAGTATCCGCAGGATGCTGTGCTTCCTGTCAGAACCTCGCCAGACTAGTATGGTCAAATCTGGGAAAGGAGTTCGAATTCAAGAAATGGCTCGTCAAACACAAGCAACCTTGGAATGTATCAAGTTTGCTCATGCCGACACTTTAACGGAGAAATCAAGAGAATTGGCCTGCCTCCGAGGACCCTCTTGATGAGATTGGTGAGGAAGAAAGTCAAATCATAGACGATCACTCGAATTTTAGAATTTCAAGAATTTCAAAGCAAACATCATAACATGCGCAACAAAAAGCAAAAATGTTAATCATCATCAGCCGGCCAAAGAGCCGTTGGGCTTCCGCTTCATCCGTTGTTGGAATTGGGCTTTACTTGCTTATTCGCCTAGCATACAAAACCTCTTCACAATTTACTCAACCAAATTTGTCAATACTGATTACACTGCCTACATGGTGAGCTGATGAACTCGTATTCATGGAAGATGAGTTGGACTGACAAAGAGATCCGCACTTCGAGTGATTATTTATGACAACCAAATGTGAATGATTACTTTTACATGTAGCTAAGCTAATGCGGCTCAATATTCCTAGTTATCACAGGTCACAAGATATTATTGATATAAGCTTGTTAAAATAGGGAAGTTGAAATGGCACAGTTATTCATAGACAAGATAATTCCGTTCAACCCCGCCCCATTATCGAAGTATCTCACTCAGATCAACGCTACCCAGGAATGGGCTAGAAACAGAAACTTGACATGACTCCCTCCCGTCAGAGTTTGTGATGAATGAGGTGTTTACCCCCACCAAGGCCAGTAGTCCTGACGGGAGAGATCCCATGACAATATCTCATTATTTCACAGCATCCGTTCAGGTAGTCATGGATATAAGCGAAGCTCGAAAAGATTTCCGGGAAAATAGGCAAGTCACTTTCTGCTGAGGATATCGTATGGAATCTTATCACCACCTCTCAACACCATGTACTTACCTTCCGAAAGCAACCGGGAGAAGAATAGCCGTGGTCTGATATCAACAATTTAGTACGGAGAAAATCGGCCTTACTTCTTTAGAGTTATTACAATAACAATAGAGAAGAAAGTCATGAGTTGCGGTGCAGCTATATTTGAACATCGTAAAGCATCGGTTAGAATCATAGCAAGCTCTATGTACTGTATCTACATCCAGGGACTGATTCTCCTTCTTTCGGGCACGATGACCCGACAAAAACATTATCCTTCGGCCCAAAGTGGCCTGAAGCCGATTCAGGGAGTTGTGTGTTTCTATAAATGGGCTCTGCGCACGGCCCCTTTACGTCACTGATCGACAGGGAAGGTTATTATTGGAAGGGAATCCCTGTGTAACATAAGCTCTTTCCCCGTTGAGTCTTATTTTCCGCGATAGGGTCCTCTACGGATATGTACCTAGTAGGTACATACTGCATTTGCTTTCTGGCGGCGTGCTGGTTAACGTTCATCTATCCATGAGAATTCAGGCAAATGTTTTTAAGATCTACAACCCTTTGTGCAATATGGGATTATTAGTGCCTACTCTCGAGCGATTTTGAGGGGTTGCACAAAGGTTGGGGAAACCTGGGGCGGGAAGCTTAGTCGTTTTTGTGAGGAATCATCACGAGATCGAGACGGTATGGCATGCTACCCATTAAGATATTCAATTGCGATATCGTAAAGGGGAGAATCCTCGAGTATCATCGGCACAGTATTGGAGTTGAATATTTTATTAGGATTAATCTACAATTACAGGACCTCGGACTGGCAGAGATCCGTCATGTAAATAGATACACGGGTTGTAGTCCGATCAATATTCCGCACATCCCCGGACCGACGGTTATCCATCACGAGAATTTAGGGTTGCATATTGGCTTTCCAATTGACGGGGAAGGTAGTAACGGTTGCGGTAAGGTAAAATGCTCTAGAGTACTTTACCTACATGCTGTCTATGTGCTTACCCCGGACCCTTGCACGATGTACCCGACATCCGAATCTCGTACTGAGTATCCCCGTGACCCAATTTGGTAATAATCCTCTAGAACACCATGACCACAAGTGGTGCAAAATAGACTACCACTACACCAACCTTGCAAGATATCACTACACCACACTGTAGTAGTATAACCGACTTTATCTATCCGAGTGATATGGGAGAAATGGAGAATACGAGCTGTGATGGCTGGCAAACATGGCTGGGGAATGTAATATCGTGATTAATATAATTTTCCCAATTGCAGTCTAGTAGTATATCGCCAGGTTGGCAAGATATCAAGTTATCGTGGAAAGGACAGAATATATAAACCACTGTCCTCATCCACCAGAAAACTTCTTTCTTCACCTCACTCACCATCGAGTTTAGTACAGTCACATTCCACTCGCTACCTCTTCACTCGCTTTTACAAACCACTCTCACAATAATTCTAATTACTTAACTCCCACCCTCCCCAAACCAATTATCAAAATGCAGTTCTCGGCCATCCTCCTCACTCTCGTTTCCGCCGCTACCAGCGCTCTTGCTGTTACTGCAGCCTACGACACCACCTATGACACTAGCAGTCTCTCCACCCTCGTCCTCGCCTGCTCTGATGGCGTCAACGGCCTCTACACCAAAGGATATCAAACTCTTGGGTCTGTCCCCGGTTTCCCTAATGTTGGGGCTGTCGAGACCGTTGCAGGGTGGAACTCTGCCAACTGCGGCAAGTGCTATGATGTGACCTATGGCTCTACCACTATCAAGGTCGTTGCTGTTGACCATGCGGCTTCTGGATTTGTCCTTTCATTGGCAGCTTTGAACACCTTGACTGGTGGACAGGGTGTGGCTTTGGGCAGAGTCGATGTTACCTATACGGAGGTTGCTTGTTAAATGGTGAGGATAAATCTTCTATCCCTTACATCTATACTTTGATTCTAACTCTATAATTAGCCTCCAACCTCTTCAAGCGGCGGTTCATATAATATGATACCTATGTACGAGATGAAAGATTAAGCAAGGGGGAGGGGAGGCGGGTTGAATGTACGATTTGTATACCAACATAGGAATGGAGGAATTTGGCTATAGGGCTGGATTTGGATGGGTTACCGGGAGATTTAATTTTGATACTGTACGCTTTGCATGTATACTCTAATGGTTACTTTGAGAAATTTGGCACGAAATATCATAAATTACATATCTAAAAAACCCTTTTTTGTGCGAGAAGAGAGCAGCCACAGCCTATAACCACTCATTCCGGACACATATTCCCGTGATTCAGATACCTCTGGGATAGATCCGGGTACTGTCCATAATACTGATTGTACTGCTGCCCTACTAGAGTTCAACATCTATGAATTAAACAAAAAAAAAAAAAAAAGAAAGAAAGAGTTCATCTAAACATGATGAGAGAATCGAACCGAGTGATTATTGATGAGTGAGCTTGATGAACCATTTTGGAGAGTTTGTTTTAAACAGCGACCAAAGTTACTAACAAAACAGCTGGTCACTGTAGGGCACCGTCACATCATGATGAGATTACACGCATGTTATGGCTGTTTGCATAAGACTACATGTAACTAGGTCTAAGCAAATATCACAGGACAAAGCACAAAAATGTAGGTTGATGGGTTGGTTCTGACGTAGGCTATCATCTGAGACATTAAAACAATCAGATTAGATATCATGTGAGAACTGATGCACCTTATGCAGAAAAAGTGACAAGCTGTAATGTTGTATAGAAGTAACAGTTGTTATTTCTAAAACTGACATAGACATACAAGGCAAAGAAGTGACAGAAAGTAATATATAATCGCCAATCCCCCAGTTTGATAGCCCTAAGCGGGTTGTTGCCCTAGCCACAAAATCAGTTGTAGTATACATGTGGTATACTAGAACTAGAAAGCTTAAATTAACATCACCATATCAACGGTACGATTCACCGCTAAGAGAGCGCTATCAACAACCAGGGCAGTAATGCCTGCCGCTTCAAGCGTTGCGATGTCTTGTTTAACAAGCTTTGAAGACAAACCATTGCCTCCATACTCACCGCAGAATCCGTTCCGCCTCTGGCAGATCGAGAACCCGTGGACTCCCCCGGCACAGCGCTGGGCAGCTATAAAGACCACCAAAACAGTCATCAAAGGAGCTGAGATCACGGATGATGTCCTTGTAGAATGTGTCAAGCTGTTCAACACCAATTTTGGGACGTGGGGCAAGCTGGCTAAAAAGCAGGGAAACAAAGGTGTGCCAGGTACGCCCACTTGATCCTGGACATTACTACGATGAATTGTGTTTGTAATTACTGATCCTGTGGTCGATAGGTTCAGCAGTGAGGACAAATGTGAAGAGCCTTCGTGCAAACTGCGTTCCTTGCGAAGAAACCACTCTGGTTAGGATTTATGTTCAGGACAAGCTTGTTGGTTATGCATTCGGAACTCGATGGCCCCACCATGAGCGGGATGGTATGTTGATGACCATTGAAATTATCAGTGCTAAGTACTCACTAGCTCTATAGGTGATGTGTGCTGGATCACCCAGGTGGTAGTTGATAAAAATTATCGCGGAGTAGGCCTCGCAACTGCTCTTCTATCAAAGTTCAAAACCTACACAGATGTCCTATATGGCATTATGTCACACCACCCTGCTGCGATCATGGCGTTGAAACGGGCTGTTTTAGGGACCGGACATTCTCACCATGATTTGTCCTATACGCAGGCTTATGCCAGAGATGTTCTCCAGGGATCCATCATCGAAACTCACCAAGATGTCGTACTCCGCGGCATGCTCTTCAATGAAATTCCCTGCAACCCTGGCGATGATGGGATCGTTTGCTGTGTCGAAACAAATCTCATGCTTACTCATGATGATGCACTTTCCGCGCTGAGGTATCTGGAACAAAAAGGAAAGAATTGGGATTTTGGCCAATTACACCATGGGTTGGAATTCATCGCCCTGATTGAAAATAGGAGCTGCAAACAGAAACAGGGCTAGCTAATATTTGGGAATGTTCGAAGCTATGCATATGGATACGGGCCTAACTTAATAGAACCTATGTATCTAATAATTAGAACTAGCTCGTTCATAAGTACCTGTTGGCTCGGCAACGAATGTTGCTCAATTTGTCGAATCAAAGTAGTCCAGGGATGCGGGGCTATCATCCCAATGTCTGAGACGAGACTGTACTACTAGTACAGCCTATCACCTATCTATGTACCTCAAAGACAAGGTATGACACATATGCAGGTACTGAAGAACATGGAGGCTATAACGTTTCTGAACGCTCCTCCATGGTTACCCCTCATCTCGTCGATTCCGCGGGATATTCAAACTCTTTACCTTAATCCACAATCAATCCTCTATAAGGCGCCAAAATCCACTAACCAATCCGTTTAGATTCAACATCCTGTATTATGGACGACTCATATGATCAACAAGGATGGACTAGAAGAGACATTGTTATCCGCGACAAGATATTCAGCACCGCCGAAGAGGGTTTTAAGCGTCATGGAGGTGTGCGAATGGATACTCCGTAAGCCTCTTTGCAAATCAGAAAATGTCCGTAACGAACTTATGCTGGAACAAGTAAGCCAACAAGTGGATAACCTACTATAGTTATATCGCGTCGCGAGAGATCTTCCGCCACCATTATTCTAGGGCTTTATCTCTCTTGTGTGTGCGCGGCCGTCTTTTAGAGTCTATAGAACACTGGCTTGTAAAGAACCCGGAGGTTAAATCTACAAAGCGCTACATGATCATTAGGGACTGTATTCAGCGGATTCCTTACTCTGATTCGGACGATATCGATCCCTCCGAAGGCCCCGAGGATCCTGTATGCGACTTCAGTATTGTTGGTGTACACGACGATATTCTTCCCGACGCAGAAATCTTAGGGACCTTAGCAGAAATCTTGAGCAAATTAGACATAAACGATTATAAGATAAGGATTAACCATCGGAAGATTGCCGACGGAATATTCGAGAGTTGTGGGGTGTCCGAGGATGCGTCTGCATCGGTTGCAGTTCGGTTTGCCATTTCACTGTTGCGGCTGAAGAAGGTATCTTCAACCTCCGATTTTGATGTTTTTCAACTGCTGTGTAATTGCTCGGATGAAAACATCTCTGATGTCCGGTCGATAGGAGTTCCAATCGGATGATGATTTCCGGATAGAACTGGAAAGACTACTTGAACCACCGGAGACTGCTCGTATTCTGTCGCAATACTTATCTAGAAAAGGTTCTAAAGATAATCTCTCAAGTTAATCTTCCATACTGAATCTTTAATAGGGGGGAGGCATCTTCAGTATGATTTGTTACTTGAGGAGGATTTGACTGCAAATGAGACCTTCTCAAGTGGGCTTCGTGAAATGGGACTCCTTTTTGATTATCTTGAGATATTTGGTGTAATGGATAGGATTGAATTTGATCTTTCTTATACCCCACTCGTAAGTACTCGATATTCTACCATATATTGAAAGCTTCTCATATATATTCTAGATAGGGAGTGGAATAGTATTCATGGTTGTAGCACCAATGCCATCTTTAGAATCGTCACCGTCTCAAATAACTGAACTCACCGGAGATTTCGAAGGTATTGTCTGTCTAGCGACCGGTAGTCGAAATAATTCTAGAAGGGAAAAAGAAATCCAAGTCGTTTCCTTCTCGCTTGATGTGAATAAAACTTTTGATATCATCAAAGGGAAACTATCGATATCACCCCAGAAGGAGATTAGGGAGAGCGAAACCGAGGTGTATGTTATGTCTTTCGGAGACGGGCTACTAAGAGAGCGTATTCAAGTTTGCAAAAAACTTTGGAACGCAGGTGTTAAGGTTTGCAGTACTTGGAATTCCTATATATTCCAAACGAAACACAAGAACTGATGGAGACAGGCTGAATTTTCATATCAAAAAAAGCCAGAGCTCTCGTACCAAATGACAACCGCAAGAGAAAGCGGGATTCCCTTTGCAGTAATACTCAGCGAACAGCTCCTGCAACAGCAAAAAGTAAAAATCCTGGATTTGAGTCTCCGTGAGGGCCATACAGAGAAAACGGGGGTAGATGTAAATCTTCTGGACCTTGCAAGAGAAATCAAACAGAGACTTGAAGGGAAGGAAGATGAGAAAGACGATGATGGAGAGGAAGACACGGATAGTGAATCTACTGAAGAGATCGACAGCGGTGCTGCTAGTGGTGGGGAGAGGTTTCACGAAAACGTGAAGAAGGTTAAACTAGAGGGTGGGACCGTAGATATGGAGGGTATTGAGATCGAGATGGATTTTGCGAAGATTACGTCAAAGGGCGCTCAGATTGAGGTCCAGGGGGCAAAGATCAAGATGAAAAATGCGAAGATCGAATTGAGGGGGCGCAAGGAGTAGAGTTACATGATTTCGAACTCGTAAGCCTGAAACTATTGATAAATGTGCTTGATTGTTATAGAGAGGCTTACTTCATAATTTTATTAGATAACTAGAATGAAAAGGCCCCAGACTGTTTAGCCCCCGCTTTCTTGTTAAATAACATAAGACTGATTTGTCCTTTATAGTATCGTTTGCGGTAAGTATGCGTACACTTTGAAGAAACCCAGTGATTAATAAACCCCAGCTCCCCAAATTAACACAGTCCTTTCAGGATTCTAAACATCTGTGTTTCGTTCATGAGCTGAATCCTGAAATGATTCCTCCTCGATTCCTCCTCCCTTTTCAATAGTTGAAGCATCTTAAAAATCTCGACGTAGACCTCCCATTCATGGAAGGTCAAAAAGTGGGGCAGTTTCGATACGCTATCAAGGTACTCCATACGCGCTGTGATTTCATTGTACCTTTGGTATGCGCCAGAAGCAAGATTACCAAGAATATATATTGCTTTCGTACGAGAATTTATTAGGGCTTCATTCTCGGTAGAAGCTACATCCCTTATGAACGGCGTTGATGGCAGTCGACCGCCAGATCCTGAGAGCAGGGATTCTAAAATCGAGCTAGCTTGGTCGTGATCAAATTGGCGTCTAGTCATTCTCTCAATTATTCCTTTAGAGTATACTCTCAATTCACCAAGAATGTATTTTTGAGATGACTCGTGTTTGATACCACCATACCTCCCGGTGCAGATATCAAAAAGCGACATTAAAGAATAATCAACATCTCCTTTAGACACGAATTCGGTGGAAGACAGGCAGGATAGAAAATCTCCTACAAGTCTATTTCTTTGCAAGACTGTTTCGCGTCCGAAAGTAGTCATGTTGGATATTTCGTTGTTCCTGTAGGAGTAATGTAGATATAGTTTGTAGTTTTGTGAAGGTTGCATGAGAACATAATATGTAAATATTTATTTCTTTTATACTATACTGGACATCTCGATTGACATAGAATGCCTTTGATCCCTTGATACACTCATAGATCCAATACTATGAAGCCACAGACGCCAGGCGGGATGAATTCAGGCTGTGGACATGCATCTAGCTAGCTTGGCCTAGTGGCCCATATTGTTTAAACAATAGATACGGTATGCAATCACTCGAAGACTCTAGGCGGGTAGTAGAAGTCTGAAAATGCAAGCCGAAAGTAGATCTCGGCCGGGATAAGGATTGTTGGATAGGTCTAATTCGGTAGTACAAGGAGTAAATAATGAAAAGAGAGGACTCCAGAGGGAGTAGAGGATTGCGAAAAAGATAGACAAAAGTATACATCATCCTCGTCCTATCAAATAGTACGTAGCAACTGGTTGAACAAAAACCTCGATCTCCCCTATCCTCCGGGAAGCACCTAGCTTTATATCTTTTCTAAATAGAAGAGAGTCAAGACGGCGAAGAGCGCCAAGGCCATGAACGCAAATCAAGTAACACAGTATAGCATACGATCTACATGCTTCCTTTTATTATAGCTTCCCTCATTCCCTCCACGATGATAAAAATTATGAAGAAAGCCTATTGCACGAGTTGACGTGTAAAGTTATGCGGATCCAGAGTATTTGCTTATGAACTCTTTGTAAAAGTCAACTATTATTTTGGTCGCTTCACTCGCGATCGACCCTTCTTTATTCTCTTTTTTTCTATCAAAGATAATTGTAAAACTGCATTCATTTGGGTATCAAATTAATCCATGCTTTCTAGACAAGAACATATTGTCTGCGAAATTCGCATAACTGCGTCATAGCGTCAACACGATGGTTAATTTCCATCAACCCCTGCAGTTGAGGTGTTTGTGGGCTGTCCCAGTTCCTCCAATGCAACGTTAGGATGCAAGACAAACACGGTTCTACCACCAGCTGAGCTACTTCCTTCTTCGGCTTCACCAACGAGACCTTCACCACGGATTTGCATGAGAATGTTGTCCTGTAAACATAAACCAATTAATTTACGACAAGACTTTACGCACGGAGAAGTGGGGATACAAACCTTGACCATCCTCTTGATAACCTTCTTAACGAGTACCTTCTCATCCTCCAATTCCTGCTCGTCGTTAATTTCTTCTTCTCTCTGCTCCAGATACCATGTTATTAACTCCTCCTCTTCGACACCCTGTCCAGTCGTAAGTTCGTCTTCGTTTACCCTTCTAACTAGTAGATTGAGTATTTGCATGTAACGATCGTAGGTGATCTTTGTCTTCTCCCTTGGAGGTTGGCTGGCTCTTGTAGAAGGTGCCGGACCTGGAGTCGCGGTGGGATCCCTTGTACTTTCTTCCTCCGCATCAATTTGCATCTCAGAATCTCCCACGGGTATATCATCTTCGTCATCGTCAACCTCGACATCGTCCTTCTCAACATGAATGATACTCTGGCGCAATAGACCGAAAGCTTCAATCACGAAAGCCTCCGTGACGTCCTCCACACAATTTGCTTTTGCAATGGCCTCAGAGAGACGGATGAGAGATTCAAGTTGACGTACTGTGATGCGGTAACTGTTACGACCGACACCACCCTGGGCATCATCTGCACGAAGTTGTTTGTATTTCTCAACAAGAAGTGCCTTGGCTTCCTCTGTGAATACTGGGCGGAATGTACGTGCGAATTTGATATATCGTTGAAGCTGCTCGGTTGTAAATTCTGGCGTAATGGCAGCATCGCGATTGCGATGAATGTTAACAATGTGACGAGCAAGATGCGTGTCTACTGCTTCGTTACACTCATCAAGTACGACAAAGAAGAGATCGAAACGTGACATGATAGGAGCGGACATGTTGATATTACTCCTCAGAGTTGTTTTCCGGTTGTAGCGTCCTCCTACAGGATTTGCTGCAGCAAGAATTGATGTTCTGGCATTGAGAGTTGCCTGAATACCTGCCTTTGCAATGGATATTGTCTGCTGCTCCATAGCTTCGTGAATGGCAACCTGATCAACGATATCCATCTTATCAAACTCATCAATAGCACATATACCATTATCTGCGAGCATGAGCGCACCGGCCTCGATAGTGAATTCGCCGGTTTCCTCGTCTTTAACGACAGCGGCAGTAAGACCAGCTGCTGAGGAAGCCTTTCCAGAGGTGTATACTGCTCGTGGGAGAAAAGAGCAAATATATTTCAAAAATTGCGATTTGCTAGTGGAAGGGTCGCCGACAATACAGATGTTGATATCACCACGGAGACTCATGCCCTCTGGCGTCTTTTTATGAACACCGCCCATGAGTTGTAAGAGCAAACCCTTTTTAATGATTTCATGTCCATACACCGTTGGCGCCAGACTGTTCGCCGTGTCAGCAGTGAAGTCTTAAGAGGTTATGAGAGTATTACTCACGAATTTACCAATCTTGAGTAAATATGATCACTATGTACCATCCCTTTTAATTCGGCAATCTCCGCTGGTGTTAAGCTGTTCAAAAAGTCCTCCTGCTCTCTCTCGTCATCACCAACTCCTGCCTGAGTTCCCCTCAGTAGCCCAGCGACTTCTTCTTCCTCTTCACTTTTTCTCATTCTTGCACCTGGAACCCCGCTTGTATCACTTGTAACCATACATGCCAAGAATGCCAGCCTATATGTTAGATCTCTGACACCTAAACTTTTCAGTCCAGTAACACCAGTACTCTCTGCGCCTCCTCTCGACGCGTTTTTCACATCCTTCATACTTTGAGCTTTCAGCCCCGGAAGGCCTAACATACTCACATCCGGAACTACAATTAATGTTCCAGTGAAAATGCATTTCTCGCCGGCCTTCGCTCGCTCCACAATCTCTCCGCGCAAGATAATGTCTAGAGTCCTAGGCATACTTCCCGTGGGAATCTCTCCGGAATTCTCCTGCACACGTACTTTTTGCCAATCGATAAATGTACTCTGCTTTATCTCCAATCTCCATCCACTACGGTTACCACAGGTGAGATTGGGGCACTGGGCAGGTTCCGTATATCTAAATGTTTGTTCAACATTGGGTATTACAGTACGGCAGGCTTCGCAGGTAAATGTAGCGAGAAGAAGCTCTGGACGGACCTCGGAGGTGCGAGTAACAGTTGCGGAGATGGAAGTGAGGGTTCCGATCTGCGCAGTGCGGAGTGAACGGATACGGGTTGTAAGAGGTAAATTGTGAAATCCAATTGAGAAAACTTTATCTGCAGCTGGGTCAATCTTTATAGGAGATTAGCTTGAAGTCTGTCGGGCGCCAAATGGTTGAGAGGCATCAATTGCTCTAAAACCTGAACTGCATAGTAAATCAAAAACTAACTCACCCCTTCGTTACCACCGACTCCTCTCCCAGCCTTTCCCCAGTATTCCGGCTCATGTCTTCTGATGCACGCCTCCAATCCTCTTCTCAAGAACGGCAGGAAACGATAATGTCTCTCAGTGATTGCCTCGGCAAAACCTCGCACGTTGGTCTTACTCCAATACTCCAAATGTGAATAGTCGACAAACAAAGTGCTCAGATCCATCGCTGCCATGTTGTGGATTGCCGCAATGTAGTACTTATCCGTACTCGGTGGTGCAGTCCCAGAAGGAGCTGACGATTGCGGGGGGAGTGGGTTCTCTGGGTCCTCGACAAAACTAATCTTGTCAGAGAGCTCTGATTAACTGTACAAGGATACCTACTTTTCGAGAAACCCAACGAATGCGTTCATGATCTGGTCTCCAGCCTCGTCTGATACCTTTGGCACAGCACTCAAGTCTGCTCGAGGACGACCTGCTCTCCCTGCAAGATCTCTTGATCCAACCACTTCATCTTCAGGATCGATGTCCATTCCGCCATCATCACTTGTAGGGCCCGGCGCACGAGAGGATGATCGTCCTGCATTGCCACTACGTCTAGGCGGTGGTCGGGGAGTTGCAGGATCCCCGGGGGTGGGGAGATCTGAGTAGAGAACGGAGTCTACTAGAGATGACATTGTGGAGATGGAGGATTTCAATTGAGCTCAGCGTGGTGGTGGTATATACTTTGGATATAAAAGATTGAGCAGAAAGTTTGGCGGTTGTGTTGGTGATAAGGAGGGGGTCTGAGCACTTGGAGGGGGGATAGCAGATTGAGTGGTATCTCGATTCAACAAAGAGACGCGACACGAGGAAACGCGAAATCAGCCAACCAATTAAGGGGGACCCATTTACTGCTCCATTAAGCCTAGTGTGTGTATCTTTGAACCCTAACCCTATACGATCACATATGGCCTGTGGTCAAGACCGCCTTGTCATGATCCATTTTTCCGACTTATCACACCTCATAATTAATTACCTCCCATCGCATCAAGTCCTATCATGATTGATGAACTTTGCCCCTAATATATGGATTCTTATATTCAAGATCAGATATAAGGAACATGCGGCTAGTTAGCAGAGTTTGTAGTGAAGTTAGGTCCAAGCCACTCTTCAAAGTTCTTCACATTAATCCCACTTTTGCAAGCTTGACAGAGTTCGGAGTTAGGAAAGTATCCCAAGTGCCGAGATTTGCCTATGTTTTCGAGGAGGTGATTATACATATCAAACATCCGCAAGATATAATAGATAGAATCTGTCAACAAAATCTGGTACCGAAGCATGGGAATCCCACGGTAGATTATCACACAATATGGAAACCATTTCAGACAGAAACCGAGAATCGGTGGTTCAGAAGTATACACGAAAGAAACTGTGCTATAGCCCTCACAGAATGTTTTTCTGCATTACCGCGGCTTATGGCCATCGAAATTTATCAGGAGCCAGTCAAACGCGGAAGATTTAGTGAAGGAGATTATCGGCCGAAAGCAGAAGCAACTTACAAACTCTGCGCAGTCATGATCGCTGCGAGCACTTTAAAGAACAAACTGGTTTCCCTTTCAACTAATACATCTTTCACTTTTAACCACCAGCGTTGGCTTCCATATTCGCAGAAGGTCCTCCGGGCCAGTGTCAGAGATGTTTTAGAGAACATCCGAACTCTGCATGTTCGGCCTGTGCAAGGGGGGGTGGATTTCAACGCTGATATCCTAAATATGGCAAAGAACCTAGTGCAGCTCCGTATTAGATTTACTCATATAATCAACCACAGACCCAGAGATGATCGACTGCTTTCACATCGGTTCGTTGATAAGTGCTTGGAACTTCTGGCCACACCTGAAGGAGTTGACCCTCGAGAATTTTGCCTTGAGAGATCATAAACCTCTTCTGGAATTTTTTTTAGAAAGGCACAAACCAACACCCCGAGTCTTCACTATGAGGAATTTTGAACATAATTGCCCATGTATTTCAGAATTCACGATGAGTAGGTCGTTAAAATTATGGAAAAATCTGATCAGAAAGGTGAAGGGTATATTGTCTAACTGTCAAATAAATATCATTACCCACCCATAGTATTATGGCTGTTCTGGGGGAGGTAACCAAAACGTGAAAATACGTGCACCGGCTGATGCCTGTATTTTACAAAAATGCGGTAATCACCACCAGATTATATCACGTGTCATGTGGCTATAATAACTTCCAAAACCGGTTGTTTAAATCGGCTTAGATAGCTGAGGAGTGATCGGTCTTCTAACTTGCATCATTCTTATTTCTTATCAAATACTTGAATTACAATTGCAACGAAAATCTGGGTAGTGGTTTAAGAGATACTGAATTACATGTAGCTACGTGTAGCTACTGCATAAGTATGTACATGTAGCTTACACACCTTTAAAGGATGCCTAAAGTTTCCTCCATGAATACTATAAGCAGGTATAATTACTGTGAAGTCTACAGTGCCCATAGAAGTCTATAGGTCCGGCAGAGGCATGGCTGTCGCTGTAGTACATACGTATACCTGAACTTCGGGGCCCGGTTTGTTTTGGCCCACCTCTCAAGATGGGCAGTTTTCACAGTCGGTCGGGCTTCAAAGAAAATAGACTGCCCAGTTATAAATATTGGTGAGAGTGCTACCGTTTTATGATACATGGTGCACTGTCGAGTGATAGTGAATGATTGATCTGCCGAGTGACGATGAATGACGCACCGAATCTATCGAATAATAGATCGTGATTAGCTTATAATTACTAAATTATGATTAATCGCGTATTATAAAGAGCCCGATGAATGACAATTCACTATCATGAATTTAATCTCCGGATATAGTTACTAACCTATTATCTGCCGGTTCATCTTTATTACCGGTGTCGGTACTATGTATGTACGTCAAAAAAAGAAACACGAGTCTCGCCCAACCTAGGGCTATAGAACCCTTCCACGGAAAAGGACTTGTCTTTTTTTTTTTTTTCATACCAGCCTCCATAAATTGAGCGGCTATATAGCTATGGTATATCGGGCCCCATTCCAGTGGGGCCTTTACAAGATTGTATAGGTACTACATAGTCATTCAAACTTGATCCTGGTAATACCCGCTGAATCGGATAAAGGCAGGAGCCCAAAATATCTATTAGCTACAGGAGTGCGGTGTAGAATATGATAACGATAGGTATCAAGATAGTACTGAAAGGGGTTGTGAGGGAAGTCTGGGATATCAAATAACCTACATGTAGGCACAGATCACTGGTCCAGGATAAGGAACATGACCCCAGGTTGTCTCAGATAACCCCTGACACAATCTAATCGGACCCGATAACAGTGCCAACACCGATTGGGTCGCTTAATCTTGAACCATGGCACCTCCCGACAACGGCGGCGGCATCCCAAGCTCGCTTTCCTCACCTACAGCGGTCAAATCCCTCCTCCTTGACGTCCTCAATGCCGATGACCCCCCACTAAAACGTAGATAAAGAGTCTCTTTTGCGGCACCCAAAATGTCGACTACCACAAATCTCCACCCTCCCCATTCCTCGTCCTCCCACATGCCTCCTGCGACCCCGACACCAGGCGCACAGACGTCGAGGCAGATGACATTATGGATTCATGATCCTGATGCAAACCCAACGCTATCGCGTCAAGATGCGATACTTAATTACGAGTTGTTTGCGCCTGGTATCGCGAAACCAGGGGATATTGCGGAAGTTAGGTTATTGCCAGGGAATAATGCTGGTGACGATGTTCCAACTGCGGGGGGGATCGGCGTGGCTGCGGAGAATATGGAGAGGAAAAGAAGCGTTTCTAATAATGGATGTGGTGAGGGGACGGAGAGAGGGTTTCCATTACAGCCGAAGAATGACCGAGGGGAGAAGAGGTTCTTGTTTGTGGTGAGAAAACTGACGGCGGAACAAAGGTCGAAGCCCAATATGCAGGTGTGTCAATGATTACCTAGTCAACTCCGGTAGGTTGTTGGGGTGGAATGCTTAATTTTATGGGCCACAGATCTCATTAGCAAATCATGTCGCAAATCTATTTGGTTTCCCATCTAGAGCTACGGTGATTGTCTCGATCGTGAGTTCCCTAATCCATTACTCGTCACTGGTAGTTAAAGAGCTAAAGATAAGAGTCAAAGGTCGAAAAAGAACATCATGAGGCCAGTCATATAGAAATTTATTTCCGAGACCAATATATCTCCCGCAGCGACATGTGGCGCATGTCCACTGCTCTCTTGACAGATACATGCCCCTACAACGCCCAAAAACTTCTTTTTATACAGTCCGTTCGCGGTACAGTGGGAAATATTTGGGTTCGCGGAGAAAAGGTTCAGTCAGCGTACTTCTCTCCACATACGGTCCCCATATTTCGCTCCGAGTCGGCGCACTATGTTCTCTTCGTGCAGATGTCACGCGAGATGTGGCATTTTGACACCGACGACGGTGGGGAAGGAGATCAAGGGCTAGACACGGGCGGTGCTGGTGTTGGTGTTGGAGGTGAAATCGTTTTCAACAAGCTTGTCAACGGTTTCCTCCCAGAGCTCTTTAAAAGGTGGAAACGCATCAATGCCCACCACCTCGTCTCGATAGTTCTGTTCACCCGAGTCGTCTATGAGCATGGTGAACCTGTAGGTATCCTCAACGGCGGGAAGGAATCCGAAGAATTTCTCGGGACCCCCGGTGGAATCGGAATAGGCGAAGGCCGCCGTTATCGAGATTTTTACCGCGTCGTAGTATCTTCAATGGCATCGGCAGACTGGACTATTATTCTTCATCGACTGAAACGTGAATTCACTGTATTCCTTAGGGATGTACTCGTTCAACCTGTTGAAGACGACGAACCAAGCCCAGATGCAAATAGCACACCCATACCTAGCAGTGCTATCTCTACCACAGTTTCCCGCCCTGGTACCCCGGCCGCGTTCCCTCCCCAGATTACAGAAATGCTTCGGCCTGCTTCCTCATCCACTAATTCCCAGCCTTCCCCGAAAATTCCGCCTCAAAAGGAAGCGCCAAAGCCGAAAGAAAGGAAAACAATCATCGCTGGTCGTCCTTCCGCAGCTATTCATGGTAATATTCTTGAGGCTATCAATCTTGCTACATTTCAGTTTAGTCAAGATTACGTTGACCGTGACCTTGTTCGTACGGGTATCAGTGTCGTAATTATCACTCCTGGAACCGGCCATTTCGAGGTCGATTATGACATGTTGAAAGCCACTACCGATGGCCTCATTATGAACGGCATGGGTGTGGACCTAGTCTGCCTTTCTAAGGTCCCACTCCACACTGTCCCCCTCTTCAAATACCGTAATCCATCACCCCGTCCCGCTCCAACTCCAAACGAATACCACGATGATAAACCTAAATTTCTTGGCGTCTCACCGCCAAAGGTTACAATCGGTTCCCAGAACTCGAGTATTCCTCCCCAACCTCCGATTCAACCTCAGCCTCCACAATTGGGGGAATGGGTTTTCGCCGTCCCTCATTGGATCGATATCTCATTTTGGTCCGCGGCCTCTGAGAAGAAGGTCAAGAAGAAAAACAACCTTACAGGGAAATTCGAAAAAAAGAAAGATACAGTCAAAGCCAAACCCAAGAGCCATGGTTTCAAACCTAGATGTAAGATGTACGAATTGCAGATGATGGGAGTTATGGAGACTGAGGTCTCTGAGATTTCCGTTCCGTTTATACATGAAAGTCCGTTCTGGCAACCTTGGCCGACGCCTATAAAATCACCAGATGTAGATGAGATCGGGCCCGGGACGTCAATAGCAGCTGGAAAGGGGAAGGCGAAGGTAGTATATTCTAAAGACGCTTTCAAATGGATGGATGACTACGACGAAGCTGTGTTTGCTCCGCTTCCTAAACTCAGGGAATTGGAAAAAGCTGCTCGTGAGCGTAAGCTTGGCAGCCGTGAAAGTGACGATAAAAAACTACGATTGAAGCTGGAAGAGGATCCGATGGTTCTTGGAACTAGTTTCCATGGTGAGGCGCAGCGTGGGCAGCTGGCTAGTCTTGCAGCATCTGGTTTCTTTGATAGGAAGATGAAAGCCGAAAGACAGCCGGCTGATCTCGATAGTCCTATTGAGGCTCGGGAGAACGATGTTATGCCACACCATACTGCACAACCACAGATGGCTACAATTGCGGAGGCTGCGCATGTGGGTCCAACTACTCTACAGGATATGACGGTTATACCACAACATCAACCACCGCAGCCACAGTCACAGCCGCAGCCGCAGCCAGGCTCTGGGGGTATCTTGGGCAAGCCAACGAGGTTGGTGAGGAACATTAGTTTTGGATTCAAGTGGGGTGCTGCAAAGGCGACTGCAAAGACGGGGCTTGTAGGAACAGAAACTGCTGCTGGAACGGGGCTGTTTAGTAACCCGGGAAGTGGTGTTATGGTCACTAGAGGATTTGATACTGGCGAGAATAGTATCCTGGCTCCGCCGAAGAGCCCGTTGAGCCCTAGGATGAGCGATCACGGGAGTAGTGCAGGAGCGCCGAGTCCGGAAAAACTGGGTTGGGGGAGTAGACCAATTTCTATCAAGAATAACGCAATCAGCTCGCTGGAGGCCGCTAGCAGGGAACGGGAGCGGCGAAGATCCTTCGCTGGGAGTCCACTTGAAGGCCGTGGGGGTGGAGGTGGGAATATGGATATCTTGAAGGCTGCAGGTATGCAGAGGCGGGACCGTCCAGCTATTGACATCGCCGCGAACCAAGATAAAATGGCTGTTATTCCAACTGTCTCTCCTACGAGCGCTCTCGCGCCATGGGTCCAGGTGCTTAACCCGAGTAATCCAAAAAAGAACCCTCCCAGCGTCGTGAACCAGTTCCGTCGCTGGCACCATGTGTTTCCCAAACCGCTAAAGATCTCGACTGTCAAATGGAAGAGTCTCTGCTCTCCAGCTGCTCTTCCACTCACAACCGAACACTTCCCAACCGCTGAGCAACTTCGCGACGAATACCAGGAGAATCCGTACGTCATTTGTCAGAACGAGATTGATGAGCCCGAAGACTCTGTGGGAAACAACCGTGAGGAGCTTGTTCGGGCAATGATTGGGCAGCGTCTCGCACAAGGTTTCCAGATAGTTGTTGGGTCCAGTGTAAAGGCAGCAACTGGCGGTGGCGGTGATACAAATATCTATGAGCCCTATTATATGGTTAAGGCTGGAAGCTCGTGTTTCATGAGTCTGGGAAGTCAAATCCATCAGCTCATCTGCGATGAGGAGTACAATGTTGAGGTGAAGCGCTATGTCAGGAAGCCAATGGCGGCAATTCCAGGTTCAGGTTTAGTTGGTGCTGGGGCCAGCAATGAGTATATTAGCTACATGAAAACCATCATGAGCGATAAGTATCTGCCTGTCAAAGCGTCCTTCAAGTTGCCCATCACCGAGTATAATTGGAACTACGTCGACCAGTATATCGGGGGTTACGAAGATTCACTCACAGAGCAATTGCGCTACTGGAGGGCCAGGTTTGTTCTTATCCCGAATGATCCACCAGAGTCTGCGCGCAAGAGTGGGATGTTCAACCGCCCTGGCCGACATGACCAGCAGGGTCAGCTTGAACATATCACTGAGTTAAATGATGAGGAAATCCGTCTAGAGGGTATCAAGAAGTTGACTCAATTGTTCCAACGCAACCGTTATATCCCGCCAGAGGAGCGCCAGTATTCCAGTAAATCCAAAGGAAAGGAAAAGGACCCCCTGCAGATTCTATATAAAACTTTCGATCCTAGCGTTGTCGTAGCGCAAGAGCTTGAAAGTCTCCCTCCGGCAGAAAATAATAACATGCGCCGTAGCCAACTGCTATCCACTGAACTGTTCGACAAGAGGTCTCTCGATATTGTAGGAGTTGCGCAGGAGCTCCAAGGTCCCCGTGGTGTTCGCTTGGAGAATCGCCGTTGGCATCTTAGGTATCACACAAACTGTTTTGTGGGCGACGAGATGGTGACCTGGATCCTCGAGAATTTCAAAGAAGTTTGCACCCGCGCAGAGGCAGAGGATATCGGGGCAAAGCTCTTTAAGGCAGGACTTTTCCAGCACGTCGATAAGCGCCATGAGTTTAGGGACGGTAATTACTTTTACCGTATTGCGGAACAGTTTGTGGTCCATCAGCCTAGGCCCACATCAAAAGGGACCGGGTGGTTCGGGGGGTTCAACACCAAATCTGTCCCAGCGACTCCGTCAAGTGTAAAGGATGAAAGTATCAGCCCGTTAAGAAGCAGAAGTAGCACAATGATGACTGACGATAGCTCTGAGGGATCTTGTGCATCTGGGTTTCGCACGCCTACTCCAGTCCCGAAGAAGAAGGCAGAGGTTGAGTTGAGTAAAGTGATGAAATATGATGTAGATCCGGGGAAAAAGAGTTACCGCAAGGAAATCATCAACCTTCACTACGACCGCCTTCACAACCCGGACAATTGCTACCACATTCGAATCGATTGGATGAATACCACATCTAAGTTGATTGAAGACTCGTTGACTTCATGGGCTCGTACAATCGATCGATATGGATTGAAACTTGTTGAAGCGCCCATTGACGAGGTCTCAACTATTCCGATCAGAAATCCGTTCAGAAGCCCCTATATCATCAAATTCAGTTCTCCTCCTCCACAAGCGCCGCCGTCGCCTCAGCATCCGCCAGCATTCACCCAGCCATCCTCGCCAACAGTTGAAAATATGGAGATGTCAACGATCCTTACCCCACTCCCGCCACCACCACATCCACCCGCAAATAACGATCCCCATTTTTATCATAAAGCTGCCCTGAAGAAATTTGGGTTTGTCCTTGACATCGAAAGCGCACGAAACTTCCCTGCCGATGTCAAGGTCAAATACTCTTGGGGTGTTCCCAACTACCGCTGGAGCCAATACATCCACAAGACTGGCTCCCTCTTCGTCCAAGTCAATGACGAAGGTCACTTTCTCATGATGGCTAATAGGAGCTACTCAACCCGTGTCAACCGTATAACTCCTCCATCGGGTCCACCACCTCCACCCGAGATTACACCGGAAGCTCTCGTGGCCGACTTTGAGAGTTTCTGTAACGAACCCGAGACGTTGAAGAAATTTTTCAAGAGCGTGGTGATTAGTAGTAAGAACGTCATCACGTATGATGATGCCAGCCTTGGGGCCATAAGTGCTAGTATGAGCAGTAGCCGTGTCCTCTCATCCCCATTTCCGAGAATTGAGCCGCCGGTTTTCCCGGCACAGCTGGCGAGTCCGGTATTAGGGCCACTAGGTGCGGGAAGTCCAACTACCGGCGCGAGTACTGTGCATGGGGTCGGGAGATCAAGTATGGGCCTACAGAGTGGATTGCAGAGTGGTAGGAGTAGTATTGCGGACGTTCCAGAAGATTTTCATCTTTCGTTGAGGTATACTTGATACTGGAGGTATTTTTCTTTTTTATTTATTTCAGTTTATTTTTTTTATTTTCCAAAAGTCAAGGGGAGGGTTCTGTTTTTATTCTACCTTCAGCATGTTGACGTTCAAAAGTTAATGGTTAAAGTACTCTATAAGTATTTAGATGGTATGAGCACCGTCCTGTTGTTTTTGTTGTCTTGGAGCTAGGGCGCGTTTATGTTTTTGTTTACGGGGCAATGGGTATATCTTTTTGAATTCGGGGGGTAATTATTTCTCTCAGTGTGTAATGTATCCTTATTATTATAATTCATTCTATTAAGTTCTGAGGTTTGTTCATCGAGTGATACCTTATGATTAACTTCGTTACTCGATGCCATGGCCATACGTATACCCTCCCATCCCAAACAGCCATCCAGTACCTATATATCCTTGTATTAATCTTTTAGATCTTAACCGTGAAGTGTGCCATTTCGTACTATGTGTTATTGTATATACATCGCGTCTACCGACAACTGTGCTATTTTAGACCCTTTCCGCTATATATGTATATATATTGGTTGACTTAATTGCTCAGTTACATTATATAATTCTTATCTTTGTGGCATGATCGTGATCGTAATTCGTAGGTAATTTGCGAACGAAAGTCATTTTATAATTATCCCTAAGCGCCATGGCGCCAAGAACGAGTGCTACCACATGATTGACCAACTCCAACCCACACGGGGAGGGACGATACTACAAATTCCGATTTAATCTTGGTTGTGAAACGAATTTTAATGTCAAAGAAATATGCTCAAACTCTCTCGTAATAGCAATAGGGACGGTGCGTGGGGGCTGGTTAGACTAGAGTTAGCTGACTAGAGCTGCGCTGCCGATCGGATCTTTGAAACAACAGCTATTTAATTAAGCTCCCAGGTATGATAAAGCAGCACCCGTACGTGTATATGTATTTGTCTGCGAATAATTTCTATACGAGCTGACAAGATAAGGATTGCAGTGTAGTGTCTTGTTGTGTTCCTAGCTCCTGAGATACCTACCTCTAGGCGCAAATTAGTCATTTCTGGCCTCGCCATATATATTACATATACCGGATGGCTCTATATACACCACCCTCCGTTTATGCCTTTATATCTCTCCCTCCCCTCAGTTTCTCATCGATATAATGTACCGGGTGCATAGCTGAATTTGAAACTCTTAGTGATGGTTATTCTTATCATCAGAGCAGGTCATGCGCACGCATCTTTGCCACTAGAAGGGACCGAAGAAAAGGATGGGTGTAACTTACAAATCAGTATACATGTGATTTTTAGATCTCCCTTACACGTGAGTATGGGGGCATATACATGTACTTCTTAAATGTACTTGTATATCCTTTGCCACAAATGCATCGGGTCTAAGATTTCTCTGATTCAGACTTAGGTGTTCGAAGGCAACCTTGTGCCACCGTTCGCTAGATTTAGTATGTAGTCACGCTACGTTGGGGAGTGAGTACATGTAGCTTTGCCAATGATCGACGGGACCGTTCAAAGTAACGGGTGCTGTAGCCTTGAAGTGTGTTACATGAGGCAAGGTGTCACCATGTTTATGGCTTAGCGTATAGTGGATGTACTAAGTGACGTGAAAACACGGCTGATAGGCCAAGAGCTAGCTTCCCCTGGTCCACCGCTATTCACCCTCTATGCATGTTCTAATTAGACTTGTTCCAGTTATCATCATCATCATCATCATTATATATAGCAGTACCTTCCTCGAGCGAGTGAGTGTATGTGCAGCAGGTAATGAGGTGACATCCGCCCCATCTATCACTATTACAGTGCAGGAGATGCTGATTCTCGCTAAAAGGTTGGCTACATAAGCACAGGCACAATACAGTTGCAGCACATCCCGAAGTGCACATATACATACCTGACTGGCAATTCTTCACTTCAACAATTTATATACCCAATAAAGCTCCAGGGTAACGGCGTATATCATTACCCGGGTTTCGGAAGTTCGTTTGTGGAACACATGAATAACTTGTCTTCTGACCAACCAAGAAACTCAGCTACTATAGGTTGAGCTAAGAATTACTCATACAGGGAGAGACAGAACTTATAGGGGTTGTCTCCGTGAAGGTGGATGATTGTTGATTACTATTGGACTGATGTAATTCCAGTTAGGTGTTCAATTCAGGGGAAATGCAATAGAGTTGGAGTCGACCCAATTAATTGTTATCAATACTCCGGCTAGAAACCTGGGTTTCCTAATTACTGGACGCAGATTGAGGAATATGTAGAGTAGGTGCAGTGCATTCTAAAACAGGGTAACTGCATGGTTTTCCTGGCCGCCGGTCAGATTCGAGAATCTTAACTAACCACTCATCCACAAACCTAGTTATTGAGTTACTATGCGTACAAAACAACCAGTGGCTGAAGCCAATATCAAGAGAGCAATGATGCTCCAGAGACACGTATAACCATCATATCATATAGCACAGAAATACACGGAGAAGCTGAACATTTAGCGAATATTGCCTCCAACAAATAGACAGCTCGGTTCTTTTTCCCCAAATATCAATGCGGGGTTCTCCTGGGGACGACATTAAAGAAATGAGGGGGGCGTAGTACGGCATTGTCTCCGCCGAACAAAATAAAGCAACTCTTTCAGATAAGTAAAAATAAAATAAAAAGAGAGGGAGGGATAACTAATAATTCCGTTTAAAAAAGCGCCTCCGTGTGATATATTACGTTTTTTTGACGAATTCTAAAAGCCAAGTGATCACAGACAAGCCTCGCGAATGATCGACCAGCGAAACACGAATTCTCAAAACATGCTATGAACAAGTATGCAAAATAAAAAGCGATATGTAGTTTCAGAAATTCTTGTGTGCTGCTATGGAGAGGAATATTTTTTCTCCGCTCATATCACACAAACAAAAAAAATATTACGACGACGTCACTTCTCTAAGAATTCGCACCGCACCGCAACACCCTTACATATGTACCGGGTGTTGAGGGTAAGTGATCAGAATCTGATAAGTGAATGCTGCGGTGAATACGTGTATTTGTCTTATCAGATTCTGATCACTTTTCGCTACACCCTAGTACAAACGGCTTTTTTTCGCGCATGGCATTCCCCGCATTCCGAGATGTGATAATTGTCCGCATTAACAGCCAGATGCCGGCAGTTAATTCGAACCAGACCAGCTTTGCTGAGGGGGGGGGTAAGAAGAATAAGCAAAGAAAATGGAAGACCGAGCCACTCACTGCAACGACCTAACTACGCTATGCTGATGGGGAAATGGATTGAATAAAGGGAAAAAGAAAGCAAGTAGACAACAACAAGACAAAAGCAATTCCCCGCCAAAAAATGAACAAAACAAAAACGATCGAGATCTCGCATTGCTACCCTCATCGGCTTTCTGATCAAAAGTAAATATGAAATTTACAAAAGTAACATCGTGAGTTTTCTTCCAAAGCATCAAATTGTGCCACATATCCCCCAGCCGAAACTCATTCCATTGCGGATGAGCGTTAACGCGATTTCCAGTATTAAATAGGATGCGGGAGATCGATCATGACTTGTTTAATTTCCCCCCTCTTTAAGAAACAGTATTTTTCTTTCTTTTCGCCTCTGGTCATCCCCCCTCGTGGTCATAGGATTGGATTGTTAAACTCCCATGGGACATCGTCAGTAGGGAATTCGGTTACAGTTTTTTCGTGCGGGTCAAATCATGCGGTGGATGACAGATGTTGCTCCAATTGTCCCGAGCAATGTGCTCTACACGTTCGTCTCAACTGTTTTTTCTTTGGAGGTGAGACGTTTCGTAAAGAACCCCTGGCGAAGCACGAGTGATGTTCTGTGATCATCCAACTACCGAGCACACAGCTAACAAATATTATTCTAGATAAAAAGAAGAAAGTTAAATATATCGTGGATAACCGAATCTTTTTCTTTCTTTTTTTGTTTCGATCAGCTTGACGAACAGAAGATAGCAGCCATTGTGAAAGATCCAATTGGATCGTCGTACGTCCATCGTCGTTGTCGCTTCATGCTCGGAAGTACCCTGGTTTTTTTCCGTTGAGGAGCTCCGTCGAGAGATCAAGAAGAACCCTCACCGAACCGAAATCGCAATCGAATCGAAGAAAGCAAACTCGCGATCGGTTTCAGGCCTTGAAAAGAAAGAAATAAAGTTCCTCCGTAAGGAAAAAGGAAAAGAAAAACGCAGCTTGTCAGATTATCAGCATCACCATCTTCTGCAGGTTTCGTTGAGAATCTATGCAAAGATACCTACATAACCAGTTGACCAGTCACCGGGAAAAGATACAACCGCACACCGCACTTTATGCAGCTCAGATCTACTCCACATAGTAGATATCGAACTCTGCATAGACTTTTGTTTGAAGCTACGCATGCCCATAGAGCAAATATCCTACATACACACCTCGGAGATATGCAAACACGCAGTACCTAAGATCCTGGAGTTGGAATACATTACCTATATGGCAGTAGGCGCCGATCCTGCCGCAGATCTACCCGTTAGTCCGTTTCGCTACTATACTATCATTGACACAGAATTCAAACTACAGCAGTGGAAAGTCCACGAGGGAATGCCGGTCTCCCCGAAAAATACACAGTAGGGTTTCAACCACAGTAATCTTATCGGCAAGTCGGAAGTGGACACTTGTACTCTACACCACACGGTGACGATTCATTCACAATTCTGAATTAACTGATCGGTTTCAAAGTTCGGTGATAAGGCCATTGTACTCCTACTGACTGATAGCATTCATATGACGTCTAGTGGTGTATACCTGCCTGTCCTCCATTGGATGAGCAGAGCGCGGGGAGATGTTGGCAGCCGAACGTGCTGTTTCACTTGATATGAGTAATCAACTCTTTTACTGATGATAGGTACCATGGGGGCACATACAATTCAACCTACTCTACCCTCAAGGCAGAAATACCCTGGGAGACTGCAGCCGGTCTGTAAACAAATATTAGAAGCAGAACCATACCTGTGATGAGAAAACACGAGATGGATCGAGTGACACTCTATGATCAGGATAGTCAAAGCTGAAACGAATGTCTTCCAAATAAGACTGTTTTACTATGTACCTACATGCGTAGAAATATTATAACTTCAATTGGGAGAATTAAAAGGATATTAACCGGCCCTTCAATCATTGTTGACACCTATAAGTGCCTCTGATATAGCAATAAAGCAAGATCGAATCTCCGGAACCAGTGCGGTACCTGCCTAGATTGAGCGGGATATCTAGATTCACGAACCCCCGTCCAGCGCTCATTGCGCTCTCTCTCTCTCACGCTCGCTCGCTCGCCGCGCACGCTCCGTTTTCAGATACCTCTTTCTAATCCACCCCATCCTCTCTCTTCTCTTCCTTGCATCTTGCTTGCATACAGATCTCGGTAAGCAGCGGGTACTTCTTCCATTACATATGCCTAGTATGCCATCCTTTGCTCTTTTCGCACCCCCGCCCCGTCCGTGCGAAAAAAAGGGGGCGCTAGCTATGACATCTTCAAAACACCACACGGTCCAAAAGAAATCTCACGAGAGTTGACGTCGGTGGGTCGGCTGTTGGGGCACGTGGGTGTTGTGACTGGGTGCAGGCTCCTGCTCCTTTCTTTTGAGGAGCTCCCTCCTGCGTATGGTAGGGTAGGTAGGGTAGGTAGAGTAGGTAGGGTAAGTAGAGTACGTAGGGAGGTACCTAGATGGGTGGGTACTAGATATGTTCGTTGGCAGATGGAGAATGGAGCTTTAGGCGTTAGGTAGGCGTTAGGTAGGCATTAGGCTGTCCGGAGGGGCAGACGTAGACTGTAGACGTAGACTTGTTCATCACATGTCCCTCTCATTCTCACCGGTGGAATAGCTAGCTAGCTAGCTACGTATTGTATAGTCCTCGGTGCTACGTATTTACAGAGGTTCTACAAGGCTTTCTCTCGGGGTATGGAGAGTAGAGTAGAGTAGCTTTGCCTTAGACGAAGGCTTAACTAACCTGACCCTGACATGACGACCCTGGACATCTGGGGCCCCACCTTATTTGTTAACTCGCTTTCGACGTACTCGCTTTCTCCTACATTCTGCCTAACTCTTGATCCGGGCTTGGCTACATCTAGTCTGGGGAGAAACGCGGAGTGCCAGTGCCAGTGCCAGTTCCAGGTCTGGTTCATTGCTCATGCTCATGCTCAGCTGGATCCATTCGGGTGAAGACGCCGGTGGAATTTAATCTCGTTTTTATTTATTTGAATTTACTTACTCCCTTCCAACCGCCGCTTCCCCCGTCAGTAATATATTTTTGGCGGAGAGTAGGAGAGAAGGTGCGGTTGGTTAGGTAATCGTGCCGGGGAGGAGAGGGAGGGGAGGGGGGTATTGCGCAATTCGCGGTCGACGCGAGCGGTCGTGGTCGTGGTCGTGGTCGTGGTCGTTTCAATTGATTTGGGTTTTTGATGTGCCGGTCAGGTAGAGTCGGTGGTGGGGAAGGGAGAGCGGTGAGGGTTTAGAGTAGGAGTAGGGTTTGATATTTACAGTTACATACATATAGTTGTAGAAGAATAGATCTCCGGTAGATTAGTTGATTTGATTCGACCGTGCAGGTTGATTGATCCAATGTCTGAAGCGCGCGCACCGGCACGGTATGTACCTCTCTCTCTGCAGTTGCAGCAGGAAAAAAATAAAGGTTAAAAAAAAAACCGTTGATTTAGCCTCACTTCTTGCTCATCCTCATCTCGAGTATCAACCGCATCTGCCATCTACATCTACGGTGGCTGCAATGCGTACGCATCGCAATTGGAATTAATTGATTATTTTCTTAATTGCGTTTCTATGTACTCGTTTCGCGAAGTCTAGACTCTGGCTTTTGGCTGGTAAAAGTAAAAGGTAAAAGTAAAAACATCAGGGTCCAGCCATCCACCAGCCAGCTAGCCGGTCCGAGCTAGCTGCATGCAGGGCAGGGCAGACAGGGCACCGGCGGAAAAAGAAGTGACAGGCATGGCATCGCGAAGCGCAAAGACTTACTGGAGTCGGCGAGATGAGGGGCGGCGGGGGCGAAACGAAACGGGAGGGGCGAGTGGAGAAAGGGACCAGATCTGATCTGGGCTGGGCTGGGAAAAGGAAAAATGGGACTATATTATGGTACTCTATGGGGATAGAATAGGTATGGAAGGGGGTGATAGAAAGAGGGATTCCGAGGGAAGAGGAAAAGAAAAAAAAGGTGTCGGGAGTGTCATTGATAGGGACGGCATTGGTACTTGATTGATACTGATAGCAAGTGATAGGTGGTGACAGAGATGGGCCCGGTCACGGGTTATGTAAATGTTACTTACTCGATGATAATGATACTTTGGCATCTTATCTCGTGGGATATCAATCTCTCCTCTCTACCAAGTAACTACATCTAGTCAATCAGTCCGCCAGTCAGCCATGTCAATCAGTCAGTCTCCAATCCTACCCATATCACCACCAGAAACAGCAACAATAACCCTCCTCCACACTGTCAGATTCAAAACCCAACCCAAGCCACACAGGGTGTCTCGAACACAACGGCTTTTCCGCGGTCTGCTTTTACGAATTGATATGTATCTTCCCCGGTTTTCTGAAGGATGGGGGGGGCAAAAGCAATTCCCCCACGGCCACGAGCACCACGCGCGAGCCCCAAGCCAAGAAGTAGAGTATATGAAGGACGGGGGGATGCGGCTGTGGGATTCACAGAAGTGAGATCGGAGATCGGGACACAGGTACGTACTCGTACTCTCACTCAGCTGGAGATGATGTCTTGTACCCCCATGGAGTAGAAGACATAGACAGAGCTCTACCTACCTGATCTAAGATGAATTTTATCGCGCCTGTAGCGTTGCGTCGACGCCTCACCTTGCGTTGCGGGGGGTCGACGGTCGATCTGGGGGGCTGACTGACTAGGGTGCGGTGGGATCTCTTGTCAGTGCTTTGTCCATGTCGTCTACTTCTTGACATATGCGGCTGCCTGAGATGTGCTCCTCTACTTTTCGCTTTTCTGCTCTACTCTACAGGAAGTTCTGCAGCAGAGCCGCAGTGAGGGGAAGTAGGTATGGGCCCTCATGTATCGTATTGTGTTTATCCTTTCTGGGTTCTAGGTTCTTGTTCTTGCTTCTGCTTCTGGGGTTCAATTGAGAGGCAAGACGCAAGCCGTAGAGGCAAGAATAGAGGCAAGTAGAGGAAAAGAAGAAAAAAAGTGCTGCTCTGCAATTGAGCTCTGAACTGAACGCACTGACTTTCTTCTCGCTCTACCTACTCTATTCGATATTCTAAAATGACATAGCTAGAGGCAGTCAGTCGTGTGCACTACTTCCTTCCTAAGAAGTCTACTCCATGTACAGACTTCAGTCCAATTCAAACTCTCTTACAAAAAAGAAAAATTTTCTCCTCTGCTACCGTATTTTAATTCTACGCGGGGGCATGCGGGCCCCACACCGGCCAATTTACAGGGGTGGAAGAGACAGAGGGTGGTTGCGGCGGCATCGTGAAATTTTTTTTTGTGTATTTTCCAGCGGGTAGGTTAGTTTTAATTTTGGTTAGTGGGAGAAAGGGTGGAGTTGCTTGATTCGGGAGGAGGGGGGCGGACGTGATGGTAGGTGCGGTGAGGTGGGAGGTTCGTGGTCTGGAGAATTGGAATTGGAGGGGGTGTGAGTGGTAGATGGGTTGGAACTTGGGGTTAGGTTAGTGAAGGCGGACTTCACGATGTTTCTGGCCGGTGGTGGAGGTGCGGGTGGTGGTGGAGAAGAGAAGAGAGGAGATGATGCGAGATCGCTGAGCTTACCCCCCGGATATAGCTTTTCATGTATGTACGCCCACTCTGCTTTAGAGGAGATGCAGTATCGACCTTGATTCAACCCAAACCCCGCTGTGCTGCTGGTGGTGGTTTTTTTTTGCGGTATCATATTTTGCGTTGCGGAACACACTTTATTTTCTTACCATTCTCTCCGGCCATACTTTACTGGTTCGCCGGCCGTCACCCTAGGTGCTCTAGCAGTGTTTTCAAAACTCCGCTGCAGGGGGGTAGGGTAATCGATCACTCTAAACCGACATAGGCGGGGAGATACGGAGCCAGGGTTTTGGAGTGGTGGTGGTTGTGGTGGGTGATATATCATATTTTTTTGACCCGTTTCAACCTTTCTGGACGAAACAATCGGGGGTCCTGGTTGGTTTGTGCGGTTTGGTTTGGATGGGATTCGTATGTATGGACGGTTGGTTTTGTATGTATGTAGGTTTTTTATGTTAGAGAGAGATACATATGGGGCCGCACACCTTGCTTGACGTTCTGCGGTACGATGCGATCTCATCGATCAGGACGACGGGCAGCTAGCTACATTACATTACTTGCAGGACAGATAGATAGAGGAGGAGGAGGAGGAGGAGAAGGAGGAAGGAGCGGAGAGTATGTAGGTAGGAAGATCTAGAGGGAAGGAAGAAAGAGAGCGGCTGTCGCCCCGTTCCGTGATACGCAATCAGACAGATTGAGTGAGTGAGTGAGAGCGTGTGAGTGTGCAAACATACCGCAACAGAAACAAATTCACAACCATTTCTCACTCACTCTCACACACTCTCACTCGTACCTCCCTCGTACCGTACCCGCGCGCGCCGGCCCCCAGCTCCCTTCCCCCTTCGTCTAGAATTCTCGTCTCCCAACAAAAAAGTATTCCCATATCAAAGCCCCCAAAACCCAAATCTCCCTAATCTTAACAACCGCAACCCGCAACCGCAGCGCCCCTTCATTCCTTGTTTTGGCTGATGTGCTTGCCTGCTCTGGTCTGGTCTGGTCTGCTCTGGTCTGCGAGGGCTGGTCTGTGCATAATTAAACAAGCGTGCAAGCCGAACAGAGACTGCAGGATGGAGTTCGAATTAAACAAGCTGAGTTAACAGAGAAGCAGGCGCTTCACCGCCAGTTACTGCATGTAGAGAGAGATACATATCTACTTTAGAGATACTTTGGAGATCCTGAAGAGAGAGGGTTTGCGACGGCTTCTACCGGCTGTTCGGGTCTGGTGTCCTTACAACCGTCCGTAGTCGTCGGTTTTCCATCCATCTTCCAGAGCGCGGTGCAAGTATGGAAGACCAAGACAGTAATTCAAGCAGCCCCTAGAGTGAGTGAGAATCCATAGTGAGAGTAGAGTGAGTGCCAACCCTGCCATTCGATACTCGCCCACCCACACACCCAGACATCCACATCCTCACCCACAGTACCACACCCACCCAAATCCACATCCACAGCCATCTACTTATCCAACCACACACACCCATCACTCTGGCAATCCCTCCCCGTACATACACCCACATACACCTACCTACACACCCACATACACCACCCACACACAGTCAGTCAATCAGTCAATCAAGCAGTCAATACATATCACATACCCTACCCACCATCACCCCCAGACAAAGACAGTCTACACTAGACCAAGTAGGTAGTCGGTCAGTCAAGAAGACGCTCGTAAATTCCCCCGTTCTCGCTTTCTCTGTCTTTCTTATTCAGCCATCCATCCATCCATCCATCCACCAACCAACCAAACTCACAACCTTTAATAATAAGCCCAGTGACTGGCCCAACGTCTGGCTTTGTCGGTCTATCAGTCTGTCGGTCGGTCTGTGAAGGAAAGTAAGGTAGTTGTGCTCGCTCTAGAAGAGTTTAAACACCACCACCACACACACCATACATACCACACACACCGTCCATTCACAGGCAACTCACTCCGTCATATATCCAACTTATCGAAACCACCACACACCACCACGTTCACAACTTATTCGCTTCCCTTTCGGCATCCACACCCCCCTACACCTACACTCCACTACATTCTACATACTACATACAGATTATACTGGGCACTCACTCGACATCCACAGCCACCCCTACCCTACTCCTAACGTCCAGACCTCAACCTACACAGGATTGCAACTTAAACTAACGGCGGGCCAACTATATCTCACCCTCGCCCCCAATAGCCAAACCAAACCCCCAATCGCACCGTGGAAAACGAACAACACATACATCATCATTTATCACACGCTCCTGTCTAACTCTTTCCATATTAACAAAGAGTTAGCTAACCGCCCCCTACCCCTTCTTCCACCGGAGATATCATTATTGTTCATATATATATTCTATAACTATACTACATTACTATATACAAATAAACCCAGTCGGCATCATGGCTGTTGTACGGCGCTATTGAATTCGTGCCCCTACAATAACATCCCCCTTCTATCTTATCTTCTTATTCTCTCCCTTCCCACACCTACATTAGCTTGCATTTTTAAATCTTGGAACATCAGTATATATATAGTGTATTATACATACATATATATATATACCTGCGAACCACCCGACTTGTTCGCACACCGACAGACACACACTCACTCACACACACAGGACCGCCGCAATGCTCGGCCGTCTCTTCTCAACCGCTAACTCTACTACAACCTCCCCCGGCGGTACCCGTCCCTCTACCGCTGCCCTCCCCGACACAGAAGAACTCCACACCCGCGCCCTCCTCTACCCGGACCTGCTCACGCCATCCTCCTCCTTCACATCCTGCCTCAGCCTCTCTCACACACATTCGCACACCTCCAGCACACACGCAGAACCCCCAACAATCGACCTCGACGCCGCCCGCGACGTGCGCGTCATCATCGCGCAGGACGCCACGGCCTCGGAACACAAATGTGCGCTCTACGACTCCAAGCCGTCATCAGATCCGCCCAGCTACAGCGCCGCCACCGACGACACCGGCCCGCTATCGCCCGGATTAGGCGCATCGCAGTACAACCGCTCGCGGCGGCGCCCGCCGTCCGCGCAGTACTACAGCAATGCGACATGCCTGAGCTCCTCCGGCGGCGACAGAGGCGCTGGTGGTGCGGGTATGGGCAGTGGCGGGGTGGAGGACGAGATGAGGGTGCTGACGGACTGCATGTTTGGGTCGGCGCCGCTGGCATATAAGGGACCCTCGACGAAGGTGCATATTCTGCCGGACAATGTGGAGGAGAAGAAGGCGCCGCGGAGGGGCTCGAGGGCGCCGTCGTTTAGTACGGCGTATGCCGCGCAGCAGCAGGATGTGGCGGCGGCGTCACAGCAGCATCATACACAGAGCCAGCAGAAGGAGAAGCGGAAGTCGGTGCTCATCACGAGGCTGTTTTCGGTGGTGATCCCGCCAACTCCGCCGATGACGGCGTATACGACCGCGGTGTTGAGGGATCATACGCCGACGCCCGCGAGCTCGTTGGGGTCTAGTCATGGGTTTCCGTTTCCGAAGATGACGGCGAATGGAGGAGCTGTGCCAACGACGCCAGGCGGTGCCGGAGGTGCGGGCGTAAAGTTCGTGAAGCCGCCAAAAACGTCAATGTATGCCGTCGGCGTGATCATTTCCCTCCCGCAGCCACCGCCACCACCAGCAGCGGCACAGCCATATTCATGCGGGTCCGCAGGGTCGTCCATGCACCGGTGCTGCTGCCAGTCACTGCCGTTCGGCGCATTCGACGGCGGCGAGTTCTGCTGTAACACGCCACCCTCGTTTGAGGAGGACTACCAGCCACCGTCTATGGCCGACCGAAGCGGCGGGTTTGCAGACGACTTCTTGCTGCCGCCGTCGGGCGCTGACGACCGAATGGACCTGGTGACTAAGCACTGGGACGTCATCAATCGGGCGTTATCGGATCTGCAGCGCGTCGCGCAAGTGCGGATCTTGGAGCATCTGAACCACCAGGGCGGCGCCGGCGGGACGCCCACCGCATCATGCCAGAACGGATACAAGTACCGCAAGAAGGCCGAGCTACGCCAAGGCACGCTGATGCGGGACGAGGTAGTGCGCAGGGAGGTGGAGCGGCTGCGGTGGCGGATCGTTGCCGGAATCAGGACGCCGCGGGTTATCACAGGCCAGGGAAAGTGGGCCGTGTGGAAGGACGAGGCAAAGTGGGCCAATGCCCGGTTTGGGGGGAGAGACATGAACTTGTCAGTTGCCATCCCGTGGTTGACCGCTGCTCAGGATGCTAACAAGAGGTCTTGCAAAAACAGCTTTTTCCTCACGCTGCTGACGGCCTTTCTGGGACACCATACCGAGTGGCTGGATGTGCTGGGCCCGGCGCAGTATCGGCTGCGGCACCAGCAGCAGCAGAAGGCCACGGCTAGCAGCGACGAGTGCGGAATCCCTACAAGGACTGTGCTTCTCGCCGCGGATAAGATGGCCGCGAGACGGCTGATCTATCTGCTGTCGGCGTTCCTGCCGTCAAAGTCATTGCCGCAATGGGGTGAGGGCCTGGTCCCGCCACCGTCAAGGACAGACTCGATGAATTATCTCTCGCAGTCCCCCCCGGTCTCTTCCTCCGGTGCAGGAAAGAAGAGCTCCCTCCGAAAGAAGGCCAAAAAGAAGCCTAGCAAGCTCAGCATGGTCACTGGTGAAGCGGATGAGCCCCTCCAGTCTGCTGTGGTTGGCTGGGACATCCCGGCACCACATGGAACTGAGCTGCCCCCGGCACCGGCGCAGCTGCCACTCGCACATCCTTCCGCTGCCAGCGCCACGCTCAAGAAGCCGCTGCTGCCCACGGCCACCGTCATCCCCACCAATGCGCCGGCATCAAGCCCGCAGAAGATGCTCGCCCGGCCCGGGAGCAGCAGCAGCGTCGCCAGCATGAACCTCATGAACACGCTCAAGCGCACCGGCACGGCCAACACCAGCGCCGACTCGTCCGGCAGCTTCCTCAGCTTCCTGTCCTTCTGGAGCAACGCACGCACGGGGTCCACGGCACCGAGCGAGACAAGTACGCAGCCGGACGAGCAGCAGCCCTGCCATCACAACGCGGCAATCAAGATCTGCGGCAGCGGCAGCGATGACTTCCCCCGCAGCGGCCTCTATCTCGACGACGAGGACCTCGCCCACCACAACCACCACCACCACAAGCACGTCCACCACATCCCGCCGCCGCCACTCCACGCATACGGCCTCGTCGAGAACGAGGTCCGCATCTCCGTCGACGAGAGCGACGGCATCGTCGACGTCGATATCCCGATGCCGCCCATGCACATGCTCGACTTTGGCGCCGCAGGCACAACCTTCACATCGCCCATCAGCAGCCCGTCCAGCGGCGGCGGCTGGCCACAGTCACTCATGGACACGGGTCTCGTGCGCTCAAACAGCATGAGCTTCTCCAGCGCCATGCTGATGCCAAGCTTCATGCCCGACCACGACGACAGCGGCCTCAACGTCGCGGGCTGGATGGACGACGAGCTCTTCCACCCGGACTTTGCCCTGCAGGCCGTCAAGCCCTACCCCGACGTCGAGGAGGACATCAAGCGTGCCATGCGCGCGGAGCCCACGCCGCCGCATGCGGCGGGCACCACGGGTGTCACGCCGTCGTCGGAGAGTGGCGATGGGAAGTGGACTACGGTGTGCTCGGTGCTTATCGCGGACACCAAGAAGCTGCAGATTAAGCGGCTACGCCTGCGGCGGCGCCGGAGTGCCAAAGCGGCAACAGCCACAACGGCGGGAATGCAGTCACCGCTCCCGAGTGCGCTGGGGGCGCATAAGCATCTGCACCCGGCGGTTGTGGCGCCGGCGGCGGCGCACCAGGAGGAGGAGGAGGGCGAGGAGGAGGAGGTGATGGATGAGGAGCTTGTGTGTGATGTTGATGACGTGCTGGCGACGGCCGTGGAGAGGGTCATTGGCACGGCGGGCCACGAGGAAGAGGAGGAGAATGTCGGCGTGCAGGTGTGCAAGTGCATGGTCCTGGGGGCGCTCGAGAATGTGGTCAAGGCGGTGGCCGTGGGGAGGGGAAGTGTCGTGGGGAATGTGTTGACGGAGGGAGTCGCGAAGTGGTTGAGTGAGGTGGAGGAGTCGGCGGCGGCGGCGGCGGCGGCGGTTTGATAGTTGTGTTCTGTTTTGTTTTTCTTTTTCGAGGACTTTTTTCTTTTTTTCTGGATGGTTCACGGTCTGGCTGGTCGGTCGGTTTTTTGGTTTTTTTTTTTCTGGGTTCCCTTCGTCTCTTACTACTACTACTACTACTACTACTTGCTTGCTTACCATACTTACTACAGCATTGCGTTCCGGTTTTTTTCATCATGGGGATATTGGGGGGTTCTTTCAACTTGTTTTTGCGTTTTTATCTTTTATTTTCTGTCTATGACGGACATGGGCCTCTTGGTTTCTTTTGGTGGGGATTCGGATTTTGCATTTTGGAGTTCTTTTTTCTCATTTTCTTTTCTTTCTTGTCTTGGTAGTTGGAACGGGGTCGGGGGGGTGGCATTTTTCTTCACTGTTTTTTACTTTTCTGTTCTGATACTACTACTACGGCTGGCTGGGGATTTTTTTTCTGCTATTACTTACTACTACTATTACTACTACTACTACTACTACTACTACTACTACTACTACTACTACTACTACTACTACTACTACTACTACTACTACAGGGAATTGGGACTGGACTGGATGGGACTGGATGGGACTGATTAAAGTAAATTAGCCTACTATTACTACTACTACTACTACTTACTACATCTTTATGTGTACAACTAACTAATCATTTCCGCGCCTTCCTCTCTCTATCTTCTGTTCTTACTTTTGGGCTGGTACATAGTCATTTTTCTTCTTTTCTTTACTTGACGGGGAGGGCGGGGTGTATGTACATGTATGTCTATATGTATGCATAGAGTAGGAATAGGAATATAGGTAGTCTAGTTAGTGTTAGTAACTCTAGTTAGGATAGCTTTAGATTTAGTTTGCGGGGGAGTCCGAGAATGAGAATAGATTCGAAGAAAGAAACAAGAAATGGGTGTTTTAATTCTCTTGATATTGCAATATATATTGACTGTCGTTGCTGTTGGCTGTGATTGTGATTCTTATTTCTGGCCGGCTTTGATATGAATCCCGCTTCTGTAGGCCTGTTTGTAAACTTCTGCACATATGCAAACAATACCTACCTTACATTGCACTACATTGCACTACCTCCCCCCTCTTCTCATAGCTACGTAGAGTAGCTATAGGCACTTGCTCTATGAATATTCGCTAATTGACCGACCGGCTGCATCTTCCGCACCGCACCCTCCGCCCAGTCCAGTAAGCCCCGGAATAACCCACGTCACCCACACCCACCAACGACAAGAAGCCTGTATGGACGGAGTGGAGTGCATTTGATTTGAGCCGGGCCCCCGGGATATCGTATCGTACATGTAGGTACATGTACATACGTCTGTCTATCGTACTTATGCTGCGTGGTGTTCATCGTGCATATCGTTTCTGGTAGGGTATTTTGTTTAGAGCAGAGTGAGCAGACTAGAGATATCTAGCTATCTATACCCCCCTAGCTACCACTCTATGCATGCCATGCCATGCCCCCGACAGCATAGGTACCTGTCTACCCAGGGTTAGGTAGAGTAGTCCTCCTCCTACTAGGTACTACCCCCTAGCTTATCGCTTTCATTGCCATCATCTAGCAGATAGAGATAGGGTACAATAGCCATACTATCGTATCTCTATGACAGCTAGGCACATAGCATAGGTACCAGATAGATATGATATTCGAAATCACCCGGCACGCCAACAAACTCGACCAGGTATTGGGCGGAGCAAGTAGGAGCAAGCTGTAGGAGGAATGATGAGTGAGAGATTTAATCCCCCCCCCTTTTACATGGAGAGTAGGTAATGGTATACGTTTTTCCTTCTCTAAAACGGTTTGCACGTGTGTGTTTCCGGGTAAATTCAAACCTCCTTATCCCCTTCGAACCCCTTTCTTTTCAACCCCCCCTGCTGTAACTGGTACGGATTTGAAGGCTTATCTTTCTGTTGGGTACGGTTTGGGGTTTGGGGTTGATGAGAGGGAGTCGTGTAAACGTTTACCCTGGGGGAAAGGGTTATTAGGTTATTAGCTAGGTAGTAGAGGAGGTTGTTTCATGCCAAGCTGTGAATATAAGTAAAACAGTAGTCAGTTGAAGTCGGAAAAATAGTAGGCCGGCCCCGCTAACTTCTCACTAGCATCAGCCTTACTTTTCCCTCTGGATGACGCCGTGGCGTGAATATCACTCCCAAGAGGGCGTGCAAGCTTATGGATTACATATAATAAGTGAGGCTCATAAACCTGTCTCACGACTTTTATGCGGAGATAACCTGTTTTTTCTTTCTTTCCCCAGGGCTGTATGCACACCGCAAATGAGATGTCGCTTGCCTTATCTCGAGCCCACCGCCCTGTCCCCCTTCTTCGCTTCCTCCGGTTTAAACCCTAAATAGAACGCTTTGGACACAGCAAAGCACAGTCAGCAGCGGGATTTCCCAATACGTCCTTCCGGAGGTCTGTGCACGCGTGTGTGAGTAAACGCGAATCACGCGGTGGCGCGCTTAAGCCGTGTGGATCGGAGGTCGGAATATGGGGCTATCGATCCTGATTTTCACCGGCGGGAGGGGGGGGAGGGAGATCGTGGGGTCATTTGTGCATGGAGAGGAAGCGAGGGACATTGTGGTATCATTTTCCGCTTTTGATATTGTGATAGCGGAGGGTTTCCATGGTTATGGGTTTCTGGTTCGCCTTGCGAGTGATAATTAGTGAATGGATGAATAGCGAGCTTCAGATATGTTGACAGAAACGCTAAGAGTTGGTCTTCTTTCGTGTTGTACTGGATACATAACTACTCTACCAATCAGAACGACATGGTTTGAATATCGTTGTTATTGAAATCCTTCAGGGGGGCTGTTCGCAATCTTATCTAGACTGTCTCTCGTGAACCAACGAAACAGTGTCTTACTATATAATCCTCGGGAGTTGGGATAAATAAATCACGGCCGTGCTCTAAGGTATGCAATGAAACTATCTCCCGAGTCTCGAGGATAAAACGTCTACCACGTGGATTCCATGTCAAAGCTTTTTTGAGTTATGTAGCATAAAACACGGCGTATATACCTTCTTCTGGAAGTGTACCAACATCTTCAAAAGGGGGGAACGGCAGCGCGGCAGAGACGACAGCCTCGTCTGAAGATCGACAATTATGGCGATGTGGAAGGCGTTTGTAGCGATTCTTTTGATATGATGATATGATGTTGACGATCCTCCTACGCCTCTCTCCTACGCCTCATGTAAGTCTCCCGCGCTCCCCAACCCATATCTACCCCAGACCACGGAACAAAGGTAACACAGCAGCCGGAAATGTGATCTTAAGCTCGTAGTTGATGGGGCGAGTGATCTTGGGTATAAGGTGTAAGGTATATCACATCCGCGGAGAAAGAGGAGTAGAGTGACCAAGGCTCACTGCAGAACGACTAATTAGGCCGTGATATCGCCTTGTGGTCTGAAGGCTTTCGAAGTAAGGACAAGCCTTGGATCAGTCAATTGAGGAGTTTTAGCGATGATCTTATATCGATTGTGCTTTGTAGCGATAAGAACAAGGTGTCGATAGAAAACGGACTGGACACCGAGGATCCATTTTAACTAGACAGTCTTTGGCATCGTGTAACGGTGTTCTAATTACGCTAAACTTGTAGTGACGCTAGGGGCTAGAGAAATAAAATTTAAGAGCTGGAGCCTTTAACCGGCTTTTCAGTTGATTTTCCAGAGAAAGTGTTCCATGTCTTGGTAGTTTGAGTTTTGTCAGTTTGGTATTTATAAGGTCTAGTCAAATATATAGTCATATTCGATGAAGGGGATATCTACAGTACGTAAAAAGGGGATGTAATAGGTACTGTACCAATACGGGATTATACAAAACTTCCGGATTAAATCGGAATCCCAATTATTATACCGTAGCAATACCGTACTTTGCCAGATATGGTACTGGATCCACCCGCTTTTTTGGTACTGTATGTTATTAGCTGCACCAAAATAGATATTATTTTATTATAATCAACTAAATGTATGTGGAGGGGTGGCTTCTCAGGGGGTACATGTGTAAGAACGTTTAGTGGCATTTCTTTTCTATTGGCCTGCCAAACTACATGTACATCATGTAGTAATACGCACTAACCACTTTGGTGGGTTTAGTAGCAGTTTCAATACTCTAGTCACGGCCAACAGAATGCACCAACTTGCCTAACTAAACTGATAATTCTTGGCATTGCTTGAAGGTCTTCGAATATAATCGAAGCTTGTTATAAGGGTATATATAATATGACAAACATCGTGGACCGACATCCTTATAACGCGCAATTTCAAATGGACAAGTTGAGTGATATTTCATGAGTCTAGCTAGTATATGCATTTTTGGCCTAACCACGTCAATACCATTGATGCACGTAAATGGACGTGCACAAATAGCAGCTAGCAATGGGATTGAGAAAGAAGAGCCAGTTAAACAACCAACAAGTACAACTAATTAATTAAGAAGAACAGCAAGCACCACCCATGCTACAGTGGAGTCTCGATAGTAGCATATGGTCGGGAACGGATTTTCGTGTGCTACTATCGAGATATGCTTGTATCGAGAACAAATTTGCCCGTACCGACTCGTTTGGGATTGCCCAACTATATGCTACAATCGAGGATATGCTATTATCGAGAATGCTACTATCGGGACTCCACTGTACTTGAGTTGTCCCCATTTAACTACTGGGCATCTACTTAGTAAGAAATCCCCACAAGACGTGTGGTAATCGTGTTGTTTTGGGGTATTGAAAGTCGTGAGACTAACCTGTATATTTATATGATCTTTGCACAGTACAATCAAAATCTTGATTATAGGGTATTAAAGAACCATTGCCCAACGATCTTAATCACACGATATCACTCGGACTGCCGGTTTCTTGGCGCTGCATCAATTACTCGGATTAGCTCATTCATTGCCGATATTTGCGGAACAAGTGTGCTCCGTAGGGCCTTATGTTTCACGCATGTGAGCGCGAGGAAGGATCACCGTGGCTAGGATCCACAACGGCATTAACCAACTCTTCAAGTACAACAGAAAGTGGTAGTTCGTTCGTGAGCTTGAGTTCAAATCATTTCCACCGCATTAGAGTCATATCGACAAGTAAATATGCGGTTATCTCATCCAGTTGTATTAGCTACAACAGCCCGAGAAAGCAGGGATATTTCTGTGCGTATCGCAGCATCATCTCCCGGTCTCTATTTCCAGTCTCCCATGGATCCTCGTCACCCCGCTGCTATTGAAGCACATGGCCATCTATAGTCCTGCTGAAAACTTATGCTAAAGTTTCCTTCCTTCGTCCGGTCTCTAATAATCTTCATCCGTGCGGTGTGCAAGGCCTAGAAGTTTTGTAAGTTTGCTTACAGGCCACCAGATCGAGGCCAGTACTAAGAGCCAATGGTTTGCATTGCACAGGCGTAGGGTGCTTCGAGCCACCAGATATATTGCGTTGACTCCGAGTATTTTCGAGGGCAGTATAAATAAAATCTTTTAAGAAGGTGATGCTATCCATCGAACAATGGTTGGCTTGCGATGCGCTAGGCCTTTGAATTTTTATTCCCTAGAGCTATAAGCATCTGGTTAGGCGGCTCAAGAGGCGGTTCCAAAGCTTTTAGGATCGAATGAGAATGGCCTAGGGATTATGACGCGACTTGGAAGTGACCATCTAGACTATAGTTCTTTCCTTGTAAGTTGTCGTTGGCCGAGCGCTCAATGGGGATGTTCTATTTCATCCGTAAAACCGTTCTTCACCCACTATATTTCAACAAGAACAGTAACCATGAAATGAACCTCGTTTAGAGAAGGATAGCAACACGTAGGTAATTACAACTCACCAAATGAACCAATAGAAGATATTACTTTTCCCTGCAGAGTTGTATTGTTGAGATATCTCATTACTATGTAATTTGATGATAATGGTCTGCGTTAAAAAGAGCTGATCTTTGGCTTGCCAGTTGAACTCGAGACACTTGATCTAAGCTAGGGAGCGGATCAGACCGTAAGAATCCTCTCCTTTACATCAGATGTTGTTTGGGGTTGGTGGTCACCCGGAGTATATATACCGAGATTATCGTGTCAAATCACCATCAATGTAAATAGTGAGGAGCTGAGTAGTGAGCTAGATGCATTGCTATATCGCCGAGAATGAGATGAAGTTGCTGGTGTAGCCACCAAGGCCCGGTGGGTATGTCCGTGGGGATCATATATATATTTATATGTATATACATACCTGTCAAACTCTATAATATACGGCGTATGCACTTATCCGTATCTCCTGACACCCCTTGTGATGGTAGTTTCCGAGGGCCGCAATCGAAGAACGAGTGATCCCTCGTGTTCAATTATTGCTTCGGGTGGCGCTTAGAACTTCTTAATTGAGCCGGAATGAAAAATTGCACGTAATGAATTTCATGTAGACTTTCCAGGCGACTACCTGAAAACCATGCGCAAACGGTGAATGTGTTTGGGTTTTCGAGTGCAGCCAATTCACCCTGGTCCAGACTTGTTGTATGATGGTATGAAGAGCCATTATTCATTCGCTGGGGCAATTGCCTACGTAGGTGTTTTTGTGCAACTCGAGACGTGGAATCGCAAGCCAATTCCTGGAGTTCGAGTTTGTATAGTTAACCGGAACGGTTCACCACCTATATATTCGCAAGGCTGAATTTTAATTGTAGCAGACAAAGGAATGACGGCTATTCGCATAACGGCTATTTGCATAGCCAGCTTTATACCATAGACCAGCAATACTATAATATAGGTAGGTAAAGAAGCGTTATTATTTCGGGCTACAATGGGCAAAGATGCCCATTCCATAGACTGCGCTGCCTCATGCAACTGATGATTCGGTCGGGCTTCGACCGGAACCTGACTCATTGAATAAAGTAAACGTGTATTTAACTACGTTTGGTACTTTATGCAGGGTTGATTGATGTCAAAGTTTTCAGCCTTGGAGGCAGTGTTGGATTGATAGGCTCTCTTCATGTAACAACATCACCTCACCGGTGCCAACCTCGGACGGTGGGTTGGATTGGTTGCTGTATATGAATGCGCCGTGCTGATGAAGATGTGTTGTCTCTTTCCTCTTCTCTTCTCTTCGTTCTTATAAACTTAACATTATTATCTCACCACAACCTTTGAAAACAATAATAAAATAATCCCGATAGCATTATATTATAGACGCAATTAAGTATGGGGAAGGTATGTGCCGTGCGACAACCGCATCCTAATCGCGTCTGATCTCTGCAATGAAAGCTGATACTTCCACAGAGTCATCATAGGAAATCCATCATGGCCAAGGTGCCATCCGGTCGCCCTAGCCCGCGTAAACTAGTGATAGTTGGTGACGGGGCCTGCGGTAAAACCTGCCTTCTTATGCGCTTCACCAAGGACGATTTCGACCCTAACGGATACATCCCCACCGTCTTCGATAACTACGTCGCAGACGTGACCCTTCCCGATGGGACCGAAATCGAGCTCGCGCTCTGGGATACCGCCGGCCAGGAAGACTATGACCGGCTGCGGCCACTTTCATATCCCGATTCTCACGTGATATTGATTGCAATCTCGATTGATTCGCCAGACTCGCTGCAGAATGTTTACGACAAGTGGATCCAGGAGGTAACGCATTTTTGTCAAGGATTGCCGTTCTTGTTGGTGGGGTGCAAGAAGGACCTGAGGCAAGATGAGATTGCAAAGAAGGATATAAGAGAAAAGACGGGGAGGGATCTGCTGGGGGTTGAGGATGGTCAAAGGGCGGCAAGGGAGTTGGGCATGAAAGGGTATTGGGAGTGTTCGGCGAAGACGGGTGAGGGGGTTAAGACCGTGTTTGAAGAAGCGACGAAGATCTCTTTGGATGCGCCCAAGCTGGGCTCGAGGTGTCGGAGGGGAACGTGTGTTATTGTGTAATGGAAGTACTATGTAGGCCTCAGTATCGAAAATTTGCTTAGGTATGGGATTTTGCAGGACGTTTCTACATGCACCTCTAGGATTTATTTGTTGTATACCTATATGCATGTACTCATCGTGTAGAGTATATTTTAATCCCTTATTCCTTTTCTTAACGAATATGGAACAGCTCCAGTAGATCTGGATATTTCCCCACAGGGGCAAAACCTGATTTACCTCATATCAAAAGCTTAATTCCCTGCACGTCAGTGTCGTTCTGGCATCTTCCGATTAATATAATGTAATGGCAGCCGTCGTGGCCAATTAATATTGAAGCCAAATACCTAATAGTCGACATGTAGGTACACTTTTAGATTGCATGTAGTACCTGGCCTCTATCCAAAGCCATATCACAAGCTGTATCAGCTAGATCTAGAGCATTTTTCAGAGAGAAAAAAGATGCCTAAGTTCACGTTAGTATACCGCGGCTGATCGCAAGAGCTATAATTCTTTGGATATCCTACAATTGCAAATTAAAAACGTCAAGCTAGGGCTAGGGCTATCGCAACTTCACTACCCTTAGACTTTCTCATCAATCTTGCCTTCTTTGAACTTCTTTTGTTCTAACGTGATAAACAATGATTTTACTTATACATGTATGTGCACATGTGACATGTGGCAACCTCGTAGGGAGCCTACGCTCATGGGGGATCCGGAGGGTAACAACGTTGATTTCTTTGTTCTTTAAATTGGTATCAGCTATAATATCGGCTTCGTCTTAATCTTCAAACATTGTGCGATTCGATAGTTTCCACCGGGGGCTGGTATAAATCCACTGATTAGAGCCAAATGCTGACGATCATTAGTACCATGTTCCATGAAAGTCCACCGCAGAGCTCAAAATCACTCAGCAGAGCGATGGATCATCAACTGGGAGTCTTTGGGTTAGGTCCTGTTCTCGGAACCCCAAGAGCAGCATCGAACCGTGAAAGATGTGCAGTCTTTGTTCACTATCGCCTTGTTCTCGAATCCCACTTTGTTCTCTAAAACAAAGGCTATTCAGATGGGGAAAGTGTCCAAGAAACAATATCTACCTCCATACCTCCAACTTCCTATCAAACAAATCCTCTTCCCCCTGTTTGCTAAACCTTTGGCCCATCGAAACACTGCGAGTCTAATCATGTCCGAGGCAAGGCGTGGAGTAACCTTTGCTCTCGGTGGAAAAACTCCTGCGTCTGGCGACGAAATGTCTGATGCACAAGGAGGCGAATTCATGGACCCAAATATCTTTTCATCGCCTGCTTACAGCGCTGGTGTGAGAGCCTCTAACAGACGTGCCCAGGCCACTCCAGGTAGTATTGAGATAAGAAGTTCACTTCGCAGGAGATCCACGGGTATCCCTTCTCCTGTAAGATATCCCGTGAAGTCTGATTCGGATGTCGAAGAAGAAACAGAAGACGAAGAAGAGTCAAGTTCAGGCTCAGAAGACGAAGACTCGGGAGACCAAGGCTCAGAAGACCAAAACTCGGAAGACGAAGACGATGAAGAGGAGGAGGATACGAATGAGGATGATGATGACGATGATTCTGATGATGATTCTGATGACGTAGAAGATGCTATTCCTCCCCGGAGGTGGTTTGAGAAAGAAGTTGAAACAGCAGCCCCAATTTTCTTTGAGCAGGAGCCCCCGGCGAAGAAACCGTTCGAGAAGGTTTTTATTGCTCCTCCTCCCGAGCCTTCAGATATCGATGAGCCAGTGGTACCTGCCGCTGTGCAGGAGAGACTTAAAAGAGGAAGCTCAACTATGGGAACCACTTTCAGGTCTGCACTGAAACCCAAAAGGAGAAAAATTATTAGCCCTATTGTCAGCCCTATCGTCCATCAAGATGATTCCTCGGTAGTCATGCAACCGGAATATGACGGGCCATACCAGTTAGAAGATCTTCCAGATCCCGTGTACGACTCGGACGGATCAATGATAGTACCATCATCCAGCGAGAAGGGTAGTGATTATGAAGACAGCATTCGGAAACCTAAACGTACGGGAAAGAGTCCTCAAAAGCCACCACCTCGAATTTCTGCAGAGATTAAGCCGAGAAGGGGGAGATCTGCGACCCCCATATTCGGGCTAGAAACTGTTCCTGAACTGCCAGAATCGATGAATATTGATATACCGGCCATTCCTCATACACCGTCTCCAAGGAAGAGGAGAACACCAGTCAAAGGACAATCTTCCACAGCTAGGATAGATACCAAACTGCCTACCCGCAGGGAGCGAGGTAACAAGAGAACTACTGTCTCGCTGCCGGCAGCGCTACCGCAGGATGGGCCACAAAGCTTACCAGGAGCACTCCCCGAAGCAAAGGATAAACCAACAACACCCCGCAAGGCCGCGAGGTCACCACTACCTGCGACAGATAAGCCTGTAAGAACCCATCCCAAAGAATGGGATGTATCGAGTTCTCCATTTTTGGAAAATCCTGATATCCACCGCTCAAGTAGCCTTAGGAGGCAACCGTCTTCACCAGAGCCGCTGTCCAATGCTTCATTCAAAAGCCTTATCGATGAAAATGCTCGAATCAATGCTCAACTAACACAGTTGGAAAGTGAAAATGAGAAATTCGTTGGCCTCGCTGAGATCCTTGGTGAGATCGCATTTACGAGCGCAGATCAACCAATAAAAGAAATTGAAGAGGTGAGATTGAGTCTGGCTCAAATTGATCATCCTGCAGCAGAGGTGATTGATTATCTTATTGAAGAGCTTTTGGTTAAGCGTACAGAGCTCTCTGAGGCAAGAGAAAGTGAGGGGAAAAGTTGGACTCAGGCGCAGGAGCTGAGAGATGAAAACGATTCCTTGAAGGAGAAGGTCGTGGAGTTACGCAAACACAGTGGCTCCAAAGATCCTAATATACAATCGGATACCAGGAATGCTAGTGTCACTAAGAGCACGACCAAGCCCCGGACTGCATCTGCTGCGTCTCCTCAACTTGAAAGAATCCCATCTTCTGTATCCCCTCACCAGAGGAGGAGAAGAGGCAATAGGCATTCTGGAGGAGCCGACACTGCTGCATTAGATGCTCTTGGAGCCATTGCCGCCTTAAGGGGAGCATTGGCGGCTTTAGATCCCGGGGGTGAATTTACAGATCAAAGGGCCGAATCGATCGCCCATCAGATTGCATTATTACAGGCACGGGAGGCATTACGTCTGAGCCAAGCAGAAGTTGCAGCCAAGGCAGCTAATCCGCAGGATATAACAGACCGGGACGCAGAAATAGCGAGGCTGACTGCGTTAGTCGCAGCGGGAGGAGGAGGAGGAAGGGGGGGGGATGGTCCAGATAGCGCAAATCTCAGACTCAGACTCAGGGAGGCACAAAGGCAACTCGACGGATTCAAACAGTTCCCTGAGGACATAAGTCTAAATATTGCTCAGATTACAGATGCAGCCATCGTTACAGAATGGAATGAGATTTATGCAAACATCATGACTGTTTGCTCAATCAACTACTCTGCACGTCCTGGTTTTGTGAATTTCGACTATGATGCTAGTGATGCTGCCGGCGAGCTCACTTCAATATATCTGCGGGATGTTACTCTCCGCCAGAACACTTGCACTCGGAGAATTAATAGAGCCGCAAAGGCCGGTTTATATGATTATAGGACACAAGTGTCGGCCGCAATTTTCTACAGGATACTTATTGATGAAATATTCAACCCGATACACTACATGTTGACACTGCGTTTCCAGGATCCGTCACAGCGGTGGAAGCACAAGAAGCAATTGAAATTTGCATATGAAGCGAACGACTTTTTCAGAAATCAAACACAGGGTTGGTTTCAAGAGAGGTCGTCTTGGTCCCTACGAAAAGAAGAGGCTTTAGCGGAAAGAATGGAACAGACGGAGCCATCGGGTTTCCGTAAAAGGATTCGCCCAAATTTCAACTATTTTAGAAAAATTGAAAATACTAACCTCGCGGACAATGGCGGTAAGCAAACGAGTCGATTCCTCTGCTCACTCCTTACATTTCGCCCATCTTATTACGCTTAATCTTTTGCTGATCGATATTAGATATCCGATCTGTGCTTGTGCTGAGGGCGAAATTAATGCACGCTATCTTCTCTGCCAGCGAAGACAGTCTCGGTGACAAGAGTAAAGAGTTGCGTGATTGCGTCTCGGCACTCATTCGAGATACGCTTCGTCCATTCCGCCTCCCGCCTGTGCCGGTCCCAGCTGGTGGATTAGCAGCTGACGGATTAGCAAACCCCCTCTCAAATGGTGGACTCAAGTTTGCAATTTGGAACATTATCAAAAGATCATACTTACTTGCCTTGAATATATCTTTTCAGCCAACCGTAATATTTGCACATAACGATGAGCTATTATCAATGATGTATTTCAATGCAACGATCATGGAAGACAACGACGCGGTAGACGGTCTAACACCTGAGCAATTACATGCGCACCATACTGCCATCGAGGCCGTTTCTAGAGGGTTTCCCAGGATGGAGACAACAAATAAGGTCGATGTGGTTATTCGCCCGACTTTGTCGAAGAAAGGGATTCAGACGGATGGTGCGCAGTTCGACATCAGAGGATGGACAACCCTCTGCCCCGCATCAGTTGTTTTGGGTAAGCTAGCGATAAAATTCCACGTATTCTATTATCATGTATCATCTACTGACCTAGTCTTATAGCACCGGTCATAACTGCAGCAGATTTACCTTATGACGTAGCTGATGATGAAGATGATGATGCAGCTGAAGGCGGCGGTTGACACAAGCAGTGCTTTTTTAATGGGGGGATGCCACCATTGAACCTTTTAAGGGTGAGGGTTAGCTTTCCGTCCTTCCCTCTTTTTTTGTTTTCACTGTTATTTGCTGGAAGTAACGAGATTTCTGTTTATCTATTAACTATCGAAAGGTTTCCTTGCCTCTTATCGTACAGGAAGGTTATAGAGATAAACGTAATAAAGTGTCATCCCAGGAGAGATACATGTATACGTAGTTACATATACCTGTTCCTAGGGCCTTTTTTTATTTCTGTTTTTGTGTATAACTGCTGTTCGTGTTCGTTCTTTTTATCTGCATCAATTTTGAGGATATCCAGATCTCTGTTCAAAGGCGAGGGTTGTGTTAACGGATACATATACGTGAATTTCAACTTGTTTGGCCATGATGGCTACATTTGATGAAACAATGTGGTCATGACTGTGATGTGTTACCTGTAAATATTGAGATATGAACATATGTGTGAACAAACTCGAATAACCGCATAATTTTGGGTAACAAAAAAAGACCTCTCATAGTATCTAAGATTGATTGACTTCAAAGCCAATGACATTTTATCAGTCCTTCTTGAGCATTCATAATTTCTCAAGACGTGGTCATAGGCCCCAGGATCCGTAGGTGCATGTCCACAAATATGTACACGCCACAACAGCTGGTAATATTGTCGAGTGCATCTCTCATACCAGCTAACCCACCATAAATTCGGATATTCGTACTTTTAACAACGATAGGACTTATAACCAAAAGTAAGACACAGCAGGTTATACACAATATCCCAGGCCACGTCAGTACAGCATGTAGTCGGATATTCGCGACATGGGCTATCACTCGGTTACTCAGCGACGGGTCCAGTCTTGGCACATCAACCATGTACGCGCCAGACAACATAACCCCAAATCCGATCCGGTGCACGGTGCTTTCAGGAGTGATAGTACCGCAGCCCCACGAATACGAGTGATAGTACCGCAGCCCCACGAATACGAGTGAAGATCTCATGACGGCTTAAACCAAAAAGAGATGGGGTATGAATCACCCCTCATGATCATGACTCAACTACATGTACGTAACTAACCTATGTTAGAGAAAACCTTAATTCTAAGCTTTGGGTTTTAATTTTGGATTGGACACGAGACTGGCGGTGGTATGGGTGGCTGATGTCTTAAAACTAAGATCTAGGCAGCAAGGGATTTATGGAGTAGGCGCTCCGCAAAACATTGCCAAACTACATGTAGCCAGCCATTCCAAGGCGGGCCAAAACAAATATTTCAAGTGTACGTGGGGTTTGACATAGCGGGAAAAGGTGCTTATTACGGAAAGCTGCTAAGGCATGCTACTAATTGTATTTTTATATATAAAAAGAAAATATCCAGCTTGGTTTTTAAATCACTTTTATATGGGAGATACTGCACATGCACCGCATCTCTAATTATCACTCGGTCCACTCGACAACTACACGACAGACAACAGCACAGCGATACAATTTTGTATTGAACTTTACTTTCACAAAGTCTCACTCGAGGTTCCTACACGGCATACGCCATGTATCTACCTCACACACCGCCCGCGCGCCCCTCTCCCTACAAATCTCCTCAATCAACTGCAGCTCACCCCGAGCCCGCCATACCCGCCCATCACAAACTCTAAACAGCACTCAGAGTACAGTTCTGGTACACCGGGGTGCTCCCGCACTTGCTCGAACAGAGCTTTACATTGTCGTTGTGGCAATAGCAGCTCTGCGGCCAGACCTGAATACATGCCCACTGGCTCATGCACTTGTTGTAGCACTCGACAACCTCCGGCTTATCACAAGCGTCAAGAACCGGAACGACGCCGTCGCGGGGGCAGGCCTCGGCGCACTTGGTCTTGTAGTCGTTGAGGCAGTAGCAGCTCTCGGGGTAGGTGTCGGGGCACTCGGCGGAGGCGACGCATTTGTCGTAGCAGGTGACTTCCTCCTGGGGGAGGGCGATGGTGGACACAAGGGGGAGGAGGAGGAGGAGGGCCGGGAGGATGGAGAATGTGAACTGCATTTTGGCTGGGGAGTGTTAGTGCTGTCTCTGGTGAGGAGAGGGAAGTTGTGCTATAGTTATAGCTGGTGGGAATGGATTTCTTACCTATGTTTGCGGAGAGAAGATCTAGCTAGTGAATATCAGAGTAATTGTCGGACTGTTGCTGAGTGCAAGTCTGTCTGTCTCGATTGCTGGATGGAGAAGAAAGAAAAAAGACTTCATCGCATCCATACGGCCCTGTATTTATACATCTTTCTCCGCTCTCCAATCGCGATAATTCAACCCCATCTTGACACCTCCCCCACCTCGCCGTTCAACTTGCACCGGAAGGCTTCATCATGAATTCCGATCAACTTGCTGCACATTCGCCAAAATAAACCTTACACAGCAGTCTTGAGTTACAATCGTCGTTTTCCTGTTGTCGTTTGGATAAAAGACAACTCTCCAAGACTTTGAGATGCCACAGCATATGCATACACTCCGTCCATGGCCACCAGCGAGATAGCGTGAGACGGCGGAGGGGAAACAACTATATCTTTTTTCAAAAAGGGTCCCCCTCACACCCCAAAGAAGATGTCCTGGTTGATCTGGAGGGTGGACGCTTTATCCGTCGTTCCGTGTGATTTTCGGTTTTCGTACGCGGTGAAGATTATAATATTGTATTCACGGCCGTAATATGAGCCTAGGTGTTATGCATGTCCGGCCGACCAATTGTCGCCGCGGTGTGTTCTCGGACAGTATGTACGGACAGAGCTCGAGTAGCTGTATACACAGATCATATTCTCCTCTGTTCTCTGCCACCCTGCAATTGTACAACCTTAAGTTCTATCTAGGTATCCCGTTAGTTGATACCAACATTCCAAGTGAAATAGAGTATAGCTACATACATCACAGCTTAAAGGTCACCAACCGTAGCAGCCTAGCTGGGTCTAACTGGATCGGAAAGGAAAGTCAGACATGTTGTACTGCGTTTATGTAGATTCGCTTCTTTTGTACAACAACAGGCACAATACGAGCTAGCTCCCAGGGTCGGGGGGTGGATGGGGTCCAATTAAGATGCCGAAGTATGTTCGGCCTGGCCGGGGGAGGGGGGGAGGGGGACCGAGGGTGTTGCAGAGAGGTTCAGTGATCTTTTGAAAGTCTATAATGGCAGAGGAACATGTTTCTTTCTTATATGGCCTCTACGAGAGGACATGTATCGCGAGTACGTAATGGGTATCATCGATTGTGCAATCAATTAGTTAAGTGTGTAGCTATCTGGCTACGTACGCGCATCTAAGTAGTACTAGTCACTCTATTAATTATATATGTATCTGTCATTTCGTCGTCGACCGCCTTGCGAGTGAGTATACTTATACACTGATTGAGAAGTTGTTCCGTACCTCGACCTTGAATCCGGCAGGTCTCTGTCAGTGCTGCACCATAGACCTCCTCTTCTTCCTTCCCCCTTCCTCTGCCCCTTCCTCTTCCTCAGCATGCAGATAAACAGCTCGGCAAATACAAGTCCACGGAAAATAAAAACGTGGACCGGAATGCCGGTGGAGCATGGATTATACTAAGACTACTCTATTTAGCAGGCACCAGGCAGGTAACACAGCACGTGCACCCGGCAATCAGAAAATTTTTCTCTCTCTTTACCTTTGATGTTGACGTTGTTGTGTTTGAGCTGACGGATATCCCGCGCGGTTTGCCTTGCCAGTTGGGCTAGCAGGGCGATCAAAGTAGAGTACGGCCGGTACCTGGTGATACATACATAGAGTCCCGTCCACGGCCTTCTTTCATTACATCCGTTACTTAATTACGTGGTTCGTTAGTCAAGGTGTAACCGATGTATTGGACACTTCATCTAGAGTATCTGTTAATTCTAGATGTACAATGTATGGGAAGGGATAAAGGAAGTCTACAAGGAAGCGAACAGGCAGGCTTCTCTAATGGATAATTCAACTGAAGTTGTCTCGTCTCGGAGGCCCTTGGGCACGGGGTAACTAAAGGAAGCGAAACCGTTGGATTATTATTGACCTAGCTGCCGACACGCACACCCGCCACCGCTCGGGTTAAGTCCATAGCCGATGGCACTGAGGCTTGACTGATGTAGGTACTCTATCTACATTTATTGCCCTTGGCGCGCCTACTACTCTATATCAGCACGCGTGGTGAGGCATTTTTATTGGTGCAGTCGTTACTCCGGATCTAGAAGTGTAGTACAGCGATTTAATTAACCCAGGCCTGTACATATATACATGTACCTGTGTATACCTTCCTACAACCATGGTTGAAACCCACGTGGCTCTTAGTTTCTACTCGATCTCCTCTTATAATTACTGCTGGAGTATGGTGGGCGACACGATATCGGGGTCGGTCTTGGCACATGTAAAAATCTCCATCAGGTAAATCATCACCTATTTAGTAGTGAAACAAGTGTTTTTGAGCTCACAGATGGCAGATCATAGCCGTTTTTGGTAATAAACCGAGTGCTTTATGGTGATTGACAGGGGTATTTTACTGGATTTCGATCCGGCCTTAATAATTTGTATGGGTAAAAATTGACCTGCCTCCCTACCAAAATCACCCAACTTCAAACTCTATCTCCTCAACCACAACACAAGATAATTAAAATCAAAGGCCGTAGAATGATTCTGCTCTTGATTCTCTATCATTCTACGGCTTCTAATCAAAAATATATTGTGTTGTTGTTGAGGAGATAGATTTGGCGTTCATATACTCTTACCGGCCCCGATATCGTGTCACCCACCATATATACAAATATTATGGCCTCTGAACCAGAAAGGGATCCTCTGTTTCGCAATTGGGGGCCTGGGGGCTGGAGGTGAGTTTCCGATTTTTCTTTCTTTTCTTTTTGGCTAAACGCGGGATTTTAGGCGTGAGGGAGAATTAGTGTTTAATGACCACTGTGCTGGGAATTGGGGACGGTGGATGGGTTTCCTCTTTCGTGGCTGACTGGCTATCGATCGTGTTTGAGAAGAAGCTGAAGAGTAGAGGAGAGCAGGTAGAACAGAGGAGGTAATATCGGTCTGTCTATGTAGGTACTCTGCACACGTCGTCGATGTCATGCACCCAAATTACCTTCTTACTGATCTAACACACACCGTACTCTACGCGCCTAAGCAATTGCGCAAGCAAAGGCCCCTTCCTGATGTCTTTCCTCCTTCTTCTCGAACATCCCATCACATTCGCTTTCAGCATCCCGAAATTGCGGCAGACAGCAAGATCTAGACGCCACCATGCACTCCTTCCCCAATTCCCAACCCCCCGCGCATGCGTCTGATATCACTAATTACCCGCAATACATAGCATCACTGTCGATCACTCGGTGTCTCCCTCGACCCCCCACACACACAGATAAACACAGACGCAAACATTCTCTTTACCCACCCCACGCAGGAAATGAAGGCGTGTAGCCGCTGACTGCGGTCAAGATGCCCGAGCGTATGCCCACGGTTGGTGTGTGCGTGTATCGCGTTTAAGCGGTGGTAGCAACTCAATTAAACACCTATGAAGTAACATGATAATATGGCGTTTCTTTTTCCCGCGTGCTATACGGGCCCCGATCTTTCCTTCTCTTCTCGAGAGGCCAAGTGGGCAGCGTATTTACCAGTTACGCATAATCAACTACATATGTATATTCTACATACCCAACCCAAGCCCGAAGGTTGGTTACCACGATATTTCTTTTTTGGCTACATATACATAGCTAAGAGCTTTGTGGAGTTTGGGCCAGCGCCACCTATGTACCCCAAAGATTTTCAAATGTTGTTTCATGAGCTGCCCATGGATGGGGGACCTGGATAGACCTAGAGTCGAAGGGCCGGGTCATACTCATACACATCGCCACGACCGCACCCACGGGGCCGGGAGGAACGAGAAAGAAGAAGAAAACATACGAGAAAAGGGAAAAGGGTTCTATCTCAGCGAGCTGCGAATTAGGGCTCTGGCGCGCGCGGATACTACTTGTTTCTACAGTATGGACAGCGTGACCTTTGGGCTCGACTAGCTAGCTAATTCAATGAGGGAAAGCTGGGAGAAGGTCAGTTCTTAAAAAGATTCGGTATGAGAAATGGATATGTGCTAAGAAGAAACAATCCAGAAGGATTACATGACTACTAGAATGCACTGCGCTATGGCTCCTCCTCCTCCTCCAAAACTCCTCCACGCCTAGGCTCGTACATGTCCGACCGTCCTTGTCACTGCCCAGCGAGCGGGCGGGCGGGCGGGCGGGCGGAAGCACCCGCTCGCGTGAAAAGTTCCTAACACCTCATACTCTACACATACAAATACAAACACCTACATACATACACGCGGTTCCTATTTACATTACTCTACCTACATACGTACATATACAACCACCGGTCACCCAATCAGTTGTCTGAACACACCTCCAAGCCAACAAACGCGACGACAGACACGCTCAGACATGGTTCTGCGGGAAAGGATCCATTTCCCTTCCCGCGCGAGCGAGCAGACCGATCAATGTCACCACTTTTCGCGGCTGTTCGATTTGGGTGGAACATTTATCGGCTGTTTAGGGGGGTGCGGAAAGGTCCGTTGTCGCTAGTTAGTTTACGCTGTAGCCGAGACTTTTGCTTCTTTTGTGAGCGCAAAGATGGGTGATGTGAGTGATGCAGCATGAAGTGAGTGAGATCTCTTAACACATCCTGCTATGAACTGTACCACAGCACACAGCGCACGAGGCAAAAGACTCAACTCGCACTCAAGGCCGATACTCTCTACGTCCCGAGAAACGGATATCGCGTCCCGTACTCCGGCCCGGTCTGTGATCGATGGGAAAGAACGAAAGAGAAAGAAAGAAAGAAAAAAACTTAAATTCCCATTCGTCCGCCTCGACGAAGCATCCTGCTGCCTGCCGGGTATCGGTTTTTTTTCTTTCTAAGAATATGTATTTCTACATTCCGGTGAATCATACAGAGAGGAATCCCAACGCAGGCAAAAAAATTGCTAAAACGTCCACTCCGGCTCCATAAACAATCCCCAAAATACCAAAC